AGATCAGCTCTTTAACAATTAATAAATAATTGATAGGATAATGGAAGTCGAATCTTAGGTTTTTAAGCATCAAAAATAATGCAAAGTAATTTTCAATTTAAAAAGTAAAGTAATCATATAATTTTGAACAGTTTGACTCGATTTTGTTCGATATTAAATTTGAAATTTTTTAGATTTGTAAAAATAAGGCAAAGGAAAACCTCGTTTCTCATTAGAACTTTTTTTAAAATGTTATAAGGATGAAGCAATTTTGCAATAAATTGCATAAAAGGAAAAGCTAAATAGAGGGCGCAAATGTCATTTAAGGCGTTTTCATAATTCGAAGAATAATAAATTAGTAAATATATTAAATATAAATTATAGGTCAGACCCTCAACTTTTTATCCGACTACATTTGTTGCCTAACATCTGCAATAAAAAGCCTTAAGAAAAATGAAATGAGAAAGAAATCAATCTTCAAAAGAATGTCCAGTATTTTGATAAAATATTCCAAAAATATCAAAACTCAAAGTAATTTAGGTGCATCATAATTAAAATATTCGGCAAATCTCCTTTAAAGCATGAAGAGAATCTCCAACCACTATTAGAAGGTAATTCGAGTTATAACTCGGATAAATGAGAGAGTCTCAAGAACTTGTATTCAACATGTAGAATTTAGAGAAATATATTTAATTTGAGGAGGAATTGAAAAGATATTCTTAAACTCTAAACAATTCTCCAGTTGCAATGAGGGCTTAAAAGAAGCAATAAACTGATACAGTTTAAGATTAACCAAAAGTTGTCATAAATTTGAGAAAAAATCAAAGAAAGAATTTATAGAATAATGCAGTTATTAATCACCACTTCTATCTAAAATTATGTTAATGAACGTTAACAAAGTATTCAGGCTAACTAAATACCAAAATTGATGGACTAAGTTTAATTGTAATATTTTTAGAAGAGAGGTAAAGATTAGTTGCTTCTTTCATTCATATATGTAAATTATCTGTTTTTTGAACAATTTATGATGATGAATTTTACATATATTTGATTAATTAAGTACAAAATTGTTTTATTATGTTTCCTTTATTTAGCATTGTTTAACACAATAAGAATAATCTTTCATTATTAAGTGTTAATAAATATCACCTTGGTTGTTTTTCTTCAATACTTAATTTTGTTTAGTTGCATGAATGGATTTACCTACATCTATCTAAATTATTTTCTCTTTCTGATTATAATTCGACTTGTATTTTTTCTATTTCTCTATATATGATTTCTTCATCGCTTAAAGATTATTAATCAAATTGTTCAATGGTAACTATTCAGCTTATTTACAATTTCTACAAGCTGATGTGTTGTATCATTTAGAATATTTTCTATGAGTTAATCATTGATTTAGCTGAATGGTGTATATTTGTCAAGCTATTATTTAATTTGCAATATTACCCATAAAAATAATAATAATTCAATAATTGAATCAATAAAATAGTTGATTTAATAATTTTAATTAGATATTCAAATAATAATAATTACATTTTGCTTTTAGGAGCAGCCATAATATCGGTAACTTGAAAGTCTCACAGATACTGATAGTTCATCTCCAATAAAATTGAAAACCGCGTTTACAACTAGAAATTTAAATCAGATTAACTACTTATCTAATTTTCCAGATATAAGAGAGACAGCCACATAAAGATCTATAACAAATAGAAATCAAAAATTAGTGGAGAAAGTCAAAAATGTTACATTTTTAGTCCATAAAAAAAAAAGGTTTAGTTTGAAAAATAAAATTGCGAAAATATTTCCACTAATGAATTATTATTTATAAGTTTTCACTTATTATATATATTAGTATGCAAAAAGTTTAAATAGCATATAATTATTGCTAAAAGGAGTCTCATACAGAAGAATGGCTAAATACAATTTGTATTGACTAAAATTGTTAATAAGAAAGACTTCTCTGTTGTTTATGCTTAGAACTTCATGAAGGACACAGAGTCACTGCTTTAAAAAAGTTTCTAATAGAGTATAAATAACAATACCAAAAAAAAAAGAGAGATGAAGAGGAAATGAATGACAAATATTGGTTAGTTGTCTATTTATTCATATTTAGTTTATCCAAAATCTTAGAGAGCTTCGAAAAAGAGGTAATATAGGTCAAGTAAATTATTGATGGGAATTTCGATAATCTTTTGAGTTAAATAAAAGAGTATTGTTTTAGAGTTATTTAGGTCTATCTCTAATTTTAACTGTTTAGAGACATGTTAAACTTATGATAAAATTGGAAAGATTCTCGATAAGATATCTACATCAGAATAAGCAATAGACGATGTGAAATAGTTGTTTTCCTCAATCGAAACCATTACCTCAAAAGATGGGTTTTAATTTTAAATAGTATAACCTCGCCCAAAACTTAGTAATCTATAAGAGAGGCATTTTTCATCATAACAAATTTTCAACGATTATGTCGAATTTAATAAATAAATTTGTTTAAACTTTGAAAAAACAATTAATAAATTGAGCAAATAAATAAAAGGTTTCTTTAGTGAAATTCAAAATAATGACGATTCAGACAGCCTAGGATAGATTTCAACATCAATAAGCAATTGGAAGGAGGATCATACTCAAATTTTGACATAAAATTGTTAGAACGGAATCTAATATTAACCTAAATAGAATGATTAGACAGAGTGAATTTTATCATTTACATCATTTAAATATGTGAAACAATTATGTTGCTAAATCTAGAATTTATATTAAAATATAGCAATATTAAATATTATTATTAGGAATTTTTTTAAAGGATTATGGATATTGTGATATTCTATAAAATTTAATATCTTTAGGTCTACGATCTGGCAATTCTTTATAATATATAAATTCTGAATGGACTGATAGAGAGACAGTGATTTTGAATCTATAATTTTTTTCTAATAAGTGCACCTTCTCTACTTAAGGGTTGAGCATAATTTTGATGTTAGTAATATTTTTAATAAAAATAAAAGATCAGAATGGGATTGTATGATATTTATAATTAACATCTAGGGATATCAAGATGAGATTAGTGTTGAGCAACACATTCATGTCACTAGTAATAGTTTGCAATCTTGCATACTATTCATATTTGAAGGAGAATGATGATAGTCATATTCAAATCGCTTCATTAATTACAAACATACCTACATCAGACCCTGATAAATATTCAAGCTATTTGAGTCTCTCAATTGCTGCCTTTTGCTTGATGTTGGTAGGATTTTTGATTGGAATGGTTTAACCATTTTTGAAATAGGCAGCACTTACTTATGCTTAGGCTTTATTGATATTAGTAGGCTATGTGTGCTTATTTGCAGGAATTTTTATACTAGACTCATTCTCATATGGATTTAAAGAAGGAGAAAGCTTCAATTATCAAGTGGCTTCATTTTTTGCAATCGGAGGAGTCTTCATATAAGGAATGGTTAATTCATGGAGACAAAGATCAATCAGTTGAACAATTATCATATAAACAATACAATATAATTGCAATTGAATTAATTTAAGTTATGAATTCTCTTGAACGACTAAAATAGCAATTCCAAAAAACAACAAGCTCATTATCCAATTTCCACAAGACAGCTACCAATCTTGAAAGGTAAGCGTATTTCTAAGGATAATACGATATCCTATTACAAATTGTACCATTTCCATCAATGGATGGACTGATGGAATGGGTAAGAAAAAAAAGAGATGAAATATTACAAATATTAGAGAAGAACAGCGTCCGATATTAAATATCAAAGCATCCATTATTAACTTCTGAGCCTGCTGCCTTTAAAATGAAGACTACATTTTTAGAAGAGCCCTTACCTCAATACTTTTAATAACAACCATAAATGTAAATGAACCAAAGTTCATTTGAAGAAGAGAATTGCAATGCTTATTATACATAAAATAATAGCCAATATGATTACAGGAAGAGAAGGAAGGATCAATAATATAGAAACTCTTGAAATATGTTTTAATAAACTTGAATGTGTAATTGAATATAAAGAATATGATCTGATGAATGGATAATCATTTTTAATTTCTGGAATTACTTTCTGGTTCATCGCTTCCTTCGCTTTCACTGCCATCATCTTCATCTTCCCCAGCATGGAAATCATCGTCATCATCGTCAGAATCCAAATTGTTAGGATCGATGTTGGTCTTCTATTATATTTATAAGTTGCATATACATTCTTCTTCTTTTATCTACTATCATCGTCATCTTCCTCATCATCGCTATCATCTAATGGAAGATGAGGCACCTCATCTTGAAGTTTTCTTACAGCAATTTTCTTTTATTAGAAATATGAGGTCAAATTGTCAAGTTCATCTCTTTCTATTCCTGAAAATAGTTGATTTTAGTTTTTGTATACAATTTTCACATCAAAAAATTTATTTAAATTAGTCGAACCAATCTAACATAAAAAATTATAGTTACTCTTTAGAAAATGACTTCTTTAATTTCCTCATGTTTTATATGTAATACAGGCTTTTATAAATAAATTAATGATTTTTCTAACGGAAATAAAAATCCTGAGTGAGGACCAACGGAACATCTCAAACAAAATAGTCCATTCTTGCTCTTGAAATTTTTGGGAGATACAACTTTGATTCCTGTAATCTCAGCCAATACTTCGCATACAATATCATAGAGCGGCCCAGAATATTCTTCCTTAATTCCCTTCCAACCAATTTCATCTAACTTTTGTCTACTGTATTTTAGTTTAATTTCATTCTCAACATCCTTCTTGAATTACATTACCAAGAAATTGTATGTAGTCTAACCTTATTTGAATGGATGTTCCAAACCAATTACAAAAGAAAGGTTAATTTCATCAGGCATAGGTAACAAGAAGAATCTAGAAATTCCCTTATAATCAGTTGTAAATTGATAGGTATTTCCATGAAATCTGATATCTTTTGTAAAGAAATCCATCGTATATTTACCCCTAATATTTATAATAAATAAAGTAATTACCTTGGCACGATTAATGGAACATCATGAATAGTTAGAATAGAATCAGCACTACTTTAACCAATTTTGGCTTTGGTTAATATTTCATTTTGTAATTTCTATTAAAAAGTTGGTTCAGCATCTTCATCTGCTCCATCTTCCTCTTCCTCCATGCTGATTTAATTTTCCTCATTTTCTTATTTTTTCTTTTCCTTTTCTTGTTTCAATTTCTAATTTATTACAACTAACTTACCTACTCTTGAGGTGGAATATAAAATCTGACTTCGCATAACATGTCATCACTTAAAGGTTATGATCATATACATACTTTTCTCCATAATCATCTGTACTCAATTACAGGACGATATCATTCTTCTAAGTGTTCGAATTCACCACCTTTTTCAATGGTAATTTGATTATGTTGCTCTGATTATATTTCATACATAAATTTTTATCATCAATGGAAACCACACCCCAATTAGTGCCCTTGGTGCATTGATCTGACATAATTTAAATTATAATATTTATTAATTGGCGCATAAAAATCAATATATTAAATAGTTCCTGTTTCCATATCTATCTTTATTCTGTTCAATGTACTGCTTTAATTCAATTGCATTCCTCTCTATCCAATTTATGTTCATTTCTAAATGATTTACACTCTCCAAAACCGCTTAGCACATTAAATAATAATTGAATAATTACAACTCTTTTATCTATCTTATTTTCCATCATTGTTAATAGAATGCAGCTAACTGCCCTATTGCCTTTAGAAATCTGTCGAAATTTATTCCCAAACTCCATCAACAATAAATTATCTAAGATTTATTTCCTTAAATTATCAATCTTTCCAGAATCATAAAGCTACTCCATATCCGAATTAATCTCCTGCATAATCCGATAAACTATTTATAATGAACAAGTGCAAAACAAATTGAAATTCAGGGTTTAGCAAATTAATTTCTCTTATCTCAAAACTTCATAATAGTCAAATCTACATTCCAACACCTAAAAATTAACTTCGATTTTACTTCATTAATCAAATCATCAATATAAATTGGATTTAAATCAACTGTTTTTGATGATAAATAAATGCAGCACCCGCTTATTAGTTCTAAATCCTCAAACTTAACCTGCTATGACTTACTTAAATATAAATAAATCAGTTCTATTGTTTTAAATAAGGATTCATAGCTAAAATTTTTAAATCTAATAATTTAATAAATCATCCAATCTAGAGCTTTTTCTAACTATTTCTCTGTAAAACAATGTTATTTTATATCAAAATAGCCCTCTTGTTTCTAAATTGAATAAAATCACATTTACTTTTTATTCAATATCCCTTTCAAATTATTGAATTTCAGAATAATAAACTTCATGATAGGAGAGCATCGATTTCTCTAATATAGAACATTAACGTATCTTATAAGTTTTTGTCTTGGTTTCTGTATAATTAAAAAAAGCAGGAAATTTTTATATACAGGGAATTATTGCATTTCTTCTTTTAGTCATTTAGTATTGTTATTATTCTTCTATTTTATTACAAATTCTTTTTTCTTAAATAATCTTAGTAGAAAACTCAAGATTAGATACATCAGAGAACACAGATCGAATTTTATTTTGATTTGTTGGTAAAGGTATTTTTTCATTCTTTAGTTTGCTATGATTTGCAATATGATTTTAGTTCATAAAAATTTAAATAAATGTTAAAATGGAATAGTTCATTGTTAAAAAGCTTTTTAATGAAGTAAAAATGTATTTGATTAATTTTTAGTATTCAAGATTAAAATATGGCTTAATTATATAATGGTCATAATAACTCAGGTTTTGGAGCAAATGATGCTTTACAACTGCATGACTTTTCTGCATTTGGATTCTCTTAGACCTAAATGTTTAAATATTAAAATTACATAAAATGCTGCTCTTATCATCTTATCTTCATAGTCAATAACACATCCATTAACAAATTTGAGTGTTATTTCGTCAACAACAAATATTATTTCGTTTTATAGTTTCAGAACATAATCATCATCTAAGATTTAATCATCAAAATTAAAAGAGTATTTAAATCCTGAACATCCCTCTACATTATATATGATAAGATGTTACATGCTCCATCAACTCCTAATCTTAAGAATTTGTTTCGAAACTTGGTTGTTTACTTTCTTTAAATTTCCTTCCATATATATTTAATATACCTTAATACAAAAATCTGTAAGTTATATTTGATCACTTATGGTATGATAAGCAAATCGATTGATATTGGTCAGATTTGAAAACAATGTCTTTGATATTCTTAGCATGCAAAAGTTGTAAGATGAAATATTATAAATTAATAATTAAGAATTTTAGGAAATATAGAATTATCATCAGCAGGGATGTTTTTCGATATTTTCATCATTTTATTGATATTGTTTCTGCTATATCAAGTGTACTAATACAAAAGGCCATCCATAAAATTAATTTACAAAGAAAACGAAGAAATAAGATAAATCATATCGAAATGCCCTTCATTATTCACATATTTTCCAACTCCTTATTTGAATGGGTTTTTGCATACAGTATTGTCTTCATTTAAGCATCCAACTGAAAAACATTCAACAAATAAGGAGCATATTGAAAATACAGGAATGTCAATTGATTGGATAGATAGGGGACATGGAATCGACAAAAATAAACCACTTTTATTTATAATGCCTGGATTAACAGGATCTGTTGAAGATGGCTACATCAATACTATAGTAAGCGAAGCTCACAAATAACATTTTCATAATATATGTGTTTACAATTATAGAGTTCTGCAGAAGGAAGGAGATTTTACTTTCAGGCCAAAATTCTATAATTATGGACTAAATATGAACCCATAAAATTATGATGATCCTTATCGAGATTATGAACATTTTGAGGAGGATGTTATTTAGAATAAGAGAACAAGAGTTGATTTGCCTGCAGATCTACACCATTGTTTAAGTTATTTAAAATAGAAATATCATTTTAATAAAATACTAGCCATAGGTTGTTCATATGGAGGAGCATAATTGGGTAACTATTTAGGGAGATTTTCTAATATCAGATTAGTTGATGCGGCTGTCTTAGTATGTGCTCCTCATCATATGTTGATTAATTAGAAATATTTGTCCTACTCAATGGATATTGCCTTAACAAAAATTTTAAAAGGGAAATTGAAAGAATGTAACCCTAAACCCGAATGCTACTAAAGATACCCTATAGAATGTTAGAGAGTTGTTAATAGAGCTTTATCAGCCAATTGGATAAGCGATTTTGATGCAAATTTTGTTATTTAGCTCTATGGATACAAGAGTGTAAAAGATTATTATTAGCATTTTTCATTAGCTAATAGATTCCCATTAATAAATGTAATAATAGAATAAATTTTTAGATTCCAACTCTATGTATATGCACCGAAGATGACGATGTTTGTCATATCATGGCTTTACAGGAAAATCAACTTTAAGAGAGTGCTAAAAATATTATATGCGTAGCAAAGGCAGGAGGACATATAGGGTTCTTGGAAGGATGGAAAACGGAATCAATTTGGTTTCCAAAGCCTGCTATTGAGTACTTAAAACAATTTGCTGAAATTCATTATAAAAATCATTGATTATATAAATGGCTTTTTTGATATTAAAATAAATGATTGGAATCTATATAAGATCAATCAAGTGGTTTATTATTGAACAAAATCATAAAAAAATATCAGTCAATTAAAATTTTATTCATCTCATGAATACTAATTTTGATTTGTTATAAGATTTTCTCTTAATATATAGATAGATTCTTATTTCATATACCAAGAAGCTTAGAGACTAACAGTATATTTTTGACAATATACTACGATCTATAAATATTAGAATATAGGCATAATAATAAAATTACTTAATTGTTGTTATTCACAATATATTGTTATTGATAATTCCTTGTTATATGAAACGAGTTAAGTAATTATTTTACATTATTCACTTTTAACAAGAGTGAAAAATGGAATTTTATAAAGAATAATGATATTTAATATATTCAAATAATTCAACAGTCTTCAGTTATTTCATCAACTTCTTTTATTCCCAAATCACCAAAAAATTAAGTAAGCACAGAGCTCCTTTTTGGAACACCCAAACTATCTAATTAATTGATGACCTTGGTTTGATCTTCAGGAGTGAGATTGATACTAGATTCAATTTGGGATCCTAATTATTGAAACAGCTTTTAAGAATTATTCTATTGAAAATTAGATTCCTATTGCTCTTACAATTCTTAACTTTATTGGATAGCAAAATCCCCAAAAGGATCTCCAGAACCTTTAATGTCACAAATTTTCCCTTTAAATAGGATAATATTTATACTTAATGCATCAGATTGAGCTTAATAAGATATTTCTTGCCTACTTCCAAATCTACTCATTAGAACATTGCTACTTCCGATGGAATTCATTAATTATATTGGCCCTCTTTTTTCATTCTATTTCTATGTAATATGAATGTTTCCAAAGTTTCTTGTTAACTCTTCTACATCTACTCTCTCCTGGTTATTTTCCCCTTGCAGTTTCTAGATCATATTACCCAAATTTGAGTTGTGGTAACCAAAATAATTGTTGTTGATGGCTAAACTTGTTTGTAATTATTTCATATGTTTATTACTATTATATATAAGATTCTCCAAATTTGTACTGATGATCAGAGGCGTACTTTCTTTCTATTGCTATTCAAAAAATGAATTCCTCAATGCATCATCTATAGTAATTCTTTTCTAACTATCTTACTCCAGCATTCCAATAATCAAATTTTACAGAGGTATTTCTAGTTCTTTTAAATGTTCCTTAAATTTCCATTTATCTGGACATTTCAATAACTCAACAAAATCTTGATATTCATCAGAATGTAATGGCAGTTTTTGAAATAAACATTAAAAGGCTATCACACCGATTGCCCAAATATCCACTTCTTTAGAATAACAAGATTTATGATAAATTTCAGGAGCACAATAAAATATATTCCCTGTTTTTGTCAACATTTCAATTTCTTATCCTTTTGATTAAAATCTTCTTGATACTCCAAAATCAACAACCTTTACTCTTACTTCAGATTATTCAATATTCTCACTCAAATCCACGAGAACATTATCAGGTTTCAAGTCTCTATGACAAATGCCCTTCTGATGAGCATGTTGAATTGCTAAAAGTAACTATTTAATCACTATTCTAAGTTCCATTATTGTCAATTTTCGTTTCTTAATAATGGATTCTAATGAGTCGAATGCACAATACTCCATTATCAAATATGAAGTTTCCATCTTTTCATTTATAAACAATTCAATATCCTAAGCAATATTTGGATGTCTCAAACATCTAGTGTTATTAAAAGTTCTTTTAACGTTGTTTTATATTTCCTAATCTCCAGATCTCACTATTTTCACTGCAAAAATCTCGTCTGTATCTTTCTTTTTTGCTACCTTCACTACAGCATGAGCACCCTAACCTAATCAGAATTATTATTAGTTTATACCCAAAGTCTATAATGCCTCATATCTATCCTCAAATTTTAGAGCATCATCAAATTGATTAAGAGTGATAATCTCTGGTTTAACTTCATCCTCACTAAATGATATCTAAAACTTAAGACGATGACTTCCATTCATTTTATATATAATATTAAATACATGCGTTTATTTCATAACAATATCAAATCAGATATTTAATGTCTTTATCAGGTTTCTAACCTCCTTGTACAAATTACTGAAATATCCTTCCACTTTGAATCCTTACTTTGTTTTACTTACTATAACCTAGCCATTATTCAAACTTATCTGACAAAATCCTAATTCCAATTTTAAATCCCCTCTCTTCTTTAATTCTTCATACAAGGCCAACAACTAAATATTCTAATGGCAAATCGGTTTTTTATTTTAGGTTGCCACCAACTTTAAAATCTAACTCATAGTTTGGGTATTTCTGAAGATTTTTAATTCCAATTTCCCTTTTACTTATATAGCTGATCTAATCTCAATCTATTTTTCAGACATTTCTACAAAAGGTAAATTTTATCCATCATTTAAAGAAATAAGTGATTATGCTTGGCTTTATTTTGCTACTGCTAATTACACACCACCTTGTCGAGGTTTTGTACTTGGATTTAATATTAATAAATTCTAAGGGTTTAAATATTCTAGAAGCATTTAAGCATTTCTTAAATTTTAAGGTAGTTATTTAACAGATACTGTTGCTTAAACTGTCAAAACTTTTTAATTCTAAACTTTGTTCATATTAGGCATAGCAAATGTTGATTCTTGCAACTTCTATTTTTCATTCTCAGCATCTTATTCTTCTTCCATTTATTAGGTTTGTGTTTCTATTTATTATCTTCTCTTGCTCTTCATTAACTTAATATGTTTAGGTATATCTGAACCATAATCATCTCTTAAGTGAAGTTATTATATCGGTCTAAGTGGCTTGTCCAATTAAACTGTTGAAAATTATATTTATTCTTTAATATAGTCAATTCAAATATACCTTTAATTTCAGTATCGATAAAATACTATTAATTATGTGACTTATAATTATTTTTATCAAATAAGGGTTCAAGGTTTGGTTTCTAATCACTAACAACTGAAAATTGATCATCTGTCTTTTAGTTACCAATATCCACACTCTGAGTTTCCACTAAATCAGTTGTACTTCCAGGCAAGTAAGTTGTACTCGGCGCATTAGATATAATTTTATTTTCCTTCTCGTTTGTTTTTAATAATAATCTAAATTAATAAATATCATTTACTTTCTTATATAGTTTAAATTTATTGAATAGGATTCCTTGATTTATAAATTCAATTCAAAACTCTTCCTAATTTTCCCCATATTTTCATTAATTAAACAAGGTGGCTTGTCAAAAATAATAATTGTATTGTTTGGATCAGTTAATAAATTCTCTTGAAAGAAGGGACCAGAAAATAAATTATTATAGGATGTTAGTATAATTTATGATTTAATTTTAGATTAATTATCATAATTAAGCGATTAAATGTTATCCCAACATAAAAATTCTCCAAATGTCCTTGCTTTATCAACTAAATCAAGATATAAAACATTTATATCCCATTTCATTCCTACATACTTCTCATTTTCCTTAAATATTTAATGTAGAGATTTAATTCCCTCCAAAATTCTCTCATTAGGGTAAAATGCAAATATTAATTATCCTTATTACTTTTTATGATATAAACTTAATTCTTCTTCCATTTTAGTCTTAATAAAGAATTAAGGAGGAATACTCAATTAATTGATTTATGGTTATACTATTTCCTTGGGATAATTCTCCAAAATAAGTAAATCAACAATTTCTCTATGAAGAAGTGATTATTTTTAATTTTTAATTAACAATCGTTCAATATTCAAAGAATCGATGTGCAATTCTTTTATCATATTATAATCTGTGATGTAGATAATATTTAATGTGTTCACTTAAATTTTCCATGCACATGCACCTATAACCTTACCTGCTCTAATAGGACAAACAGTAACTTAAAACAATCCATTCTCAAACATCATAGTTTCATTCTGTCCAAATTTTAATGGTTTAATTTGACGATATGCATCATCTGCAGCATCTAAAATTCTCTTCCAATCTTATTTAAAATCTTCTTCCATAATTTCTTTTTTAAGAAATGCTTATTATAAGTGTATCAATTGATCTACAAAGTTTCTGACTCCAAATTCAATTATTGGGCTTGTAGATAAAGTTTTTATTTAGAATTCAGAAATTAAAGGGAGACCTCCAGCATACTCAATTGATGGTTATGATAGTAGCACTAATTTAGACTATAATAGATTCATTCATTACTTTCTAAATTTTATTCATATAATGCTTAATGTGATTGCATTCCAATCTTTAATTCAAACCACAATCTAACATGATTTATAATTTGTGATTTTTCTATTCAATTATCAATAACAAACACAATGCTCCATTTTCAGAAATGGTTTATACACTAAAAACTTCCACTTTCATTTTAATCTAAAAATATAAAAATACAAATAAATTCACTATTATTGTTAATAACATCTATAATATGAATTATTAATTAAAAATTGCTTCAATCCTATTTTCTTTCTTTTCAGATGGTGTTTTAGGCCACGCTGAAATTTCACTGAAAAATAATAGTGGATAAAATTTTTGAGCTATTTTCTTAGACTTTAATTCTGATTGTATAACTAGAAATTTGTTAAAGAATTTATTAACAAGTTGATTAAAAAAAGTGTGTATGATAAGGAAATAATCTTCAATGTTATTTAAAGAAGATAATAGGAGAGCAGTAGTAAAATTAGAAAATGATGTACAGTTTATAATAAATTTAACAGCATATGATAGTATTAATTGATTTAATTAAATCAATTAAGTAATTGAATACCAGGAAATTTATATCCAAGAATTATTTTGAAATAGATTAGTAAATAATTTTATTCATAAGATATTGTGAAAAATTTTAAAGTAGTAGCGAAATTCCTAATAAACAATTCTAGATTAAGCATAATAAATTGTACGAAGAATTCTAAGTAATTATTATCCTTAGATTCTTATTCACTTAAAACAATGGGATATGAAAAATGAATGCCTTTTGAAATATCATTTGATACCGATTAAGAAACACTTAAATTTATAAATTAAATAAGGCTAAAGATAAAATAAAAATGCATCGTTCAGTATTTTTTCCAAAGAAAAGATATTCTTTTTAAGTTAAAAGCAATGATATGATCTAAATTATTTTATAATTTTGAATTTAATATTGTAGGTATATTTTTTAAACTTGGAGATCTATGGGGATGAGATAATAAGAAAATTATAAATAACTTTGGTAATATTGATAATTGGTCAACCACTTTTTATTTAATGGGTTACTTAACTGACTTCTTCAATCCATACTTAAGCTATCATTTAAGGCTCCATTGAAGCTTATATTTTAGCAAAACCAAAGTATTATTTACCGAATTCAACAACCCGGACCAATGTCGTTGGAGAATCTTCAAAAGAACAAGCAACTAGCTCTATTTTTTCTCTTTTATCTGAAGGGAATTATTTAACTTTCTCCATTGCTTTTGTGGGGTATTATGCTTATCCATCAGTGTAGAAAAAGATAGAATGGCTATTTATATATGAATATTTACGAACTAAAATTGTCAAAATCTGGATTGTTAGCAATTTTATCAAAAGCAAGTTTTAATGGTTCATCAAAATCAGTTCCTCCACCTCTAAATTGTATTTCCTTTTATTAAACTTAAGCATCAGGGATTTCATAATCAACTACACATCTGGCTTAGTGATTAAAAAGTATAATAGTAACCCTAGATTCAGGATTTTTTTGAATTTCTTAAAGAAAAGCCACCAAGCCTTTTTTAGCTGCTTCAAAAAATGCTCCTTCCATTGAACCAGAGTCATCTAATATAAGAATATAATGGGCAGTTTTTTAATTTCCACCTAATTAAACTTCTTACTTTGGAACATAAAAGACATCTTTTCCAATTTCTTAAGTCAATTTTATGCAAATCATTCTCCCAATATTATCATTCCAAATCTTCATGAACTTCTCCTTCTGAATATTTAATTCATCCTTACTAAGACATGAAAATATCCACCCATTATAAAGTTATTTGATATCCTTCCATTTTTTAATTATTGATGTTTCTAATAGTGAAATTTAATAGTCATCCTATATTTCTTCACATGTATATAATGAAGGATGACTACCTATTAAGACTCCAGTCATACCTATTTTAAAATTAAATATTACCTCTTAATTAATGCCCATTTTAACATTAGTGTTTATGACTACTATCATCAATTTCTTAATCGCACTTCCTCTTACAAAGCGGGCAAAATTACAAACAACCGATTTATCTCAGTTATTAAGCATCTAAGTCATCTTATAATTTTAGTGTTTCTAATTGAACCTGAATCAAATCTGAATTTTTAATGCCCAATAAAATCCTTTATTTAAAAGCTTAAACAAAATTAAATAATATTTATATTTCTTCGTCTGACTTTTAAATAGTTGAACATAATGGTAACTCAAATCTGTGAAAATCTTAAGTTTAAAACACATGAATTTTATCTTATTTTATTTTTTCTAATAAATTCTATTCTACGTATCCTTAAAGACATCCTAAAGTTATTTTAAATAATAATTTAGGAGCTTCATCAGGGTTCTCCTACTATACGAAGTAGTCCTTTGCTTATAGAGGAGAAATAACATAATCATATAAATATTTTGTGTTTGCATCCACTTTTTGAAGATATGTCTTCAAATCTTATTATAGTTTACTTGTAAATTTGGTTTGAATATCTGATTTTAATTTATTAATATTGTCTTTCACGAATCTTTCAACATAATCTGTGTGATTTTTTATATAATGTAGTCTCTAATCATCAGTTATACGATTATCATTTCTTTCCAGAATATCTTTGTCTAGTTATTTTATAATATCATAATTTGACTCTTTATTAAATCCAGCCCAAATTTATTTAGCTTCTTCACAATATGACCTCTGAAATCTTGCAATTGTTTAATTTATAATTTCTTCTGCTAATGATTATCCTCGAATTTTGCTTTGTTCTTTATTATTCTATTAAATATCAGCCTTAAACTTCTGATATTGCACTTACTCTTAACTACTCAACTATTCTGAAGCTCTCTCACATGATCTATACTATTTAAAGCACAAAACTCTCCAAATACTAAAAATGGCATAATAATATATGCATCTTTCTCCTATATCATTTAAAATCACACCAAAATCTGAAAATTACATATTTAAATCTTTTATTTTACCTTCTATCTTTTATAAAATCCTTTTGATTAAACCATAACTAAATTATTTAGCCTTCATTTCTTTAATTTCATCAAGTATCATTTAATGTATTTCACTATAGACTTTTTTCCATCTCTCATAATTTATATCGCTCATTAAATCTTCAATATACCTAGCAATACTTTGCTTAAAAGTATTTTCATATTAAGAGTTTTAATTTCTATTTAAGATATAACTAAAAATTTATTCACCTCTATTAATTTAAGATCCAGTATTTTATTTTAAAATCACCTATTACTTAACTGATACTAAAAAAAATTCTTTTTCATTAAACCTTCCTTTAAGACTTTCTATTTCATTATTCTAGGACAGATCAGTAATCAAAACATGTCTCTTATAATAATTCATCAAGTTTTTACAAATTTTTTTTATCATATCGATTGAAGAATCGTATTAAGCATCTCCGAAATATTACCTTTCTCCAGGTTAAAAGCAGGAAGATAGCATATTTATATCAAATCTAGATTATTTATTAACAGAATTAAATAATTATTCTGCTTTTAATTTAGAAATTTCATAGCCAAACAAAGAGAAATTTTGTAAAAAAGATGTAAATGAATACTTATCTATTCCCTTTTCCTTTTTATATAATTCAAGATCAATAGACAAATCTTTTTATTTATATTTATTGAAATCTTCTTTTGTTAGATATATGATTTCTACTTAATTAGAATAAAATTAATTGATTGATAAGACTTAATTAGGTGAACATCTTGCAATTTTCTTTTCAATGCTTTAATTAAAATTGTCATAAAATAATTAATTTTTACTAGAATTTGCTATAAACATGAGTTAAGCTGTCGATAATTCCGGTTTTAATATTTCTAATGATGTGAGATAGTCAATTTATTTAGGTTTTTCTTTATTTAATTTTGCAATGTATTATTGTTTATAACTATTTTCATTTTTTGTTGTCAAAATATAGTTTTTGAAATTTTCCTTAATTACCTTTAACAACTGATCGCTATAACCCATAAAACTTTTATCTTATTTTTATTTGTCTTATGTTAATATTTCATTCCATAGTTGCTTAAACTTACTTTCAATCTTACTTTCATCCTCTTTATATTATTTTAACTGGTTTTCATTTCCAATTAACTATTGAATAAAATGGTCAATTTTTATAAAACCCATTTTCTGTTAAAAATTAGTTTCTTAAATTCTAATTTCTGATAGCATTGCCAATGAGATGGCTGATCTTTCACTATCAATTCTAACTTAAACCATATTTTCATATTTTTTGATTACCTTTTTTGATATTTTATGTTCATTTTTTATTTAAGTTAATTTTTCTAAAAATTCATTGTTAATTTAATCAAATTAGGCATTCATTGATGTAGTAAATTCACTTAATATATCATTTAAAATTTCTATAGACAAGCTTTCATTTCTCTCTGATATATTTTAATGAATTTGATTAATAAATTAAATTTTTGTAGGATACTAATAATTGTTTATGATTTCATTAAATTATTTTCTCATAAATTGATTTTATTAATGCTAAATTAACTCAGAAAATTCAAGTAAATCAGGTAAGGTTATAATGCTTTTCCAAGTGGTTTCAATTTTTTCTATAAAATATTTTAAATTTTCCATCTATCTTCTTCCATCTAAATCGTCTTCCCTTCCAAACTTATTTACATATGCTTGAATTATTCGAATTCCTTCTTCATAAGCTTCTGAAGAGAAAGTGCCATTTAGAATTAACTGGCGCCAATCTGCATACACCCCTTCACTATCATTTTTTTTCCATAACTTTTCAGTTGATGCAAACCCTAATATCTTAACATTGTCTTCAGTAATTCCAAGAATTTCATTATAATCTATTTATTCAGTCTCCTAATTTTAATTGCTTAATTCGTTATTTAAATTTGTAGCTATTGACACTAACTAGACTAAAAAAGGATCGCGATTATTGACATCATTATTTTAATTAAAACACCAAGTAATTGATTTTGTACTTGTAAAACTTTTCATTTATCCTAGAGTATATATGCACATTTCAACTAATTCTCTAAATTATTTTGTTATATCTCCTTTCACGTTTACAAGAATAATATCGCTTATTGATAATACAAAAAGTGCTATTTTTTTATCAAATTCCAAATCCTCTTAATTTGGGCTCTAAAGACCTTCAGTATCCAATATAATAATGTAGTCAAATAAATTATTAAAATATGCTTTATTATGCACTTTCAATAATTGCAAATATATTCCTTTAGTACATCTACCAACACTTGTCCAAAAATGGCATCCAAATATTTTGTTTAAAATTGTTGATTTGCCAGAACTTTGTGGACCTAATACACTTAAAACTAAAATTCTTTCTTAACCTTGCTCCTTAAAGTTAGATATTAGCTTTTATAAGAATGGTTAATCGATTTTTAATGAATCACCATCTAAGAATTCAAATGGTTCTCCTTTAACGATCATTTCTTTAACAATCTTTAGAAGGATCAAAATCAATATGTGATTGTTAACATTATTCTCTTTAGGATATAACTTCTCTCCAAAATAATTCTATTCCAATATGTCTTTTTGATATTATATCAGAATTCTATTTCAATTAAGCAAATTATTTATCTATTTTTGTTTGCATTTAAATTATTTATTCTTATAAATAATAATTATTGCCATTCTCTCTTTGATTTTATAACTTCTTCTTTTCTCTATTTAATTGTTAAATTTCTTCATTAAGTTTCTAATTTTCTCTTTATAGTTTGTAGGTATTTTTTTCGTTAAATTTTCTAATTTTATCAACAAAATGTAGATATAATATATAGTAGTTTGGTCTTTTAAAAATATTACAAAATTAAATTAAAATTTATGTAGGTTTCTATAAACTAATAGAACTTTACAATTGTTTTATTTTTAAACTGATTTAATTGAGTTTTTGTTCAATTTATTTGTCTTAATGACTCTTTTAAATTTTCTAGTATTCATCTTTCTCTTTTTTGATTTACCATTCAATACTTCTCAATGGAAAAGCATTCTAATTATAGAAGCCATCCACATGCTCCATTTAGATTTGCAATTCTTTTTCAATATCTTAAAATAGATCTTGAGCTTATTGAATTTGAATTTTTTGATCTTAAACACAACTTACCATGTTAAATATTTAGTTCTTGTATTGTTCTTATTTCAATGTGAAAGATTTATTTTTATTGATTAAATCAAATAAAAATTATGATGCTTATGCAATTTCAGCTTACTTCATTTAATTATTTAGATCATTATCTGATAAATCAATTATTTGCTAATATTAAATATTAAGATATTATAATTCTGCAGTTTCTTTCTCATCTAAATCCCTTATTGAATTTCGAATTAAAAAACAAATAACATTTTATTTATTTTTAAAAGATTTCAACTTTTATAAATTTTATATTGTTTCTTTAATTTCTCTCTCAGTATCTAATTAAATAATCCACATCCTAAATAGAGGTAGGATATCATCTAAAATTTCATAAGGGATAAAACCATGTGAGTCTGCAACTGATAAATTTCTTGATCCATTAAATTCAAAATCATACATAATATCTATTGTTTGCTTATTCAGATAATTGTTGTCTGATATTTCAAATTTATATTGTTTATAAAATATTTTATTAATTAAATCTGTTTTTCCTATTCCTTTTTTGTTAGTTGGCCAAACTTAAATTAATAATAGAATAGTTTTCCTCAAATACATAGAATGTATTAAAGTTAAATGTTAGTTTGTCATATTCTCTATCTTTTGTATCGTAAGAAGTTCTGTATAGTAATGGAATCGGATATTGTTTACTAATAAGTTTTAGTAGCATCACTTTCAATTCCTCATCAGCATTATTATAAAATATTTAAAATATGGACTTTTAATTAAAACAACCATATTTGGTCCTTAATTCTTCTTATTTAATTATTTATTTATTAATAATGGTTAAGAATTCAGATGATGGTTCTCCTCTTTTTATAATATTAAAGAAGAATGGTATTAATTATTTAAAAGCTTCAGGGTCTTTAACCTTTTGAATCCAATTCTTCACCAATTCTTCCTATTATTGCTTATTTAACAAAGTCAATGAAATATTAAAATCTTCTAAAGATATGTTTAGAGATCTTGGATAAATATCACGCATAATTTTTTATTGTAGCTTTGTAACTTCTAATTAATCTATGCCAAAATAGTTAATTTTTGAGAATTTTTCACTATACATATTGGGATTTTATTTGCAAAACAATTCAGCATCAATCTGTAATTTTTATATTAATTTATTTTACCAAAGGTAAACTAATTTAAAAATATTTATTATCTATTCCAAACTACTTTCACTTAAAAATAATTCAAGAAAATGATTGAAACAATAGATTGATGGAAATATTGAAAGACTTTCTATGGCTTTCTTAAAATGTTTCTGTTGATTTTATCCTTACGATTACCTGAAAACCTTATATAATACTGTTATAGTTGTAATATAATCATCTAAAGAAATCTGATCTAAATTTCTTTGATATATTAATAGATGTATTTAATCAATTTACAAGTATTAAAAAAGAGGAAAGAAAAAATTGGTGTATTAATTCTCCTATTCTAACTGTTAGTTTATTTAAAACAATCTTCTTAAAACTTCAAGGAGTTAATAATGATTTTAAATTAAATTTTATAAATATGATTCTATTAAAGTATTGATGAGCGCATTTTAATTTAGAACCAATTTCAACTGATCATAAGAAAAATAGTAAAGCATTTAAATTTTTTTTTCAAGTGGTAAATTTTCATCGTATTCAGCAACTTTTAGAATATTTTCTTTCTCAGTTTGACTCCTATCTTATGATAAAACAGAATAAAGTAGTTAAAAATTAATTATGCTTTGATATGAATTTTCTAAAACAATTCTAAGAATAATTTCTAATTCTTGAGGATAAAAATTTTATTTTTATTATTCTAATATCAAAACAACTTTAATTAAACTATCCTACTTCATAATCGTTTCTAATAGTTTTGCTACTTTGCGTATCTTTTCAGCACTTATATTTGTCAGCAAATTAAAAAATTTTGGATTTTATTATGAATATGACTATGAATTCAAGTTTACGACATGCTATTTTTTAATCAGATTATAAAAATTTTTCTTCAATAATAATTTCTATCAATTCGCTGAAAGACCAAATTTTCCATTTATCCAATTCATCTTTTCTGACACATTAATTTTTGTAATACGACTAAACCCTATTTATTAGCTCCATATTAAGTTGGTTATTTTCACTCACTCTGCATTAGATGTATTAATCAAGTTACATATACTTTTATACTTTATTATTTTAGGCCAAAATTTTTCTATAATGATTGTCAAAGCTAATTAAACAGTAGAAACACATCAAATAGAAGATATTTTAAAGATCAAAATTTATTGGTAATAATTTTTCTATCAAATTTTCAACAATAAGAAAATTTAAATTCCCTGTAGTATTATTATTTAATAATTTATTCAATAATTGAATTATTGAGTCATGTAATATTTTTAAGTCTTTCTTCAACAAATTTAATATTTCTTATAGAGCTTTTAACTGAAGTTAGTCTTAATTTTTCTATTATAACTACTGATAATGATATTCAAATTAAATCCAACTATTACATAATATTTCTCCTAATATTTGAAACAATCCTGTTTTTTCTTAATCATTTATCTCTAATTCTTTAGGTAGAAAAAAAAAAAATATCAAATTTTTCAAAATAATAGAATTTAATTAAAATGAAGTATTTCTACACTACAACATTAATTCAATAATTCTAAAGCCATGATGTTGAAGTTTTTCAAAAATATGTTTTTACCTTTACAAAGAAGTTGGGAATCTACAAATTACAAAAAAGTCTCTTTCTTCTAAAAGTTAATGAAGACTTATCCAATCTTTATTTTACATTACATTATACAGTCTATCATATTATAAATTAATCTTCTTATTTTCCATTAATCCGAAATCGTTGACGCTGAATGTCTGTAAAATCCTCCTTATCACTCCTTCATTTAAACTGGCCCTCAAATTAATAAGGTCACTATTGTTAGGAAATTGTGAAATGAGATATTCGATAGCCAATTTTTTATCTTCTTTTTTTTTCAATTATCTGAGGAAAAGGTCTAATATTTTCTTAAAAACTTCTTCTGAAGAAAAAATGTTATTTGATTTGTCTTCAGCTATGCTTTACAACTCCAAAGTCTTATTGTATTTTGATAATGCAGACATTATCTATTACTTTAATATTATAAAATTTATTATAATGAAAGTAAAATATTAATTTTCAGTTATATAGCAAGGGAGATACAATTTTTCGTACAAAAATAACAATCTTAACAACTATTTATCTTAATTTAAATTATATCAAATAGGACTTTGAAAATTGCATTATGTAAATGATGAAAATTCTACTAATTTCGTATTTCTAAAGATGTGAATACTCAATGTGCATACTCATCAAATTACTCTTAAATACTAATAGTATTCCAATTTAATAAAGTAATCAGCTTCAGAATCTGGCATATTTCTTTAGTTAATTTTTAAACTCTTTTTAAGCCGAAGAAACTCATATAGTATTAATTATCTTTCATTTATATGATGAGCAATTAGTGTTTATTTTGCCGAGATGTTCTCATAATACTAATATTATAAGATCTCGATTTGAGTTGATATAAGATTTTATGCTGTATAAAAAAGAACCCAATACAAAGTATAAAAAAAACCCAAGTAATAATGATTATAGCATTTGTATAGGTATGCTTTTGGATATTTGTCCCTTTTCTGTTAAAATAGATTGATCACTGATGAGTCACCTTATTGATTTATAATATAAGTTAATTAAGTAGATTAGAATCATTTTTATTTAATAATAATTTTCAGAGTGGATTATATTAAATTATCTTTAGAATTATCTCTTAAATTAATGTTAAAATGAAAAGACTTTGTAGTTTATTGGTTTTATTAACTAAAAGATAAAGATTAATTGAATATAATATAATAATAAAATGATATTCAAATTTCAGCAAAAATTATATTGAATGTTCTTTTATTCCAATTGGAAAACATCCCATCTGCATAATCCATAGGACCAGGTAGATTATTTTTTGGAACACTTTTTGAAAATCGTTCTTACTATTGATATAAATTTTAGACTATTACTTTGCACATAAATGGAGGAGGATCTTTCTTTTTCTTTTTAAATAATCCTAATTAATTTTATGGTGATTTTTCTAAATAAGGAGGTTCATCATCTTCTTCATCTTCATTTACTTCTTTTATCTTCCATCTTTCAGCACCAACACCAAATGGTGGTTTAATAACTGCCAATTTAGGATCATCTTCTTCTGGTTTGATAATTTTATTAGCAATTGTATGTGAATTAACATTATATGCACCTGGAGCTGGATTGATGTTTGGGATTGATAAATCCTAACTTTTTGGAGCGTGACTCATAAAAGCGTATGTTCCCTTTTGTTCTGGTAATTTCTTGTCTTTTTTTGCATCATCAAGTTTATCAACTTCATATGCCCCAGGACCAGGAACCAATAACTTTTGTTCTTTGAATCTATTCTCATTAGCTCCAAACTATCCTAAAGGAGCCTTCATTAATTTTGAGATCAATCTCTATTCTATAGTATTCGCAGCTTTATATGACCCAGGAGCAGGAGTCTCTGACTGTTATTCTTCAAACCTAGTTTTGCTTATCAAAAATGGAGGTTAAGCACCTTTATGTCGATGAGCAGTTACTTCCAATTAATAACTGCCAGGACCAGGAGTATGCTATGATTTTGATTGAAATCTTTTAGTTCTAGTTTTAATCGAGCCTTTAGCTTAAGATTTATTTAAAAATTAAGAAATCGTTTACTGAGTAGAGGCATTTTCATAGTAACCAGGACCTGGTGTTGCATCCTATATTAAATGATATAAAATACTTCAATGTAACTATATTCTGAATCAACATCAGTTTCTCTGGCTGTAGTTGCTGGATTAGTAGATTGATGAAAACTATATTATTTATTATCCAATCCTTTTTTGATATATCCAGTGTTGTTTTTGAGATTTTAAAATTTGAAATCCGATTAGCGACTTTGTTTAGAACTGAATGCTGTGGTTGGTTTCATTTAGTACATAGGTTAGGATTGACCGCATATGTCATAATAACCAGGGCCGATAGGTGACTAATTGTCTTTTTTGTCTTAGCTTCTTGGCTTATGCCATGATACTCCTCTTGGTTTTGTATTGTTGAATGTACTTTTAAGATCGTACGATCCGGGTCCAATATCATAAGATATGTCAACAGGATTTTATTCCAACTGATTGTCTTTTTATAGTATTGAGTATTATAACCTTTATTCTCAATGTAGCCTTGATGAACATTAGAAGGAATTGAGGGTATGCTTAAGTATTTGTTATCCCTAGCCAATTGTTCCAAAACATTTAGTTTTTTAGGCCGATTGGCTTAGCCGGCTGAATGAAATTTCTTCCTTTCATCTTAAAAGTATTGAGTGGGACTAAGGATAAAATAAGTTGAGTATACCTAGGTCCTTCAAATCTATCCTCCTTAAATCTCACAGTAGTGGATCTGAAAACTGATATTGGTTTAGGTACTTCCAAAATTTTGATTTCTTATTCGTCTGATTAAAAGATTACTTTTTGGCACTCGAAGGAGCCTTGCAGGTTGTAAGTTCCTGGGCCGGGAATAGGATTAAGCTTATCAGATTTATTTATTCTTTCGACAGTTGAATTGAAGGGATGATGATTGGCCCTATTTTCTATTTCAGGGATGTGATCATATTGTCCAGGTCCCACTAATTCAGTTTTTGGAATATACGTTCCTCTGTTTTCACTTCTATATACAAAAGCCATTTGAATATACTATTTAGTTAATTAAATAAACTATCAATCCTTTTAAGTAATCCACTCCAATAATGTGCCATTGTCCCATCTTCCTCTGTGTTCTTCGCCTTTTTCATCAACTACCGAACCTAGCCCATGTTATTTGCCATCATGCCATTCTCCCACGTATTTTGATCCATCAGCTATAAGAATGGTAAATATACTTACGCCAATCGAATGTCCCATAACCCTATTTCTTATCATTCTAATAAGATCCTTTGTATCTTCTCCCATCTGCCCATTTGAACTCTCCTAATCCATGCATTTTATTTTATCTCCATTATCCTATAAAGGTTCTCCCATCTCCCCAAACATAGGTTCCCATCCCATGAATTGCATTGTCTAAGAATTCACCCTCATAATATGATCCATCTGGCCATTTAAATATACCATGTCCTTCTTTTTTACTCTAAATGTAGGCTCCTTTATAACTTGTACCATCCGGCCATATTTCATGTCCCAATCCATCTTACTTATCATCTTTCCAACTACCTTCATAACTTGCCCCATCAGCATGCACATACTTCCCTTATCCATGTGCTATTATTATACTTACTATACTTTACCTTTGTCATTATCCCATTCTCCTTCATAATAATCTCCATCTGCATGTATCAATCTGCCATGACCATGAGCACAACTATTTTTCCAATATCCTTCATAATAGCTACCTTCTTTCCAAACTTGTCTCCCTGTCATATTTAACCAATTCTATACCTCTACCCTATCTTAATCCATATTTCCATTATCCATCATAAACCATTCCTTGTTCAAATATTTAAGGCTCTAAAAATACTGCTTCGGGATCATCTCCTCTAGTATATTAATACTCCTTTAATCTGCTAAGGACCATTTTGACTTTTGATCCTATCAAACTTTAGAGTTCACTGGCTGGTCTACCCCAAGGCTACGCCAGTTTTGCTATTGGACAATGCACAGAAATTAGTTATTCTGAGTTTGTTTTTTATTTCTAAATATCCGCACCATCTCCAACCATAGACAATGATGCCTCCTTTTGAATATTGATCGAAGGTTTCTGACTTGTTCTCAATTAGTGCTATGAAGCATTTACAATCTCTGCTAAAGATGCTTTTGAAAAAGGTTAAGATCTTCTAACTATTGAGTGTAAAGATGCTTGTTTAGCATTCTAATGAGCACCATATTCGCTTATATTTTATGGGTCATTCATACATGCCTGACAATTACCCATTTATATTTTCAAATTATATAAATAATTGATTTGATAATTTTACACATTCAAACCTTCTAATTTATATTTAAGTATCACAACAATTTATCCCATAATGAAACATTCTTATTAAGCATTTTGATACTTTTGTCTAAGATCCTTTTAATAGAATATTTATGTAATTTAGTGATATCACAACAAATACTGAGATTTTTATCAAGTTTTTAAAAATATACTCTAATTTTATTCACTGTAGTGCCTTATTTTATTCAATAACGCTTTATGATCAGCCAGAATAATAATTTTGAATTAAATAGCATACATTTTGTATTTGATTATAGATTTGATTACACAACCATATTTATAACATTTAATTTAATTTTGATAATTAATATCTGCGTTGAGGTACAACGATAATACTTGATCTAATGAAAGATATGTAATCTAACTTGTTAGATAGTCATTATGCATTTACCGAAATGACTGGTGTCCTTCTTGGAGGGGAATTTAAGAGTCAATAAATTAGTTAATAAATTATATACATTATAACACCAATAGTACGTAATATCTTGCTTTAATTTATTCGATTATGAAATATCTTAATTTTCTTAGGTTCAAAACTACCCAACATATCCAAAAAAATCATTAATAAACAATCTAGAAACTCAAAAATGACACTCTTTGAATAATTAGGAGGTGAAGCCGCTGTCACAGCTGTTACAGCATAATTTTATGCTAACATCCAAGCTGATGCCACAGTTGCCAATTTCTTCAATGGAATCAACATGGCTGACTAAACAAACAAGACAGCATCATTTTTATGTGCTGCTCTTGGAGGACCAAAGGCATGGGGAGGCAGAGTACTATAATTTATGTTAATATTTATTAGAACTTAAAGGAAGTTCATGCCAACATGGGAGTCACAAATGCTCAATTTACAACAGTCATTGGACATTTGAGAAGTGCATTGACCTCAGCTGGTGTTGCTGCTGATTTGGTTGAATAAACCGTCGCTGTTGCAGAAACAGTTAGAGGAGACGTCGTCACAGCCTGATTTATATAATATATCATGCACAAATATCAAATACCATCTAAAATATCCATCCATTAGTTCTATTGTAATACAACAATTCTTAGACTAATCTAGACAAAATTCTCCTATTCGATTGAAAAAGAACAATACGCGCTGACCTCAAGCCTGTCCTTCTAAACAAATTATCTTTATCATTTACTATTCTAGAAAATAATACAAAAATGGAAATAATATGAAAAATCTTATTTTATTAAATTAAGCCATTTATTCATAAACTTGCTTTACAAGCCACTCTATTTATTTTTATTATAGTTAGAGAATTCAAACGCTATGTTTTTACACTAAAATTTTTGTCATGTTTATAAAAACCATAACAATTATTTAATTGGAATTAGAAAATATATTTTTATATTTCTAACTATTATTAGCTTTTGTATATATAAGTACTGATGATCTAAATGAGTGGATGTGTTGTTATTATAACTTATGTTTTAGAAATTTAATTTTATTCTAATGTATTTTATAATTATTATAAATATATATTAAAATATAATTGTTATACTTCTAGAAGAAAGAAATATCTAATTTCAAAAATAGTTTTAAACTAAATTTTATGAAGAATATATTTGAATAGAAGGTAATCATATCTTAATAGCATTAGTTGCAAGTGCCAAATTATTAAATAATAGGTTCAGTAAAATATCGGATTGCAATCACTTTACACTATAATTTATTGGTCCTTGTTTAGTATATCAAATAATTCACTAAATTTCCTAATAAAATGGTCTAAATATTTTATTGTGAAACCTCATCTATAAAATAATCGAAAGTTGTGTAATAAAATCATGATTATTGTTAAGGTCATTTTGAATTGAAATCAATGAGGCTAGTTTTATATTATTTCAAGAAGTAAATAAAAGAAATTCATTTAATCTTTATATTTATTAATTATTTTTACTATAAAAAATCTAAATTATTAATTAAATTTCATCATTTTTCATCCCATCACATTAAATTTAATTCTAATGTGAAAGCTGTGTTAATTTAAGTAGGAGTAACGATCTCAATCATATTATGCACTTTGCCTGGTACCTCAGATGAAGAAGGAAGAATAATAAGTTTGGACATTCTTAGTTATGACAACCCAGAAGATAAATTATTATGTCCTATAAAATTTAGACTGAATAATTTATTTTTTAATGCCTGAAAAATTATTTGAGCTTCAAAAGATTGATGGAATTTGGATATTTAAGTAAAATTCAATGAGTTTAGTAAAATTAATAATAATACATTTTAGATTATTTTATTTAAAATGCGTAGTGCAACATAAGAAGAACTAAAATAGAGAGCCAAGTAAAATGAAATCTCTTCAGGAGAGGAAGAAGTGCTTTCAGATTCAGATGAAGACTGTGATCCAGAAAATTATAATTTTTTAATGTCTTAAATTGATTTAGCAGCATTAACCTATGGGATTGTGTAAGAAGATCAGAAAGGACAGGAAATAAACCTAAGAGAGAGAGTTAGCACTCAGTAACTAAAGTAGGAAGTCAATCATGTGAATCAGCATATTAGTGGAAATCACTAAAATATTACTAGTGTTCCTAATCCAATCAAATTGCTTGTTTCAAAATAAAAGAGAAGATATAACTATAATGGTTTTAATTTAGATCTAACTTGTATTACTAGTTACTTATGATAGATATTACTGAAAAGATAATAGCAATGGGGTTTCCTGCTGAGAATATTGAATCAATTTATCGAAACTCAATGCAGGATGTAAGAAGGTTTTTTGATTCTGTTCACCCTGGTCATTATAAGGTGTACAATCTTTGTGAAGAAAGAAAATATGATCATTCAAATTTTAATCAAGTAGCGGAGTTTCCTTTTTAAGATCATTAAGCTCCAACATTCTCATTGATATATGAATTTTGCTTAGATTTAGTATGAATAGTAGATATCAATTAGGATTATTGGCTAAAATTACATGAAAAGAATGTGGCTGGAATACATTGCAAGGCTGGAAAAGTAATGAAATATTATAAGTAAGGGTCGAACAGGGGTGATGATCTGTTGCTACATGCTATATGCTCGTTAATTTACAAATGCGTATGATTCAATGAGATACTATGGAATGATAAGGACAAAAAATAAGAAAGTAGAATAAGAGAGTTATATTATTATAGGGTGTAACAATTCCTTCATAAATTCGATACATTTTTTATTTCGAGAAAGCACTCAATAACAAATGGGTGCCAAACGATATGCCAAATAAATAGGTAGAACTTGTTAAGATTCGAGTGATACCAGTCCCAAATGTAAATTTCTTCGGTGGTTGTGGTCCTTGGTTTCGTATTTAAAATAAAGATAAAGAGTATTCATCAAAGAATTAATTCTCTGTAAAGGAATATAAATTAGAACCTTACATAGAATTTAAATTAAAAGACATCATTTTGCAAGGGGATGTGATGTTATAATTTTTAAATTAAGGATTTTTGTCAAGGTAAATATATTATAAAATTTTGAGCAATCAAAAGTTATTTTAAGCATGGTTCAATTGTGATTTCTTTGATTACACAGGTATTCTAATGATAGATAAATTTATGCTGGATAAAGCTTGCAAAGTATATTATATATCTATATATATATTTAAGGATAAATCAGGCAAGACCTTTTAGAAGGACTTTCGTATTGAGTTACATGTAGTTGAAGTTAATCAAGAAAATAAATCATTTAATTCTGTACATAACAATAGTAATTTCTAAAGTACTCATAAAAATTTTGGATTTTGATCTAAAATTTATATTTATTTTATTTCACATAATAAACGAATGAATTAATCTCAATCTACTCATACTAATAATTCTAGATTTGTGTCATTGAATAAGGATCCTCTTGAGAAGTACAAACAAGGATTAAGATAAAAGTTTATGTAGATGTACGATTAAATTGAAGAATAAAGATTTCATTAGCCAATAACTCCATAAGAAGGAACGATATTTTTAACTGAATAACAATCTCTTAGATCTCTATTAAATTCATCCAGAAGACCATCAGAAATTGAATCTTTTCAAGAAGAGTGTCTAATAATACAAAAAGAAAATTAGTTGACGGATCTATATTAAGCACCAAAAGAAATATCATTATCATACACTTAAAAAAGACTTAAAAATAGGATTTTTGATCCAATACCTAATGTTAATCCAATTTTCAAGAGTCTAATTGGTAGATCTCTATTGTAGCAATCCAATACCAAGTTACTTTAATAAGAATAAAGTTGTTAAACTAGTTTTAATATTGAAAAAGAAAACAAACTCTAAACTCAATCAGTTAGTCTCCTATTACCTAAATCAACAATAGGTATCTAAACTGCAGATATCCCAATTAAATAAGAAAATGTTTAGGTCTAATGTAGTTTTCGATAAAGCAGATGTGATTCAGAGATCGTTAATATTTAATCATATTTAGACCGACATTATGATTATCTATAATATTAACAACATTCAAATTGGAATCCTAATATCTCTGAACTTAAACTATTAAATATGTCAGATGATTATTAATACTCCTTTTGCAATATCTGTAAATAATTTGTGAAAAATTATATCAATTAAAATAATAACCATTAAAAGTCCTGCAAAGTACAGACTTATGAAAATTCACTATCGGAATTGATTGGAAAGTTTCAATACCTTCTATCCTCTGAAACCAATTTATTAAGAGATTTTGATGAAATGTGCAAATGTACTAGAAGATATTGTTACGCAGCATTGGAAATATGTACGTTATTAAGACAAACTCAAATTCAAAGAAGGATAGAATAACTAAGATAGGATTTGATTAAAGTTAATTAAGAAATTCAAAAAAATAAGAATAAGCATTCTCTAAAAATTGCTTAATTATTCTAATTTTTAATCTTACAATTATAGAATTGACTTTATTCATGATTCTTTTTATGACTAATTTTTATTATTATTCTCTCAATTCTAAGTATATTATAATAAAATAAATGGAAATAATCAAAATAGGTTCGATCGTGAGTATTTCTCATTTATAAGATGATGATGCTCTCATTGGTGGAGATGGATTTATCAAAAAGTATTAGTAAATCACTAAAGTAGTGCTGTAATACTAAAAGGTATGTCTCCTTTAAATAAATTGGACACTAAAGATTTTAACATTAGCTATTTTAGTCAAATGAAGTATTTATAGTTCTCATAATAGCATTCCTAATTGCTTATTTGTAGTATGTCCAAGAACATCAAATGGAAAGAAAGTAGAAGTTGCCAAAATCTTCCCTTAGAGAAAAAAGAAACCTTTTGGATCAATAAATGATGATGTAACTGATCAAAAAAGTGAGGTTACACCTGTAAGATCATAAGTACTATTGTATTATGTATGCTAATAGATTAAATCAGTAACCCACTCTGTGCAACCATTATTGAGCGAAAAGTAGGTAAGAGACAATCAGATGAATTTGTTTAATGAATTTAAATTTAATGTAGATGGGTTTGAGAAAGAGAAAGGCAATTATGTTAAATATGAAGAGCCAATCTAATTATTGCATTTAGCGTCATCTAAATGGCTTTGTTCATTGTTGGATGAGGCCAAATTTGAAAATTAAAATTTTAAATTGGCTTTGAGTGATTATACTAGCGATGAAACTCTATTTAAAATAGTAGCCACTTATAAATATTAAAAAGAAGGAGATCAAATAGTATATTCTCAAGAAATCGTCAGGATTATGCGTATGATACCTTTTCTTGGGAAACCCACTTATTTACATTGTTCAGGTGAGATACCATAGAAAGCCATTAAAGAGTATAGAGAGAATAGTGAAGTTAAGATTTAGAAGAGAGAAATTAATGCATCGCTTGAAGAATCAACATCTTGGAAAATTAATCTATTCGCTGAAGAACTACCCATTGATGGTGATTTGGTATGGATTCATCACTCTGAAACTTGTTCATAATTGGCTGTTGATTATGAAAGAGATCTAAACAGAGCTAAGATTTCTGTGTTTCAAACAGATTTAAGTGAATTATCATTTGATAATTACAGTGGCAATGCATATTCAATGTGGATAATTGAAGGTGAAGATTATAAGAAAGGAGGACCTTATTTATATTCTAATAATTATAGATTAAAGCATTTTCATACAGGGTTGTATTTAGCTTGTGTCAGAGTAATCCCAAAGGAACAAGAAGATATTAAGATTGATCCATATGGCAAAAAGAAAGTGATTATTCCAAAGAGTAAGAAGGTGCCTGCCACTTTTGCCTTATAAGTCTAGCCTAACAAGGATTCTTTGTTTAGATTTGAACCCTTAAAATCAGTTAATAAGGATGAAATTTAATCTGATTTTATTTAAATTAGAAGTGTCACTTAAGGAAAATATCTAGATGTTATTAATAAATTCCATCAAGATGAAAATACATTGAAACCAGTAATATTAAATCAAAAGAATGAACATGCAGTCTTTAAGATCTTCAGAGCAAATAAATAAGAAACCTAAGAAGTACTATTTTTAGATTCATGTACAAAATAATTAAGAAAGTATTAATTTTATATCAATTTGCTTTTTAAGTTTGAATAAAATTAAATGTATTAATCATTATCTGATGATGTAGAGCTATTGAAAATAAAGACCAAAAAATTGGCTACTGCTTAAAGATGCATTTAAAACTTAGATGATTTTCTTAGATAAAAAATATACAATTCAAGTCCATCTTAAAAATATGGATTTATATCTCCTAAAAGGTAGAAACTATTGAAAGATCAACATTTCTTTGATGTGCTGTTACAAATTCTTACATCCACAGTCACTAAATAAGAATTAGAAATATGGTCGAATAAAAAGGGAAATCTCAAGGCATTAGAATAACCATCCATGACTGAAAAAAATCAAAGAAAATAATAAACCATCTCTGAGAAGGATAAATTAGAGCTGTCCAATTCAAAGGTTGAGGTTTGCAATATGATTTTCGTGTTGCTACAAACTAGTGTAATAAATAATACAAGCAATTAACTTTATCTGTTTGAACGATTGCCAGATTATCAACATTATTGTAAGTATCTACCATAGACTATTAACTTTTTGATTGAGATGGTGAAGAGCAATGAGAAAATATTAATAAACCTATGCAACAATTTAAAGATCGAATTTGATTACATAAAAAAACAGGAAATTGAAGATGATCTTAAAAACAAAGTCAAAGTGTTAATAAATTTCTATGAGAAAGATGCAGGAATACAGTAGGATGTTTCAATTCCTGTAAAAGTGCATGATCGTATCATTACAAGACCAATCAATATAATACAATATTTCTTCAACTTGATTATTGATGACACTGCCAAAAACAATGAACATTATTTGAGATTTTTGAGACATATTTGTAGATATAAAAATAATGCCATTAGTATCAATTAGGAGAATTTGTTTAAGTTGTATAAGAAATATAATAAATAAACTAAATTGTTACAAATTGAAACTAATAATGGATGCATAATTGATAAGGAAATCTCATTTTAATATGAATTATTACAATTCTTTTCAGAAGTATCTTATGGTAGAAATTATTTATGGTAAGCAGAGTTGAGTCCATTGTTTGAGAAGGATATTCTAATAAACTAGATCTGGAATCCAAATCAGGTTGAGGGTAATCAAATAGATGATAAATTAAGGTCATATTGGTGCAGATTAAGTAGAACTCTGTATATTGATTAATAACCATTCTAATATTTGATTGTTCCTAATTTTTGTCGATTGTATTCCCCTTATCAAGACTAATTGAAAAACAGGAATGATGAGGAAATTGAGAAGCAATTCAAATTGAAAAAGATGTTTAAATACATAAAAACTAAGAGAAGCGAAGTCTATGAGGCAATAGCCAGTCGTGCATCTAGTGATTTATTAAATGATGAATTGGTCTATAATGCAGCTGATTAAATCTTAACTATGTTATAATTAGACATCATGCCAAATAAGTATTACAACAAAATAATTAAATATATGTCAGAAATGTTCATATATGATAGAAAGAATCTTGATTATTTGAATGCTGCAGTCAAAAGCTATCAAAAAACAGTTACTGAGAGGAAGAGTAAAAAAAGTATAGTGATCAATCAATTTGGAAATGTCTTTAGTGGAATGAAAGATCTCATATAGTTAAAATAAGAGGATAAGGAAGAAATTGCAGAAGAGGAAGAAGACGAAGAAATTAATTTATATGATTAACCGAAATTGTTTCTTAATCCAATAATGAAAGGATTTATGGCAATGAGTAATCAATTGGAAGGGTTGATAACTTTACCAAAATCATAATAGGAAATTGAATTTAAATTGAAAGTGTGTTCAATTCTTGATCATTTCTTAGATCGAAGACAGAACTTCCTTATTTCTAACATTTTATTATTCTTCTTAAAATATTAATATACAAATGACGATTTGTCAGATGAGGATGATGATTAAACTATTAAGGCTGCACCTAAGATATTTAATAATAACTACAAAACATTGATTCCCACTATTGCTAGAACTGGAATCGATGAGATTGATGAACCAGAAGATACAACTTAGGATTTCCTATAGATGGCAGTTAAGAAGCCACCTACATTTACTAACTATTTCCAATAATATAACATCAAATCTGAAGATGAATTCTAAGAATTAGATTACTACTTGAGTTAAGCATAAAAGTTTGATAATAATGAGAGATTGAGTGAAGATTAATTAAAGGAGAAATAAGTGGCAAGTTTATTACCCTATTTGATGTCAACTTACTTTTTAGTTAAGGATTAAGTTTTAGAGGAAAGGTGTCTTAATGTAATTATGAGAGTTTTTAATTAAAGAGAAGAGTTGCGAGAAAATATGAAAAAGCTGTAAATCTTATTTGATGATGATAATATAAAGATATACGAATTTGTTGAACATCTCCAAAAGGATTTAAGAGTAATGGTGGAGAAGACTGAAATTTGGTTGACTCAATTTAGGGCTGGATATGATGTTGAAGAACTAGATAAATGTGCCCAAATCATTAGACAATTAACCCTGTGTATGAGATAAGGAGTTCAAGTGAATGATCGCGAGCTAGTAGTTGAAGTAGTCAATAAAGAGATCAATGATTCTGAAAAGTAATCTATAATGACATTTCTAAAAATTCATGAAATAGTAATCAATCTCATTTAAAATGGTATGGCACATTTTATTTCTGTTTTGAATGATGAATTCATCAAAATAGAAAGAAAAGAACAATTATTATTGCTATTTTCTAATGCATTTAAGTTTCTCATTTGTTATTGCACGAATAACAAGGGAAATCAATTAATACTCTATCAATATCTAGAGATATATTTATAGTTTATATAATATGATGTTGGACAATGCAAACTTTTAATTGAAATATTTAGAGACAATCCAAGACTATTAAACACTGGAGTTAAATCCTTAGTATAAAGATTAATCGAAATAATAGAAAGAGAAGGAAGACAAGTGAAGTTTGTTGAAATGTAAGATTTATGATATTCATTTAGACTATTAAATTTAATTAGTATTGCAGGATAATATTTACTGGAAAATTAAATTCTGATCTTAAATACTTTCTTGCCTATGAGATCATTGAAGGAAACGGAACAAAGACTATTATATGCAGAAGGAAGTTAATAAAAAGATCTTCGTTTTTATTTTGATGATTAATTTTTGGAACCTGAAGAGAATTTGATAAAATAATTGGAAGCTATTGATTGGAAAGATTGTTACAGAGATGAACCATTTTTATATCATTCCAAGATTCTAGATTTGCTATTGTAAACATCTTTGATTGATAATACTGTAAGAGAATACAATCCTTCACTCATGCCTACGGATAATTTTAATATTAGTGTATTTAAATTAAAGAAAATGATCAAACCAAGTTATCTATTGGAAATCTTAAGATTAGATGATGATATGGTATCTCTCAAGCAAAGATTAGCAAGAATGCCAACTCAATTTATTAAGGGTTAAGCTAGTTAATATCAGGATGAATAATTTAATAAAAAGAAAGGTTATACAGCTCTGAAACCAATAGTATGCGAATTCTTGAGATTAGTACACATTGTGAGTGAAAAAAATAATGCTTAAGAGGGATTGCTATCCTAATTAAGCAGACAATTTATACATTTTGTTGAATTCGAAAGCAAAAAGTTAGAATTTGTTGCAGCTGGAACGGATTATTAAAATTGTTATGTAGATTATATTATAGGCTAAGTTATTCCACTTATTTTATGTTATCATTAAAGAGTGTTAAGTGTTTAATAAGAGGATGTTAAAAATGCATTAATAGAATTTTCTAGTTAGTTTGCATAAGCTCTTTGCTCAACTTTCTACTAGAAATTGACTAAGTATGAACAGCTAGAAATAATATCAAAGTTGAGGGAATATTATCAAAATGAATACTATGAACCTGCCTATAGGTAGGAAGGAGAGTAATCAATATTACATCTATAGCATATGCAGTTTTAATTAGAGGATGGTGAGGACTTATAGCAGCCGATTGAAGAATAGCATGTCTAATCAATTTAAAAGAAATCTTAATCCAAATCAAAGAATTTATTAAGTTAATTTGCTTCCTTGAATTTATCATTGATTAATAAAACTAGCAAACACAAAAGAGGCGATTTAACTCCAATTAAATTACAGGAACAATGGAAAAGATTTGCCGAGGAGTTGTTCAGATCTCCTAAGTTGGAAGAGCAAATAGACATTGAGAAAGAAGCATTGGCAGATGCAATCATTGGAATAGATAAATTAATATAGGAGCCTTGTGAAATTAAACCATCTTTGGAATCCATATTAAAGAAATTCATCACATTTCTTTAGACTGCTGTATTACAATAGGACAATAAGGGAACTATTGTCATATTATTAAAGATAATGTCTAAGATTATTGAGAAGCAAGATTCAGATGAAAAGAAAGAATACTATTAGAAATTATTTGATAATTTGGGAGCAACAAGAATGGTACTCAATGTGATCACAGATTATTCTAAATTACTAAGTAATGAAATGCTGTATTATCTAATTTCCTTTATTAATGTACTTCTTAGAAATGGTAATTCACAAGTACAGAACACAATATTTACGTTTTGTCAGACTCAATAGAAAAGTGAGGTGATGTTTTAGACATTTGCTAAGTATTTGGAAATTGCTGCTACTTCAGGAAGAGACAAGAATGAAGATAAGGAGGAAGCTGAAGTTTAGAAGCAAATAGTAAATTGTATATTGAAGTTCTTTTAAAATTGTACTGAAGGACATTATTAAGATATGTAGAATTACATTAGATATTAATATAATTCAAGAGCATCTAAAGATCTCATCAATTTAGTAGCAGATTTATTTAAAAATTATGACCGAACTAAATAGAATTTCAGTAATTTAATGTGTTGTTTGGATACACTAAATGAATTAGTTTAAGGTCCTTGTGCTGAGAATCAATTAGCAGTTGCAGATTCTAAATTTTTTGATGTGGTCTAAGAGATGTTTCCTTTAAGAAAAGGTGCTGTATCATAATAAAAAGCAGTTAAGTCTGCAGCAACAAAAAGGATAAGTGTGTTGCCATCCCAATCGGTTTCTAATCTTTTAACAAGAGGAATGAAGGCACAATTGTAAAACAAGATTTTAGTGTTGGTTCTGTCATTGTTGGAGAATAGGGAAATCAAAGGAAAGAATTCTATAATAAAAAGGATTATGAGAGTATTGCCAATGAATGTTTTAGAAAGACATTTGAGTAAGATTTATAAGAAATGGTTCAATAAATATACAGGTGATTATAATATGCAAGCATTTGAATTACTGAAGATAGATGCAATGGATTTAGATGAAGAAAGTTAGGAATTCAAGGATTGTGAAATTATCATATAGAATGGATTCTATATCATGTTCTTGATTTGCTATTATATGGAGAGTGATGAAGAGATCGATTCAGTCTTTATGGGATACAACAAATAATATTTAAAAAGTTAAATTTAATAGAATTCGTTGTTTGATCCAAACTCTACCTTAGGCTAATTGTTTGCTTTAGGTATGGAATTATATGAAATGTCCTTATTGAAAACCTAATAGATGTTTAATGAATTGAACAAGACCAGAAAGGATGATCCAGAATTCATCTTAGAATAGTAGAAGCGTAAATAAGAGGAAAAGAAGAAGAGATTGAAGAAAGCTTTTATGTTCTTCAGAGCTAGAACAGCTCACATAGAAGTAGTTAGAGATGATCAAATAGAATTAGTGTTCTTCCCATTATTACCTTTCAGTAAATTAAATAAGGATGAGAAGCAGTCTTTTCAACAAACAGTCGATCGTTCTTCTGCTAAATCTAAGGTTCAGGATCTCATGGAAAAGAGTCCCGAGTTAATCTAAATCATGAGACATGAGGAAGAGATGAACAGATTCTATAAGCAATATAAACTCATTGGATTCTTTGCCAATTATATACAATTGTGGAAGGACTTAGCCTTCTATTTGACTCTGATAATCAACACAATGATCATAGCTTCCTTTTCACATCAATCGGATCCAGACAGACCAAAAGAGGATGTGAGTAGTGAAGCTTTGGATGAATACGTATTCTTTAGGAAAGATGAATGGACTTAAGCATAAACTAAAGAGTTAATCAGTGCACTAGGATATGCCATGATGGTTTGTTCCTTGTTTGTTGTATTGTTTGTCTTAGCCAGAATAGCTCCCCTTATTATCAAAAAGGCTTTGCAAAGAAAACCCTTATTAGAAGGACAAGGAATGATAAAGCTATTAATAAATTGGTTGGCCAAATTCTTTTTCGTGCTTTTTTATTGTTTATAAGATTTCCAACTTAGTTTACTATTTGGGATATGGAGCATTATCTGTAATTGGTACTTTAGTACATCCCTTTTTCTTTTGTTTCCATTTGACAGTCATACTAATAAGATATCCCACTTTGAGTAATGTTGTTAGAGCAGTCACAATGCCTTGGCAACAATTAGTGCTGACTCTATTGCTAATTATTATCATTACATACATCTTTACACTTATTGCTTTCTATGCTTTACAAGATCCCTTTGGATTGGATTGCAAGGAAGTAAGTATCTGCTTCTTATAAATATTTGATAAGAATTTCAAAATCCCTGGAGGAATAGGAGGTGATATTACGAATAATAATCCATCTCCTACTTATGAGATTTTTAGATACCTTTATGATCAAATTAATAATCTATTGTTAGTTATTATCATGGTGAGTATTGCATCAGGTATTATTATCGATACCTTTGGATAACTAAGAGAAGACGAAAACAAGATGAATAGTGATATTAAAGATAAGTGTTTCATATGCGGTTAAGAGAAGTAATTACACATTAATAATAATTTAGTATCATTTTCGAAAGAAGTTCAGATGGATCATCGGGGGGATTTAAGAATCATATAAGACAGAATCACTATATGTGGAATTACTTATATTGTAAGATTTTAGTTATTAACTTTTATTAGATATTGCTTATTTGTAATGGAAGGATCCATAAGATTATTCAGGCATCGAATCCTATGTTGATAAAAAAATAAAAGACACAGATTTGAGTTGGATTCCTTTTGGAAGGGCTAGAGAATTAGACAAAGGAGAGGATGAATCAGAAAAATAGGCTAAACAGATGGAACAATCATCCAGTAATATTGCATCATTGTTGACTCATTCCAGTGATATAATTTAAGCACTTAAAGAGAAGAAAGAAAAAAGAAAACAACACTTCACTTAATAAACTTAACCAACACAATATAAGGAGTAAATCTTATCCCAATAATCAATGGCATTATTATGAATATCATTTTCTAACTCCATAGACTTATTGAATTGTTAATAAATTAGTTCTTATTTTTGGTTTCTTTTCTCTTTAATTACTGATGGATTGTTGGTAATGGCAATTCTTTACTTAATTTGTCAGAATAATAATCACTCAAAGAAATGGATTTACTTCCCTTATTTGATTAGCACTCATATTTTGTGTTAATGAAACTTTTCTGTTACTCAGATTCTGATCTTGCATTGGATGGCGTTTTATCAATCCTATTCATCAATCTATCAAACATGGGATATCTTTCTGTTTTATTTGATCTTCTACTTGATAGATTTTTAGGAGTAATCTAAGGTTGTTATTAAATTTATTAACTATTAATACTAGTAGTGTTATTCATTGTGATAGTATCTTATTTCTCATCCTCCATTGTCATATTAATTTTTATTTCACTTTTTGCTGTCTAAGAATTCAATTCAATCAATTAGGCTTGAAATTAATCTGATGCAATATCAGCACAAGTTTATCCTCCAGACTGAATTATTTAATCCAACAGCAAATAATATGCTGTAGTTACATCATTATGTTGATTTGAACATAAACATTAATAGATATACTTTTTTGTATATCCCAACTTTTCTACTTGACTTACAACATTGTTATCTATGGGAATTTTATGTTATCCAATTAAAATCCCTTGTTTTATTTAAAAACTGGTTTTGTATAAATTGAACCAAGGATGCTTTCTAATTTAATCAATATTAGGTCTATCATCAGGATCTGGATTCAAAATAAATTTTAAAACATCTACTGCATCACTGCTTAAGAAATTAGGAACCTTATAATTTGCTGATAGAATTTTCTTATATAACTAATTTGTATTTGCATCTTCAAAAGGCAAATAACCACACAACATCACAAATAATACAACTCCACTACTCCAGATGTCAGCTTTTAAACCACTGTACAGTTTTCCTGATATCATCTCAGGGGCTGCATAACAAGGTGATCCACAAGCAGTCTTTAATAGATCATCATAAGTATTTGAGAGACCAAAATCTACAATTTTGATTCGACCTTTAATTAAGAGATTCTCTGGTTTTATGTCTCTATGGACTATTTTTAATTTGTGCAAATATTCTATTCCTGATAATAGTTATTAAAACAAAGCACATGCATTAACTTCTGGTACTTTCTTATTTTTAACAATGTAACTAAAAAGTTCTTTTTAGCAATATTCCATCACAATGAAAATATATTTATTTGTTTCGAAGACCTCATATAACATAATGATATTCGGATGTCTAACAATTTTCAGAATGTGTAATTCACGCTATACTCTCTCTATATCCACAATATCAACCATTCGTGATTTATTCATAATCTTAATAGCCACTGTTTGTTAGGTAGGAATGTGAACTGCCAATTTCACCTTTCCAAAAGTGCCAGAACCAATCGTCTTTCCCAATTGATAGTTGCCAATGCATTTCATAATATAATTTATAATAATCACATTATAGTACAACAACCTGTCTAATTAATTCTCCTGCAATTATGATCTTCTTACATTCGATGCTTTAAACAAACCTCTCGATGACAATGTCGACATTCAAACTTGTTCACCTCATTTAATTTGATTTTGCATTAAAGACATTTTGATTCCTCTTTCTTTACTTATTCGCATACATGTTACTTTAAAATCTCATTTTCTGATTAGTTTGATAGGTATTGTATAACTTTGTTGCATTTAGAACATTGCACTGCCTTCCTTCAGCAAATTAATATGGACATTCATGATCTTTAAGATCCTTATGTTCGAGACAAAATTTCTTATGACAAAGTGTACATTAAAATGGTAAGAAATCTCTTCTTTTACAATATTCCAAAGCACATCTTTCCATTTGATCATCTAAGTTCATGTAAATAGTATTTTTTCAGTATTTTATTTTCTATTTTATTTGATAATCTCTATTTTTATAAATTTAAATAACTTATACGTATATATATACTTATTTTCAGTTTTCATCATCTTTATATATGAATAAACTCCATCAATTATCAGATGTAGATTATATATGAGGATTGAAATTTAAATCTGTAAATAATATCTCCTTTAATATATTACTTTATAAATTAAGGTTAGATTTATTATTTTTATTTTGTCTCCAATCAATTTTTATTATCTATTAACATACTATCGATTATTTAATTAATTTTTTTGAATTTCTTTATTTTTAAATGGTCATTTAGAATAATTATATGTGAAATTGAATTACCAAAATATTTATGTTTTGAAAAACTCTTTCCGAACTCCTCCATTCTTAATAATTCTCAGTTGAAAGTTGAACTCAGAAAAATTAATCTAAAATCTTAAACAAAATATTATTAGGCTCAGACCTTGTCTTAATTAAAGTAATCCTGCCTTTCAGGCTTTCGATAAAATAATTTTCACTGAAAAATTCAATAGGCTTTTATTTATACTTAACATAAACATATTATTAGTGTTGATATATTTCTATCTAAATATTTGCAGTTTTGAGAAGTATTTTTAAAGAAATGCCTAGTATTTTTTTCATTTTCTTAAAGAATAAAAGTCAAAGAATGATTAGTTACCTCTAATTAAATATTATAGTTTGGAATGAAAAAATTGTCATCTTTAATAGCTTACTATATTTTTTATGATTAACCTTATTGTAATTCATTTTTTTGTGGAATCCTAACTTTATAAAAGAGAAGTTCGAATAAATAGTTTTGCACAAACTTATTTTTAGGGATATGTTGATAGAATTATATTTATTCATTAAATAGGTTAAATATCACATATATTTACTGATATAATAATAAAAATATTCTAAAGTTTAGTTAAAAATAATTGATAGTATTCATCTTTTTATGATTTTCTTTAAAGAATCATTTTAATTATTTTACTAATTATATTATATTAAGAAAGCATATTTAAGGACAAAATATTAACTTTATTCTCTCTTAATAATAAATCTATTAAAGTCGATATAATACTAGTCTTATTCAATTTATTTCAGAATAATGTTTTTAAATAAATTATATATATGATGCATATGATCATTTAGATGCAGTCTTTGCGCTTGTATTCATGTTGCTAGAACTATCGGATGCCAAAGATCCTTTGACTTAATCTGGAGTCATAAATTTTCCATCATCCAATCCTAATGCTGATAATACAATTAAAACTATGATGGCGATAAAAATTAGGCCAATCAAGCACATTAACAATTTGTCAGTATAAACTTATCTATTCAATAACTGTAAAAAGAAACTTTGCAAAATATTTTATTTTTTCAGCCGATCTTTTCAAAACTGATTGAGTGTCCTTTACTTTGTCATACATACTATCCAATTGGGCTATTTGTTAATCAATATCCATTATGATTTTTTCTGCCAAATCATTACCCTGCTAAACTATTCCTATGGTGCGGTCTACTATTATTGATGCTAAATTTTTTTGATTCTATAAAATACCATCTTTCTATAATTAATCTCCCATTTCAATAACTTATTAGCTATTCATATCCTCCAATCCTTAAGGTTACTAATTTGACCTTCCTTTAAATAGATTATCATATTTCTACGCTTCATTTTTTTTAAACTTTAGTTCAGATTACAATTGCAAAAATCTTTAGTTAATTGATTCTAACAAATCTTTGTACCTAGAGTCGAACATCAAAATACTTTACGCTTTAGGCTTTATCTAGTAAATAAATCTCTAGTTGATAACTTTCAATTTTGGAGGAAATTATTTTAACTTGAGCTTCACATTGTTTAATTCCATCTTATTTTTGGCTATATTCCTTTTTGCTTAAGGAATTTATTGTTTTTTATAATTCATCTAAACCTTCATTGAGAGTACGATTATATTCGTTCAAATAAATCATTTTTAATTTAAAAAATAATGAATTTATCAAAAAATATTGTTTAAATAGAAGAAATTAAAATTCTCATTAAGAGTTTTTCATAATAATAGAAAATTCAAAATAATATTGATTAAATTAAATTAATAATTATTAAAATATGTCGACCTATAAATATTATAATTATTAATTAATACTAAATAAAGAATAGACTCTATGCAGGTTGTTAATTATGTTAAATAACTGGTTAAAATTTTATTGAGCTAGTTTAAAGTAAGTCTAAATATATAGAAAAATAAATAAACACCAGATAGTTAATATATCAATAATTATTCAGTTACATAATAAATTTTAGCAAATAATGCCCAAAATGGAGGGGAATATTTAAAAAAAATTCACATCTCAGAACATGGATTTTTATAACTAGAAGAATGAGACCAAAATAAAGAGAGATATTTTTGCTATAAGAGAATTAAATGCTAATCAAATTGAAAAAGTCTTTTTAAAGGAAATCTTAATGACTGAATGCTTAAGGTATTAAAAACAATCCTGAAATCGATTTTAACCATAATCAGTCCAAGCTTATTATTGAAAGTGGAAATATATCTCAAATAATAAGCAGGTCGTTTATGTTTATTCTATTTAGTAATAAAAGAAAACCCAAAAGAAATAAACTGCAATACATATGTTTAGACATATATGAAACAGTGTTTTTCTATTTTGATAAGTTATTTGTAAATTGAACTTATCATCAACTTAGAGAGCAAATTTAGAATTTTTATGTCAAAAAATATTTCTGAATGTTTTTCACAGTATCTTTATTTAATTTTCAGTGCGAAGTAAATTTAGAAAAAGGCTTATAAAGGTAGTTGTTTAAAGGATAGTTCTTTAAATTCATAAAGATAACTTAGTAAATAATTGTTGGATAGTGTTTATGCAAATTTTCATTAACTTTTTTGTAAAATAGTGAATGACATCGTAAAAAACTGATGGTGAATTTTTCAATTAAGAGAATTACATTGTAATATAATAAAAAATTAAAGAATTGACAATGTAATAAAATTTTGTTGCTTGAAAATTACTGATTTCATTTTATACACCTAATTTGAATATTCGCATAAAATAAAATTTAATCAGCAATTATTTTAGAAAAAATATTGGAACTTTGTAAATAGGATTTCATCCTCCCTTAAATATCTTCAGCATCATTTAATCTATAATTTAGATTAGTCTTTTTATAAGCTTAATCTTCTATAAGATTTTAAATTTATAAAATCTCAAGATTTCTCCAAATTTACCCCATAATTTAGGAGCCATCAAACTAAAGATGTGAGCTTTCAAACAAATCCATATTACTTTACTACCTTTTTCAAGTAGAAGCTTTGTAAGAAGTTAACTATTTATACCCCCTTCATTCAGATAGAAAAATCTAAACCCTTAAGATGTTTGTAATCAAATTAATTTCAGTTTAATGATTATATCTGCAGGCTTCACAATTTCTAAAAATATTACTTTTCGCTTGATTTTCTTTATTTTCATTCGCGGATGATTAATATATTGTATTCTTAAAGAATATCAAAAATAAACAAATAACTAAAACTACTCACATCCATGGAAGTTTCTTAATATACTTTGTATTTCAGATTCACAATGAAACATCTTCTCTAAATTTTAAGCGTTTAAAGAGTAATTCGTGGCAATGACTCCAATGATGATTTAGAAATGCTACTGGAAAATACCTACTTATTTAGTAGGTAATTATGACTAATAAAACTTCAATTCAACTTTTGTTAGTAGTAGAGATCAAGTTGCATGTGAACAGCTCCTAATTTGCTATAAGACAAAATAAATCAATTATCACATTAGTAGTTGTTTTCCTTTTAATTACTTTACATTAAATATTTAATCCAAGGAACAATAACATTTCTCATTCATCGGTTACCTTAATCCAATGACATATCATCTCTTACAGCTTTGATGGTAGTTAAAAACCTTTGGATTTTAGGTGTGTGAATATAAAAAGTAAATATGTATTTTGTTTAAATTATTTAAAAACACACTTTATCATGATTTAAGAAGTTCAATAATTTTCATACACTCAAAATGCTCAAAAGTTTAAAACAATTATTAAAATTATGATTTAATTGCAAAAATTCAAATATTATTTCCTCGATCTATGCACTAGCCCATAAATATACTAGAACAATAAAGTTCCTTATTTGATACATAGTTCCATTATGAATTATCAAATTATAATTCCTTTTTTAGTCGTTGTGAATTCTTGTCTTTAAGAATATTGTAACTAATTATGATTTAGAATTATTGTTATTGTAATCTTTGTTTATGTATTTGATAAAAGTGAGTATTTAAGCCTACCTAAATTTTATCTAAGACAATTGAATCACACTCTACAAGAGTAATACCCTATATAGAAAGAAAGTTAGGAATGATTCCTGAGCTTTTCTAGTCTTAGAAGTTAAGGTAAACAATAAAAGTATACTTAAAGTCAAAGAAGTGCTATCTCCTTATTTTGGATAGTTGGGAAGTAGTGAAAAATAATGTGAAGGTATGCTATTAATTATGTTCTCACTAATACTTAAAATTTAGGATTAAACTGGGGATAAAAAGATCATCAATCAGAACTTCAATTTCTCTTTGAATTCAACACATTTGTTTTGCTTTTGAATTGTTTAATGAGTTAAACTTCTAGCCATTGGTTGATTAATTTTTCATTAATACTTTCAAAATAATGTTGAAGATAAAGTGATTACTTAATCTATTTATATTAATAATCGTATTATATTTGGGATTATGTTTGTTTAAGCTGATTCAGCTTCTAAAGCAATATAAACTCTAATAATTAATTGATGTTGAAGAACTTAAGAGTAATAACTATACTATAACTTTATATATGATATATACACATTTTAGTAAAATGCTTCATAAAGACAGATTTCCTTACTTTCTCCTGTCCTTTTGACAGGCTATACTTACATTCTCTTATTGTTCTCTTCTATTTAAATATTATACACAACTATATAAGCATGCTCATTAGTTTCTAATGACTACAAATATATAGATTTAATTGTAGCCTATCCACCTTGAAGATTATGCCTAAGAATAAGCAGATGAAATTTAAGTAAAAATTTTCAAAACTTACAAAGTGGTTGGTATTTCACTGACCTCATAAATTTTCTAAACTCTACTTTAAGAATAAATTTAAGAAAACTCAAGAAGACGTTTTAATAATCCAATATAGTCTTCTTCCATCTAATGATTAAATTATTTCATTACTTGAACAAAGTTTTGGTTTCACACGCATAAGTAGAATATTATTATCCTGTCGTGGTTACTTTTAGTGCATCTTAAGCTACTTTTGATGAAGTCTTTGGGTCAAAAATTACTTCTGATCTTTGTTCTTCGCTGTAATCTCAGTGATTTATGTAATAATAACCTCAAAATGCTGAATGGATTTAGAATAACAGTAGCACACTGAAAACTATGGGTGATTATCCGCAAGTTCATGGAAAAAAGATATAAACATCTTACACAAATAATAATCAGTTATATCAGAAGATAAAGCAATATGTTAAAATTATTTATAAATTGGTAATTATAAAAGTTCAAACGTACTCTAAAATTCGAATGATGAATTATATTTAAACAAACGAAAATTTTATTAATTTTGCCACTCTGCTCAAATAAATGTCCAGGAAATGGAAATATGGTATTTTGAATCTAAAACCTAATTTTAGTCCATTTAATGCAGGTCTTTTTTAATTTATAAAATATAAGTTGTATATTGTAATTGTAATTATAAAACAACACAAAACAAGTCAGAAGCATAATTAATTTACTCTAAATCTTATCGTTTATGATTTGATTCACTTATTCATTTTTAGATACTCAAGTCTTTAGAGCGAGTGTTGCATGATCTACAGTAATTCACGCTTAATGGAGCTGTAAAAAGCTATTATTTACCTCAAAAAATCTTTAGGAAACAAAGTTTCTTTTGGAAAATTTCCTACTCATTACTAACTGCAGACGTAAGATTTGTTCTTTTTATCCTCTATAATTCCACTCCCAACTTTAATAGCTCCAGTTAATCATTTTCTATCTTTAGACTTACTCATCTTATTTTTTTTCCTCCTTTCCAAGCAAATATCATTTGTTATATAAAAAACTTGTTCTGAATTTTATCTTTCTAGTATGTTTAAGATTCATGATTTCCTATTATATTGGTCAATCAATGTTAATGATCAATTCATATTGGGGGAACGATTATTTTATATTATTTTGAAACTTTTTGTTAGATTAACATCAATTAGAATGATGGATAATGCTATTTTGCTAATTTAAGTTATTTTAATTCTTTAATGAATTCTGGTGGTTTAAACATTTAATTCATTCTCTCTAATCCTTTAACTAATTAATTAATTCGGTAAGGAAAGTCATAATGTGATTTATGAATATTATTTTGTACATACTTTTATATTTGATAAAATCCAACTCAAAAACTTATTTTGAATGCAATAATTTTAATCTAAAAGATTCTGAAAGTAAACATCCACTGAGAATTGATATCTTCTCTTAAATTAAATTACTAAATTGACTCTGATTTTAATAATTTAATCACTATCTTAGATGCTCATTAGTTCTTTTTATTAATTAGACAGGAAGAATTGCAAAATTATTATAATAATTTAAGGTTTTCAAATTCTCGAACCATCAAGTTGTTAATAAATGCTAATAAATAGATAAGGGCTAAGAATAATTAAATGAAAAGAGGCGATATTTTAATGTAAAAATAAATCTAACCTATTATTCATATACAAAATTAATTTTAATCAATATAAAAATTAATATTCTTAAAATTTATCAATTTATTTAATAATTTCATAGAAAGAAAAACCTATCTTATTTTAGAAATTTTAACTTTAAAGAAACCTAAGAATTTTTAGAAAATTCAATTAAAAGATATTAATTAATTAAACCTAGATTTTATAAAAAAGCAATAAGATATGATTTACAACTTAGTCTGAATACAATTAAATGGAATATAAGATATTTGTAAGGAGAGACGTTTCCAAGTATATACAATTCCAAATTTTGATTTTTAATAGCTTTATCAAAATCTAGTCCACCCCTGTAGAAAGAGCTTAAAAGTTATTGATAATGTTCAATATTGATAAATATAATTTTATTATTAAAATGTCAGTTATGAGTTAGAATAATGATCCCTCTATGAAATAAAGAGACAATAATCGCCAACAAATCACATCACTAAGTAAGCATTTATAGGTTCATAGTCTAGATCAATTATCAAATATGTATGGAAAGTCAAAGCCAGGTGAATTGGCATAATCACTAGTTTATGGTGATAAACCCAAAAAAGAAAACAATCGTCCCTCAAAATAAATGTAAACTGCTGTTTCTGAGAAACCAAACTAATGGTAAACGCGAACTTTGGCTGTGTCTCCTTCCAAATTTACAGTTCTCGCCTAATAACTTTATAATCATATCCCAGACACATTGGAAGCCCATAAATCTTAAAGAGCATTCCATGTTAAAGATTAGAAATTGTTGTTGTCTCCAGAGAGATTACATTCACTACCTAATTAAAATGGAGATAAAACTCCAGAAGTCTGTAATAGACTCCTTGAATACAAGACCTTTGTAAGTGACAAGAAACAAACACTCAAAGAATAATTGGATGCTGAATACTTGAGTCAATGCAGCTTTTAACCACAAATAGATGAGAAGAGTAGAAAAATGGCCATAAAAGCTACAAATCAAGAAGTTCGTTCTGCAGATGAATTTCATGAATAATAAATGAGACATCTTCAAAAAGTCAATGAAAAGAGAGAAGTCCTCTAGAAACAATAAGAGGAAGATGAATAGGCTGAATTATCTAGTCCAAAATTAACAGTTAAGACTTAGAAATTAACATTAAAATATTGCGAGTAGCCTCTTGTTGAAAGATTGCATGAAGTCAAGTCTAAGACTTAAACATTACCTGATTCTACTTTAGGTCATTCATTCAAACCCTAGATATCCAAGAAATCCAAGGAAATCAAAAGAGAAGAGTCAGTCTAAGATTTCTTATACAATGATGCTAAAAATAGGTTAGAATAAAAGAGATAAACTGAAACTATGATTCCATAATCAGTCATAGCTCCTACTGACAAGAGTTAATCTTGGTTTGTTCAAAGATTTATCAAGGAATTCTATTACTAATTGAGTGGTTTAGATAGAGTTCAAGAAACAAAGGATTATTCTAAGATATATTAGGATGACTTCTAAAAAATATTGGGAGGTCTAGGTTTTGGATAATGTGATATGTTGTGGAATGAGTTGAATAATGGATTTTATGTTTTATCAAGAAACTTACTGGTTATCCTATTAGCCATCCAAGCAGTACCATAACACTTAATAGAAATACCATTGTATAAGCCTAAAGTGGAAGAAAACATTTAAGTTAAGTCTAAATATTAATGTGATGAGAATGGAAATCTGATATTGAGTGTTGGGGATTGTTAAGAATTACACAAGATGTTCTACAAATTATATTTGAATACTAAACAACAGAATGGAAATGGAGTTAGAAGAAGAATGGCTCGTTCTCCATAGCCTGACATCAGATGTGGATCACCCAAGATATCAGATAGAACTAAACAATTGGCTGAAGCCAAGAGATAAGATTCATCATTGTTTGAATGGTTCACTCAATAAGAGGAGAAGAAGAAGTAGGGTTTGGAGGAGTTAAAGAAACAAGTAGAGGAGGAAAGGATGAAGGAGTGTAAATCTATCTAGAGAGAAATTACAATAGATTTACAACAATTAGCCAAGCCTCTCTAAAAGCAAGAGGATAGAACAACTGTGGATGTGGAATTTGATAATCAATAATAGCATTGCACATTCCAACCATAGATTAGTAAACCAGCCTCAAAGACTTAAGCAAGTAATTATGCTTCTCAAGAGATGGAAAAATAGGCTGCAAGAATGAAGGAAGCTAGATTGAGATAGAAGACACTTGCAAATTTAAAGAACAAGGGAACCACCACTAATAATACCATTAGAAGAAAGGAGAAGTGTCTTACTGAGAATGAACTCAATAATGAACCAAAATAAAAGAAGAATAAGAGTAGACCAATTAGTGACAAGACCACTCCCATGTTGTATGTAGATGTTAAGATTGAGGATGGCAAAAGTGCTAGAATTGTAGTGTTTGAAGGGGATACTTCAATCAGTTTGGCCAATAAGTTTGCTAAAGAACATAGTAATAATATTTATTAAACATTAATTAGAATTGGATGAGAATATGAAGGAGAAACTTAAGGACTTGTTGGATTAATAGATTAATTCTTATTTGATGAAGATTGAAGAAGAGTAAGAACAGGAAGATGATTGATTTATATATAGATACTTAAAATATAAATTTTATATATTAAAATGTATGTCAAATTTTTGACATAGTGACAAGTTCACAATTAAATAGTATCGAATTAAATAATTTTACAGTAATGTTTAATGAAGAACTAGGAGTCATTGATTATGAAGTAGAAAGTGATGATTCAATTGAGATGATTGATAACCCAGAGGATATTGTTATTCCAACTCCAATATAAGAATAGAAATAAATAACTTAATAGATTATAGAGTAACAACCACAGCAATAACTAAATATAGAAAACACTGAAACCATTGAAAGACAATAACTTGAAGAAGAGTAAATGTTACGTCGACCTTATGCATTAAGATGGAAAAAGAAATCAATTAAGAAATTAGAAAAAATCACCTCTAAATTGACTGATTAAGATTACGATGAAATTAAAGATGTTTTAACTAAAAAGATAGCAATGTCTGAATCCAAAATTAATAATAGCAATTATTACAACAAAAATAATACTACCACTAATAATAATACTAATAATGATGTAATCATATCTGGATCGATCCTAAAAAATCCATAAACGACACTCAATTAAGTGCAGAAATAGAAACAATTCTAAGTTCTTGTTGAGCATTTTGCAAATAAACCAGACTTTCTAGAAGCCATTATTGCTTAAGATCTTGAATAAGAAAATGAAAACCATGACGGAGGAATACTCAAAAAACCAATGATAGTACCACCAAAGGCAGGACTAAAGAAATAATAAGGCAGAAAGAAAGTAAATGTTACTTTTGAAGATCAATCGTAACCACCAAATGGAGGAATTTAATTCATTAAAACCAGTGTGTTACCATAAAAGTAGCCTCCTCCCCCACAACCTCAATAGCAAATTCAAAATATACTCTCCAAATTCTAAGAAATTAGAGAAAAATCTGCTGCCCCTCCATAAACCTAATATACAACTGCTGTCTAAGAGTCTTCTAATATGCCTTTAGGCACAGGAGCCTGGTATCCTAATAAATAGGATAGAAAAAGTCAGCCTTTTGTTCCTCCTCATGCTGGATCTAACCCTAAGATGTTACCAACTGTTAGTTCAGTTTAAATGATTTCCTCATCTTAGGCTGCCCAATAGTCTTTAAATCATAAATTTCTTGAAATGAACCAGAATTAATCAAGAATCAGTAATAGTCCTTCCAGAATTAGAGACATGATTACATTATAATATACTTCTTCATATTAGGTTGATCGACCTCCCATTATGCCAAGTCGATAACAACCTGTATTCTAATAATAAACGTTGGAGAGGAATATCAATTATGAATTGAATCAAGCAAAAAAAAATAAGGAACAATTGAGTGGTCATTAATAATCTTAACTTAGGGAGTCCTAAATCAAATTATAAGCAAAAATATAAGAAAGTGTTAAGAGACAAAGTGTTGTTTAGCCAACTATAGAGGAAAACGATTCTGATTTTATGGATGACGGTATGGATAGTCAACCATTTATAGATTTTAAGAGAGCAGGCAACATACCTTGTGCATCTTAACAATAAACATATTAATAATATTGGCAGGAGATTAATTTCAATACAGATATTCCTAAGGATTATTATATGAATGAGAAGTTCAGAGTGGATTTGGAATAAGAAATAGAAACAAGTGATCCTTATGAACTATTTAAATTATATTTTGATTAGAGCATTTTCAAATACATATGTCTGATATCAAATAAAAGATAATGCATAAGAATTGATGAAGATATTTTGGAATCATTTATTTCAGCACTGATCTACATTTTCTATATCCAATTATTAGGCATGAGAGAGATCAAAAGAGTCAGATTTGATCATATACTTGATTATGTGACATTTGGTCATATTTGTAAGGAAATCCGTATTGATGAATTAGAAGATTATTCCTTCATTTTTGAAAAGATAAGTAAGAATTTTAAATCCCATTACCAACCAGAGGAATTCTTAACCCTCGACTCGCCTATATTTTATTAAAATCACAGTGTCGATGGTCTCATATCACTTTCAGATGGAATGAAAGGATATGTGTTGGACTTTATTTATGGAATTAAAGAATAAAAGATTCTTCAAAGTTTATAGATCTATTAAGGAAAACACCATAAACTGTATTTAGGACCTGATGTATCATCTCTAAATCTGATCATCCAATTAAAAAAGAAATAATTTGGTGCATTGGCCAAAGTAGTAGACAAATAGGTATGTATTTTATTATATTTAGACCCAACTTACGCAGGATTAGATTTAAGAAGTAAAATAGAATGCACAAAAGGGGTAGAGCACTCAATTTTTATCATCTGACAATTAGACAATAATGCTTATTTTTGCAGAAAGATAATAACATTTATAGTAAGTTGAGGGATTTGTATCTTCTTTTGCTGACTTCACAAGACTTAAACCTCAAGATACTAAAATTAAGAGTGATGTCAATAAGCCGATCATCTTATATCTCTATGATAAAATTAAGACATAATATGATAAAAGAGGTAAAACTTATTAATATTCTCAAATACCTCATCAAAATGGCAATTAACATTTAGAAATATTAGTGTAATTAGTTTATTCTAGTATTTATAATGCTAATATTTTAAATAAAATAAAAAACTAATCAGCCTCATTAACACCTGAAAAAGCGAAATAAATGTATTTAGAATTTGTTAAACAATTATTACACTCATTCTATGTACGTAGTTTGAAAAGAAGAGGCATTAATTAATTTCCTTAAAATCACACTTTGGAATCGGGAGACACAGGAACCTTTAGTTGCATTGAATGTGGAGAATCTAGTTAAACTATTTGTAGAGAATGTTCAAATCATTTCTAAATGTTGATACCCGTTTGCAGAAGTAAGAATGAACAATGCTTAAGATCACACATAGAAATGTTAGCAAGTCAACCAAAAATCACAAATACTAATAGAAAACTAACTAATAAATAAGCTATTGTCAAATTTGAATTTTATCGTTCTCAAATTGAGGCTTCTAAAGATTCAAATGCATAATCTGCGTTGCCAGTTATTGAAGATACTTTATAGTAGTTAGACACTTTGGATCCTGATGAAGAATTATCAATAGGAATTCAAACTTTATTGGTTTCATTGTCAGACATGATACAAAAAATGTTCCAATAACCTAACGTCTTAGTTCCATAGAAAATTCAACAACATAAATAAGAAGTCTACACTTTAAGTTAAATAGATCCCCCTATTAAATCAGTCTAGCAATTATAAAAGTCAATCTCTTAGGTTTATAACAATTCATAGGAAGTTAGCCATAAGTCCTAAATAGTGCCTCAAATATATAAAACAAAAATTGGAGAATAAATGAACATAGAACCTTCAATTCAGAAATTGCAAGCTAGAGTTGCCAGAATCAATAAATGATATATATCATCATATAATTATTATTTAATTTTCTATAATCCATTAACATTATCAAATGCTACAAAAAATACTAATTACTTAAGAACTATATATCTTATACAACAGAAGTCAGTTCAATTTAATTGTTTATGCAGATGACTAAATTAGATTACCATATGATCAATATATCCTGATGTTTTTGTAAAGTATTTTAATTAATGAAATCACACATATTATTATTATATGCTAAAAAAAGCATTAACTTATTGTCTTTAAGATGATGACCCAGTTCAGGTTTCTGAATTAATCGGCGTTAAAGAATATTAGAAATAACCAAAAATATGTCAAAGCAACTTTGTGACTTCTTCCGATCTGAAATAGATGATAATAAACCAAAAGAGGGACAACAGTGTTTAATCATATCGCAAAATTTAGCATTACGATGCTGACTTAAAACCAATCAATCGAACATTTGATTGCAGATTGCCTTTGAATCAACATACTTGCAAAAAATACATCAATCTCAAAATGATCCAAGAACCTACTAAACCTAAATTGTACTTTGGAATCAAGCATTAATAATTTAAAGTAAAAATATAATTAAAATGAACATTAGATAAAAATCAAGATGCAAGGCAGACGATTGGAAGACATGTTCTGAATATAAAAACTTTGACTAATTAATTTATTAATTTTTTTATTTGCTCATGAATTTTAACAGATAGGAATTACTTAATTTGTAAAATAGAATATTAAATCGTCCGAAGAGATTGAATTCTGTCTATGTGGCACCAGCATTTGATGATATAGGAATCTTGGCTGAATTACCTAATAATAAAGTCCCAAGCTTAGGATTCAAGCAATAAAGTGCATTAAGAACCTAAATCAAAAAATATCGAAATTTATATCTATATGACAAGAAGCTATTTAGAAACAAGAAAGAATCCAGAGACTTCAGAGAAAACATTGAAAACAAAGGATCCACTTATTACATCAATAGTTCGAAATTATCTGCTTAGCCTCTTTGGGAAGATGATATGAAAATTACTAAATTGAGCATCATAAAATCAGAAATATTGAGAAACAAAGTTCCCGATATTCCAAAATTACACAATAATTCCTAATCCAATTGTCCCAGAAGATTATCTAATATCAACCCAGAACCAATCTAATTTAAAAACCTAGTAGCGTTACCCTCTATCCGTGGTTGGGATGATAACAATCAAAACACCTAGAGATCAAACTGAACTATGTCTATTTATTATTAATTTCTTATGTAAAATATAACTAATTATCCATGGATTATAACTTCCTAAAAATCATGGTAACATAAATTAATAATCACTTTTTTGAGTGATGTAGTCCAAGCTTATAAATCCCTCGACAAAGAAAGTGGAAATTTCAATTCGAAAATTGAGCTTACTAATTATAATTAATAACTACTTATGATAAATAATAGAGTTTGTTAGTTAAATTTTCATGCTTCAAAAAGTTAGGCTTTATCAATTCCAAATATCTATCTAGCCCCAGGTGAATATAATATTTATTAACATACGGATGTTAATAAAATCATCATAATTATGTTACTCACTATTATGAAAAAAATTTATGGTAGATTAAACCAAAGTTACTCGACATTTCAATGAAAAACACTGTGGGTTAAAAATTCATTTTTAATTAACCGTAAATATGCCAAGATTGGAAGTAGATTACTTTACTTAAATCAATACTAATAGACCTTAAGTAGACCTTAAGAGTAATTAAAAAATAATTAAAGGAAATATCAAAGTATCCAATCACTTTACTTAATACCATTACAATGTTTCATGATGAATTCAAAGTCGAATTAATATTCCTAGTTGATATAATATACATTTATATGTAATTAAGAAATTTTCATTAATAGAATTTACAAATTGTCATTAATCAACGAAAATTTGTATTTCCATGCTTTAATAATGAAAATTGATATTTTAATATCATTATTATTTATTAATTATACTAATGATGTTTGCGTTGTCAAAGTACAATGAGACTTTGAATTTGCAAAGCATAGTCTAAAATCAAAAAAATAACCTATTTTCTTCAGAATAGGTCTTTGAACATATTATAAGTTAATTCCTTACAAAATTGAAAAAGTCAAATGATAGAATATTGGCTATCGAGTATCTCATTTCAAATTTTCCAAACAATAATTACTTTATCAATTACAAAGAACAATTAGATGGAAAACTGATTGGTAAAAAATGGTAGAAATTCAATGATCATGGATTATAGAAAAACTTTGAATATTTTGTTAAAAGAAAAAAATTGCATGATGTACATTAAAGTTTTGATTGGAAAAGGCTAAATTAGCTTCTAGAAGATAAAGAATTTGTATTAGCTTGTGGATTCCCCACTTCTTTAGATAAAAGAAAACATATTTTCGAGAAGCTACAACATCATGGTTTCAGAATAATAGATTTAATGAGGCAATGTAAATAGAAAACATTTTAATTAAATTCTATTATATTAAAAAATTTGATATTCTTTTTCTTTATACCTTAAGAATTGGAAATAAGTCATTTGGAATAATAAGAATTATTTTAAATATTAGGAGAAATTTTAAGCTAATTTTGGATTTAATTTGAATATCATTATTAATAACTACAAAGTTTAACTTAAAACTTAGACAATGACTCTAGTGCAAGTCAGTTAAAAAATCTAAAAGACTTGTTAGATTTTATAAAGCAAGGTTCAAATGTATAATATAATTCAATATAATAATTAGTTAAGATTATATTACAGAAAAATCATATACATTCCTTAAATTTAACTAATATTGAGATTTTGATTGACAAATTATTACCAATTGATTTTGATCTTTAACATATTTTCTATATGATGTGCTTCTATTGTTTCCAAAAATTTGCTCAATATTATTCAACATAGTTGGATTTGCAAAATCCAAATGTAAAATTTATTAACATTAAATAATACCTCTAAAGAATAATGAGCCCAAATGATCAACTTAATTAAAACTTAATGCTTTAGTTATAAGAATATAAAGATAGGCAAATTTAACTGATCACCTAATAGAAGATATGTCTAAATTAGTCTATTAAAGATTTGTTACAATAGATTACTAAAAAAAACTGGTATGAACTGATTAAAAAATTGCATGTCATAAACTTGAATTCATATACATAATAAAATGCAAAATTTTTTAATTTGCTGACAAATATAAGTTCTGAAAAGATATACGAAGTAGCAAAACTATTAGAAACGCTTATTATGGAGGATAGTTTAATTAAAGTTGTTTTGATATTAGAATAATAAAAATAAAATTTTTATCCTCAAGAATTAGAAAGTATTCTTAGAATTGTTTTAGAAAATTCATATCAAAGCATAATTAATTTTTAACTACTTTATTCTGTTTTATCTTAAGATAGGAGTCAAACTGAGAAAGAAAATATTCTAAAAGTGGCTGAATACGATGAAAATTTACCACTTGAATAAAAAATTTAAATGCTTTCCAATTTTTCTTATGATCAGTTGAAATTGGTTTTTAATTAAGATGTGCTCATCAATACTTTAATAGAATCATATTTATAAAATTTAACTTAAAATCATTTCTCACTCCTTTGAAGTTTTAAAAAGATTGTTTTAAATAAACTAACAGTTAGAATAGGAGAATTAATACACCAATTTTTTCTCTCCTCTTTTTTAATACTTGTAAATTGATTAAATACATCTATTAATATATCAAAGAAATTTAGATCAGATTTCTTTAGATGATTATATTACAACTATAACAATATTATATAAGGTTTTCAGGTAATCGTAAGGATAAAATCAACAGAAAAATTTTAAGAAAGCCATAGAAAGTCTTTCAATATTTCCATCAATCTATTGTTTCAATCATTTTCTTGAATTATTTTTAAGTGAAAGTAGTTTGGAATAAATAATAAATATTTTTAAATTAGTTTACCTTTGGTAAAATAAATTAATATAAAAATTACAGATTGATGCTGAATTGTTTTGCAAATAAAATCCCAATATGTATAGTGAAAAATTCTCAAAAATTAACTATTTTGGCATAGATTAATTAGAAGTTACAAAGCTACAATAAAAAATTATGAGTGATATTTATCCAAGATCTCTAAACATATCTTTAGAAGATTTTAATATTTCATTGACTTTGTTAAATAAGCAATAATAGGAAGAATTGGTGAAGAATTGGATTCAAAAGGTTAAAGACCCTGAAGCTTTTAAATAATTAATACCATTCTTCTTTAATATTATAAAAAGAGGAGAACCATCATCTGAATTCTTAACTATTATTAATGAGTAAATAATAAAGGAAGAGGAATTAAGAACCAAATATGGTTGTTTTAATTAAAAGTCCATATTTTAAATATTTTATAATAATGCTGATGAGGAATTGAAAGTGATGCTACTAAAACTTATTAGTAAACAATATCCGATTCCATTACTATACAGAACTTCTTACGATACAAAAGATGGAGAATATGACAAACTAACATTTAATTTTAATACATTCTATGTATTTGAGGAAAACTATTCTATTATTAATTTAAGTTTGGCCAACTAACATAAAAGTATAGGAAAAACAGAATTAATTAATAAAATATTTTATAAACAATATAAATTTGAAATATCAGACAACAATTATTTGAATAAGCAAACAATAGATATTATGTATGATTTTGAATTTAATGGATCAAGAAATTTATCAGTTGCAGACGCACATGGTTTTATCCCTTATGAAATTTTAGATGATATCCTACCTCTATTTAGGATGTGGATTATTTAATTAGATACTGAGAGAGAAATTAAAGAAACAATATAAAATTTATAAAAGTTGAAATCTTTTAAAAATAAATAAAATGTTATTTGTTTTTTAATTCGAAATTCAATAAGGGATTTAGATGAGAAAGAAACTGCAGAATTATAATATCTTAATATTTAATTTAAGCAAATAATTGATTTATCAGATAATGATCTAAATAATTAAATGAAATAAGCTGAAATTGCATAAGCATCATAATTTTTATTTGATTTAATCAATAAAAATAAATCCTTCACATTGAAATAAGAACAATACATGAACTAAATATTTAACATGGTAAGTTGTGTTTAAGATCAAAAAATTCAAATTCAATAAGCTCAAGATCTATTTTAAGATATTGGAAAAGAATTGCAAATCTAAATGGAGCATGTGGATGGCTTCTATAATTAGAATGCTTTTCCATTAAGAAGTATTGAATGGTAAATCAAAAAAGAGAAAGATGAATACTAGAAAGTTTAAAAGAGTCATTAACACAAATAAATTGAAGAAAAACTCGATTAAATAAGTTTAAAAATAAAACAATTGTAAAGTTCAATTAGTTTATAGAAACCTACATAAATTTTAATTTATTTTTGTAATATTTTTAAAAGACCAAACTACTATATATTATATCTACATTTTGTTGATACAATTTAGAAAATTTAATGAAAAAAGTACCTAAGAACTATATAGAGAAAATTAGAATCTAAAGGAAGAATTCTTAAAATTAAGAAGAGAATAGAGGAATTTATAATTTCAAACAAAGAATGGCAATAATAATTATTCATATGAATAAATAAATTAAAAGCAAAAATAAATAGATGAATAAATTGCTTAATTTAAATAGAATTGTGATATCATATCAAAAAGAAAAGTTGGAATAGAATTATTTTGGAGAGAAGTCATATCCTAAAGAGAATAATGTTAACAATCGCATATTGATTTTGATCCTTCTAAAGTTGTTAAGGAAATGATCTCTAAAGCAGAACCTTTCGAATTCTTAAATGGTGATTCCTTAAAAATCGATTTACCATTTCTAAGAAAACTAATATCAAATTTTAAGGAGCAAGGATAAGAACGAATTTTAATCTTAAGTGTTTTAGGTCCACAAAGTGTTGGCAAATCAACATTATTAAACAAAATGTTTGGATGCCATTTTTGGACAAGTCTAAACGGATGCACTAAAGGAATATAATTTTAACTATTGAAAGTACATAACAAAGCATAATTTAATAATTTATTTGACTACATTATTATATTGGATACTGAAGGTCTTTAGAGCCCAAACTAAGAGGATTCGGAATTTGATATAAAAATAGCACTTTTTGTATCATCAATAAGCGATATTATTCTTGTAAACGTTAAAGGAGATATAACAATAGGATTTAGATAATTAGTTGAAATGTTCATATATAATCTAGGATAAATGAAAAGTTTTACAAGTAAAAAATCAATTACTTGGTGTTTTAATTAAAATAATCATGTCAATGATCGCGATCCTTTTTTAGCCTAGTTATAGTCAATAGCTACAAATTTAAATAACGAATTAAGCAATTAAATTTAGGAGAATGAATAAATAGATTATAATGAAATTCTTGGAATTACTGAAGACAATGTTAAGATATTAGGGTTTGCATCAAATGAAAAGTTATGGAAAAAAAATGATAGTGAAGGGGTGTATGCAGATTGGCGCCAGTTAATTCTAAATGGCACGTTCTCTTCAGAAGCTTATGAATAAGGAATTCGAATAATTCAAGCATATGTAAATTAGATTGGAATAAATTAATTGAAAAATCTAAATTAATTCATATAAGATTGTGAAACAAGTTGTTCAATTTTAACTTGATTATTATTTTTTAGAATTTAAATGTAATTGCTATATATCATCTCAATATTGTTATGCCAATTTAATCTATTATTTTTTTACTCAAGCTTTAAATTGAGAATCAAGGATAAATATTTGATATTCTAATTCAAAGTATTTAATTTGCATAGTTCTAACAGAAAACTCACTTAATATGAATTATAACTTTGGCATATTTCTGAAAAATTTTTGAACGAGAAAATTAATAAAGTAGACATTCAATCTATATTTAACAATAAATTGTAATAAGATTTTTAAATTACATATTGAGAAGTGGATACAATCACAAAATATTTAAATAATAATTTCATTTTCCTCTATACTAAATGGATTATATATCATAGTTTTAAAACATTGATAAAGCTCAGTAATAATTATTTAAGATAGTTTTAAGTTGAGAATAGGATAGATTTTCTTCCAAATCTAATATATCATTTTTTAATTAAAATTCAATCATATATTTTCTTAATTTAAAATTCCCTCTATTAATTATAAACTTAAGCTTATCAAATGTCTTAAAATGAATCACTTTTGTTTGTATTAAGTAAAAATAATTAATAATTTATATATAAAAACGGAAATGAGATTATTATTAGTTCTTCTATTGATTGGAATAATATCAGCAATAATGGCTCCTCCTATCACAAACAATGATAAGAAATGGGTTAGATCAACAGCTGAGAATGATTCATGTCATAAAGATTGCAAAAATTCAGATGGTCATGTTTGTGCAGGATTACATAAATAATAATGTTGTTAGAAGCATTGGTGTATTAAAGATGAAAAATTGCATGATGTATGGAATTGCAGAAGTGGATTGTAAAAATTAATATTCAAATTAGTGAAATTCATGTTGATTCATGTAATTCATTCCCAAAAAGAGATGCTGGATTCTTATAAGAAGACGATTGAGACCAAATATAAATTTATTAATTATTATCATTCTTTCCTTTTTCACAAATTTTAATATCATTCTATTTATTTTTATATAATATTTTCTTTAAAATCTTTTTAGCAATTGACTTAATATCATTTCGATTTTGTATTCAAAAACTCCACTTTAACAGTGAAGCCATTAGGAGGACATAGAATATTCTATAATTAATATTAATATATCAATTGATGATTTAATTTATTTAATAATATTAACTACTTGGATATATATCTGAGAGTTATTGAAAAGATCATCTTAAAGTTGATAATCTCTACTTTTCTATTCTTTAAGTAATAATATGGTCCTTCTATGTTTGCAAATAATATACCGGAATATTGAAAAATATCCTTCAAACTGAATTCCTAAAATCCTCTATCAATTTAAGCTTAGAACTAATCCTAAATCTTTATTATATAACATTTTAGTGCTACTCTACATTTTAATTCCTTAATGTCCATCTAGAGAGTTACTTCTACAAAAAAAAAAGCAAAACTTGTTTCTTAGGATCCACATTCTATTGTGACCTTGGATTCTTGATTTAAATTTTCCCTTGTCCTAGAATGTGTAATTCAAAAGTCTTCTTCTCTACTGTAAATTTGAATAAACTCATATGGTTTGAAAACTCTAAAGCGCTTATAAATAAATATAAATTTGTTTTAATAAGGAGCTTTTGATTCACCCAAAAGTAGAATCAAAGAAACACATAAATATTTTCCTTTATTAAAATTAAAGATTATCTTTGAAGCCATTCTACCAAACTTAACCTATCTCTAATATTGATTTATATCTAGTTTTTTCTAATAGATTTTCCCCAAAAAAATACAATAACATAAATTCAGATTTTAACTAAGAATGATAAAGAGAATTTTATTTATTCAAATGTTAGAAACCAAATTTCGTATTATTTAATTGAAATGATTAAAAATAATAAATAAATTAATTTTTCTTTTTGGATAATTCATCTAAAATTTCCTACACTTTTGAGCAGCTGACTATAAATATATACTCAGTTAAAAACTTAACTTGGAAAAAAAAAGTTCTCCAATACTAAATGTGCTTATGATAATAGGACTTTAAAATGGTTGAGTAATTTTCAATTTTTATAATTGTATAATGATAGCTGATATTCTAATTTAGATTATATAATTTTTGAATAACTATAACCTTTAAATTCATTGTTAATTAAAATATTTATAACATAATCGTCAATTGAAAATGGGTACTTGCGGTGGAATATGTGGACAGAGCAATCCTGAGAATACGATTGTAAAAATTTAATAAACCAATATGGGGGATGTAGATAATTAAATTGAGATGGGATTATAAATGGCAGATGAAGGTGTTTTAATAACAAATTAATAAAGAGTTCAGGAAGTGTAGAATTAAACAAATTTAAATCATGAAAATCAATTAGACGAGACTTAAAAGAGACATTCTTTCAATTTTGATGAAATTAAAACTTAAATATTATAGATGTCAGTTCTCGACAAATTTGAACCTGTTACTTTAGAATCTGGGGCCATTTTTATCGGATAATGGTAGAATGAACAGAGGCATGGTTGGGGGAAATAGCTATGGCCAGATCAATCAGTGTATGAGGGAGAATGGGTTAATGACAAGGCTTGCGGAAAAGGGAAACTGATTCATGCTGATGGAGATGTGTATGAAGGGGAATGGGTTAATGACAAAGCTAATGGATTAGGCAGATATTGTCATTTGAATGGAGCAATATATGAAGGAGAGTGGAAGGATGATAAATAACACGGTTATGGAGAGGAGCAATGGCCAGATGGTTCAAAATATAAAGGATAATATGAAGATGGTAAGAAACATGGTAAAGGGAAATTATAATTTGCCGATGGATCATTTTACAATGGAGAATTCAATCAGAATGAAATACATGGGAAAGGTAGTTTATTATAGGTTATATAAGGTCGATATGTTTGGGCAGATAAAAGGGAGTATGAAGGAGAATGGAATAACAATAAAATGCACGGGATTGGAATAACGAAATGGCCAGATGGGAAAATATATGATGGGGAGTAAATAATTGGATATAATTTGTTACTAGATATAAGAATGACAAGAAAGAAGGTTAAGGCTCCTTCTTTTGGCCAGATGGGAGAAAGTACATAGGGTAATGGTTGGATGGCAAACAACATGGGAGAGGAACCTTTACAAAAGTAGATGGAGAAAGTCGTCAAGGAGAATGGGTGGATGGAAAAAGAATCAGATGGTTAGAGGTTGAGGAACAATAATCAGATTGAAATATTTTCTCAAATATATTATAAGGTTATTTCGTTAGACTAATATTTATACTAGAATTATATTAAGAATAATATGTCCTAAGGAAATTAAGATCCACAACTTTAAGCCGAACAAATTGATATCATTCGAAAGAAACCGAGTCTTAAGTTTCAGCCTGTGGAGAATTATCCAAAAGACTAGTATTTCTTATTTTATTTTCTAAACTCTAATTAGAATTGAAATCTAGAGTGTTAAAAACAATAAGTTAGAACCTATTTTTTTCCAAGACCCTAGAGTGGAAGATAAACATTGCCTATTAGAAATTATAGTGGTTAAATAGATAGAATCCAAACAATTGGCCAAATCGTAAACTCGATATTTATTTGATATTATTTAGAATTCATTCGTCTCATTAACTGGGAGGAGTGTTTTTATTTATAGTAACTGCAATCAAACTACTCGGCTTAAATAAATTTACTACTATCTCATTTACAATAGCCATTTTGATCATAATATCGTAACAAATAAATATTTTACAATGAGTTCTCTACTTTGGATTTTAAGTGTCGCCATTGGGACGATTGGAATCAGAAGACAAAAATATAATCCTCTTATATTCTATTTTCTGGGAATATTTGTGTCATTTACTATTGAGTTTTCGAGTACTATTGTTATTTTGGCAACAAATCACATTGCTGATCATTAATTAGGGATTTATAACAAAAATGGACTAGTCAGGTTATAATGATAATCGTATATCTCATAGGATAATTATTTTTATGACACTTGAGTTTATGGTACTTCTCTTTTAGATCATGATGCTTAGGTCAGTAAGATAAATAAGACAATTATTTATTGACATCGAGAGATTGTAAATAGAGAATCAAAGTAATAATTAAATCGAAATTGAAAAAATGTTATGATATTTAATCCATTCTTTATTTTCAATCCAATTTAATCAATAATCATTTATTTTCCTGATTCATCTTTTTTAATATTAATTTATAGTTTTAATTTATGGGTAAAAAAATTAAAAAGGGAAAGGAAGGACCAGTCAAAGAATATGTATCCAGAACCAAAGCTCTCAAAAAACTATAAGTCAATCTAAAGGATTTCAGAAGACTTTGCATCTTAAAAGGAATTTACCCAAGAGAACCACCTCAAAAATTGAGAAAATAACATAAAACCTATTACCATAATAAGGATATTGCTTTCCTTAAAAATGAGTCCATACTCGATACATTCAGACAAAGACAGGCTCATTTAAAAAAAATAAGAAAAGCATTAACAAGAGGTGATAAACTGAAGGCTGGTAGATTACGAAGAAATTAACCAAAAGATAAATTAGATCATTTGGTCAAAGAAAGGTATCCAACCTTTATTGATGCTTTAAATGATCTTGATGATCCATTATGCTTAGTAAGTCTGTTTGCTTCATTCCCTACTCACAAAGAACTCCACATTCCTAACACATTAATAAGAAGCTGCTAAAAATTGATCAATCAATTTTTCTTATATGTGTCAGCTCATAACTGTTTGAGAAAAGTATGATTCCCTACTATATCACTTAGGTTTTCCTCTCTATCAAGGGTATCTATTACCAAGCTGTAGTCTAAGGAGCCACAATAACTTGGATAATGCCATACCCCATTCAAGCCTCTTTGCCATTGGATGTTGATTATAAAATAATGATGACCTTCCTTGAATTCTATTAAGTTTTGATGAAATTCGTCAACTTTAAGCTTCTTGGTTAAGAAATCGAAATTACTGATTTTAGCGAAGAAGTTATGAAATTGAAATCACTTGCATAAAACAATTAGTATTGTTATTAATTAATATTAGAATTGAGATCGATGAAGCATTTAAAGAGGATCCAACAATACAATAAATGGATTAATAATAATAGGAAACAAAAAAATATTCGGAATTATTCAAAGGATTAACATTTTTCCTGTTTCCAGAAGTACCCAAATCCTCTTTGGAATTTGTAATATTGAGTTTTGGAGGAGAAGTTATGTGGGAGAATGACAACAAAAATTCATAATTGACTGATCCAAAGATTACACATGTGATAACTGAAAGAACAGTTTAAAAGAACAAAAAGAGAGAATACATATAACCATAATGGGTTTACGATTCCATTAACTAATTAAAACTATTGAGTGTAGCTGATTATGCTCCAGAGTCAGTAAGATTTATAAATATTATTTTAGACTCTCCCTCCTCATTTAAGTCCATTTGAATAATTGAATCTAGAGGAAGTACAATCTGAAAGCGATGAAGAAGATGGACAATAGAAGGAACATAAACCATACTAGAATAATAAAAAACAAAAGGAGAAATAGGCTAAACAATAAGAAAAAGAGACCAAGAAGTTAGCTGAAACAATGTTGAGCAGAAAAAATAAGAGATTATACGATATGATTAAGAGAAAGGAGGACGAAGAATAATAAAAGAAAAACAAATTGTAAGAAAAGAAGAAAATGATACAAAGTAAGTAATAATGAATTATAAATATTTAATGTTTATAAAATTACAAATTAAAATAAATTGTTTTTGTATAATTAATAAAATGGACCAGGAACTATTGTTTTGGGAAAGGTTTCTACATAATTAAAATGAGGTAAGTTGGGATGAATTTAGTGCTTCTTTTACATAATTTGTCAAAATATTAGAAGAAATAGAATTGGACAATGATTAGTTACTTTTCATTAAATGTAAAATAGATCCAGATTATAGAAATATAATAAAGAGAGCAGATTATGTAATATTCGTTGAAACAGTATTACAATAATATATACCTCTTAGTATTGGAAATCTAAGAAAGAGAGATTAAACTTATTTCAAAACTTGTTTACTTTATAAACATTTTCTATACCAAAATAAACATTAAAGCATATTAATCTAAAGGTTATATATATAGCAGATGGCTGTCCTACTTAATTTAAGGATATTCAAATAACAAGAACAACTTAGAATAAAATACCTTTGAAATAGGAAGAACTCTTCACTCTCGGTTATACAAAAGAATGCGATCTCTAAATCATTAATGATAGACAAGTGAATCCTATACATTTGAAGATAATTTGGACTCCATACAATGTGTTTTTAATTAGAGACACATCAAGATCATTTCGAACTTGCTAGCGTATACATTAACAACTTATACTTGATGCCCTAATGGTTATTAGGCTTAACCAAAATACTTTTTTTAAAATCAAATTCATCTAACCTATGCCTAAAATTACTACGCAAATCTCAACATATGAAGATAATAGGAACCCTTCCATTATAGATTTAGTTAAATCTCTTGAGTTATTTAAATCTGTCAAAGATTACAGAGAGAAATTCAGGTTACCCAATTATAATGAAGATACTCCTATATTGGTCGTTGAATTTATAGAAGGAGTCCTTAAAGGGAAGGAATTCCTATTAAAATCAGAGTAGGAATATATGTTAGGATCAGGTAAAAATTGCTCAATAGTTATTCCTGATTCTAGTTTGTAAAGGGAACATTGCAAGATATTATTTAAAAATAGCTAGTGGTTGATTCAACCAAATGAATCCTAATATTTAGATCCAACACAATATGGTACTTTTGCCTTACTTGCTAATCAATACCAATATGATTAGTACATGCCAAGCAAATGCCATGTGTTACATGATGGAATGAGAATAGTAGTGGGACCTATTCTATTTTAAGTTCAATATTTCAGTTGATTATTATTTTATTTTTGGATATATATGTAAAAATAAACGCTGCTAAATTCAATAATAATCTTTTTTCGTTAAATAAGACTTTAGGGCTTATTTAGAGTTTAAACTTGATGATAATAGGGTTTTTATGTATAATTGAAGAACGATTTCAAGAAATCCATTCAAATATGAAGGTGATATTATTATTTTTTTGGGATAGAAAGTGATATAATGAATGAATGGTCTAAGTTTTAAGAGAAATAAATGAATATATTTATTAGTTATATTGTTTCAATATTTGCACAAAAAAAAAATTGTTTATTAATTCAAAACATTTCGTATTTCCATTATTGATAAACTTTATATTGCGGATATGGTTTGGTTTTGCAGCAGCCATGCAATAGAATAAGAAGAAATAGCACAAAATAGATCTAAATTTATATAGTTAATGTTACTATGGATGAAGTATATAAAGCATTTTGTGTGGTTTGTCTATCAAGCATCTTGAACTTCAAAAAGGGCATTTGAATTTGAACCAAATATCCAAGAAAACCCAAAAAAACAGTTCCAAAGAGAGCGATGGAAGCACAAAACATAATTAATTAAAAATGAATATTACATAACTAGAACTCTTTAATCAAGCATGCCATTAATATAAGGGTATGGTGATTTCTTCTGATTTCATACAGGCAGCTCTTCTTAGTAAATATCAAATAACTCCTGCAGAATTCTTAAGACCCTTTCTACCAAGAAAAATACAAAGATTGAAATTGGGTTTGAGAGAGAAAGAAAAAGAGCTAAACATAAAATTGTTAGACTTGAGAGAATATGACTAGATTGGAAATGTCAAGTTGGACAAACATTCACGTCTTTTGTTGGAGGATGCCCAAGTTGTGGATCAAGTTTAAATCTCAAGAAATTGTAGCAAACAAACATTAGATCAAATATGCGAATAAAATAAGATGGCTGGGTTCTAGTAATTGTAATAAGTAGTGGGGGATTGTTTAGGATTCTAATATCATTATAATTTCCTAGATCACCCAATTGTATTATTTTATGTGGTTAGTGGGTAAGAGAAAAATTTAATATAAGAGATCAACAAAATAAGAAGTGAATCAAATAGTTTGATTAAAATGATTTTTAAGAATAACATAAGTGATTTTGATATGGTGAGTAAAGTAATCATAATATTGAATGATGCCTAAGAGGCAGTGCAAAGTGAATCTCTGGATTAGAATAAAGATTTAAGTAAACTTCGGTCTTACACTCTCAAATATAATTTGCCTAATCCTATTGAGCAGACTCACTGGTCTAGATTTGCATATCAGAGATATAATTATGATGGAGAAGTGCCTAAACATCCATTAGGAATTTTGGATGAATAATGGACTAAAATATATAGACAAGTTCTTGAGGAAGTCATATTATAACAAGCAGTGATTATGTTGGAGAGACAAATCAATATATAGACACAACAATATTAAGAAATGAAATAGAAAACATTCGATACATTTTTGACAAGCATATTCACCACAAGAACAGGTTAACCAACTGAAACTGAGTATAAGATGAGTCAAAAAGAATAACTTTTGAGATTCTTGGGTGACAATCATTATTTAATGAATGATTATGAAAGTGCTGCCATCTATTATAAAGGACTTATAAACGAACTTAAAAATAATAAGACCAATACTACTATTGCTACTTTAAATGCAACTGAATATTATTTGTATTCTCGATTATTGTCATAATAGAAAATAGATAATTTGAAGAACATTTTCGATGAAATCTAGATGGGCTATCATAAGATTGTTCATTTCCCATACATGTTAAGAATCATGTACTTTTATATTATTACAACTCACATGTTTGGAAAATACAACAAGGAGTAAATCTATTTCCTTTAAAGATTTCATCGTTACTTTAAGGATTTAGGAAGCACTACAAAAAAAGATTATTTTGTTGTGTATCAGATATTAGTCTATGAATAAATTGCATTTATACATTTGAGATTAGATCCACCTGAATTCAGAAAATTTGCTCACAATTTAACTTTAGTAGCTAATAAATATGAATCTGAGAATTTCAAGAAGCATGCATTGAGATGTTTCAAAATAGTTGAATAATTGTATTAATAGTCTAAGTGGGTTCCATTATTGTTCTGGTTGGAAGGCCATATTGGAGCTAATTGTTTGGAGAATCAGAGAATTCAAGAAGCCATTGATTCATTTAAATTGGCATTTAATCAAATAAATGAAAGATAGAGTTAAGAATAGCATAATCAATTAGTTGTAGACTGGAAAAAAGCATATACATCAATTGAGCAACTTTAAGATCACAGAAAAAAATACTTTACACAGTCCAATACTGCTCTCAAGATACCAATTATTAAAGGACCTGTAGATATGTTAACACATGGCTAAGATGTACTTGATTCAATAGTTCTTAAAAATATCAAATAGAAATTTAAGAATTTATGGAATACAGTTTCTAAAAATGAATCATTTTATGAAGATGCATCAATTAGAAGTTTTGATTCCCTCTATTTGGAAGAAAGAATAGCATGTTTCAATAAAACACCTTGTATTTTAAACATTGACAAGATCTCAGACTTAGTTGACAAAATTAACAAGTTTGGAAGACAATGTTTTGCTGAAGACACTATAACATTAAGATTTTTCATAAATTTACCTCTTAAAGTGCCCAGTTACATTAATGGCCTATAAGTTATGTATTAATTTTATACACTCAAAGAGAACCTATTAGAAATAGATACTAATAATGAAAAAGAATATGTACTCACAAAAATAAATACTTTAGAAATAAAGGACATTCCTTTTTAAGGAGCCATTCAAGAATACTTAGAAGTTTCCATAACTCCCCCTTAAGCAGGATATTTGATAATAACAGGTTTGCAATGGAATTTCATTAATATTCCTGCCTAATTATAAATAAATTATGATGCTAAAGATTAATCAAAAAAGAAGAGTGTCAATTTTTACAATAAGTTTAGAGTGTTTCCTAAATTTATACCAATTAATATTGAGTATTACACAAAACCAGTAATAGCCTATGGTGAAATACGACCAATTCTATTCAAATTCACAAATAAGAATCCTGAAGAAATTGTTATTCACATAACTCCGATAATACCATATCATTTTGGTTTTGAAGTGAAAAAGATTGTTTTAAGTGCCTTTTAAGTTTTGGAATATCAGTTTTATTTGAGATGCAGTTTTTAAGAGGAATTTGTTGGTTAATTATTATTTAAGTATTAATAAGGATAAAGTGGTGGAATTAGAATTTAGAAATTGGAAATTCCAATGAAAGTGGAGCCTAGTTTCAAGATATCACTTTAAACAGATTTGATTGTCGACTATTGGAAATTCACATTGTAAGTTCAGGATTACTTTGGAGGTAAAGGCAAATTGAGATTCGATAGAATCCTTTGTTTGAATGAGAATTGGTAATACTTTGATGTTCCATATCAATCAAGTGGAGATCCCTTTCTTTTGACGACATTTAAAATGAAGAAGATTTAGACAAAAGATTATAGATATGAAGAATATCAAAATAGACTAAAAGAGAGGTTTTATAGGGATGGTGATAACTTTAATGAGATAGTTTTGGGTGATTAAGACATCCCAGCAGGCGTTGCAGTGGACTTTGTGAATTTGGATATATAGCATTACTTCAATGTTTTCTATCAGAAATTGTCTGATTAAAGAAGAGAGGAATTCCCTCTATTTATTATAGCAAGATGGACATATAGAAATGAAGATGAAATAGTGTATGGATTGCATGAATTACCAGTTTTGCAATAAAACTATTTGCATAGGGATGTGAAAGAATTCCCAATGACTTTTTCGATCTCAGCTCCGTATGAAATAGAGCACCAAAGTATGATTACGATGGTTCCAATTAAGATAAGTTTCAAAAACACTAAATATTTAGAACCAATTACTTTTACTGTGACATTGTTTAATGGGGATGAACCTTTGAAGTACAATAATTTAATTATTAAGGTCTGTCAATGACATTTAGTAACCATTCTTTTTGTGGGAAGGCACCTTGCAACACAAAATCACATTGAAGCCATAAGAGATGAAAGTTCTGAGTTTAGAAGGTGTGTTTACAGAGAAAGGAGTGTATGATTTAAGCAGATTTAGATTGACAATGCACAATAAATAGTAAAACGAGTATTACTCGATTGATCATGAAACAGTTATAATAAAAATTATATGAGATATATTTAATAATAAATAATATTATGTCGAAGAAAGGAAACAAGAAGAAAGGAGGGGATGATGGAGAGAGAGAAGAGGAGGAAAAGGTTATGGTTTTGGAACATAAATGCCGAGCTCTTTAGACTAGATTTGGTAGAACAATTAATTTAAAATTAAGTGGAGGAACAGGAAAGAGGTGATAAAGCCAAAGCAGCTGAAAATGAGATCAGAGCCAGAGTCATGGAGATGGAAAATGATTTGAAGAAGGAGAAAGATAAATTATTTTGCATTGTGTATGGGGGATTATCTATTCAAAATATAGATCAGATATGACTAGATAATATAAATAAATGCAAGAAGAATTACTAAAATAAATTACTGATTTAAGATCCACTGATGTGGAAAAAGAGGAAATCATTAGTAAATTATTAACCTCAATCAACTTTAGAGAACAAAGAACAATATATTCAAGACATGGTTAAAGATTATGAATATAGATTGAAGAAGAAGGATGATGAAATTAGTGAGTTGAAACGTAAAATTGAAGAGATGTCAGCTGAATTTGCTCGAATGCTCAAAGTATTATGTTGAAGTTTATCATACTCAGGACACTCTTGATAAAATGTAAGAGAGAATATAATTGGCTCAATGGGATAATGATACTGATCCTCAAATCATGAAGAAGATAAAAGATATTGCTGGAATGTAAACTCATCAATAAAATTGAATTCATAATATATATTTGCATATAAATTTTATTTTAATAGAATCACCCATGAATACCATCACTTTCAATAGCAATATTGATTGTACTATTTATATATATAAGATCGATCACATCCCTAAGCCACCTTTCCTACTAGAAACATAAACAGAAATGCCACCTAGCAATCTCCTTAAAAGAATCCTAAAAGGTTAATACATTGATTATTTATAGAGAATTCGATTACAAACTAATCTAATCACAAACTTAGAATCTTAATACATCCTCTCATTCTTTATCAAGACTTAGATCAGACACTCCTATTACTATTAGAGGATAAAATTATCGCTATGTCGGTTAAATGAATGGAAACTAAAAAGAAGGAGTTGGTTCCTATTATACAAATGAACTAGAATATGAAGGATAATGGTTCAATAATGTTTATCATGGATTTGGAAAATTATATTAAGAAGGCAAACTATCATATCAAGGGTAATTCAAAAAAGGTCTAAAAAATGGAGCTGGAATTGAATATTATGAAGATGAATCTTATTTCGTAGGCAATTTTGAAAAGAATCTTAAAAATGGTATTGGAACACTTTATAAAAAAAATGAAAAATTATAAGGAATATGGTAAAATGATAAATTATTTGAGAAATATTGATAATTAAATATTATATACTTATTAAATGGTTATTCCAAAATAATTATCGGTCTTTGTCAATCTAACTATTGGAAAAGGATATGTTTTGAAGAAATGGAATAAAGCAAAAGCCTTTCTTGATAAGTTCAAAATAAAATATCAAGTCATTTTGACATAATATCAAAATAATTGTCATGATTATTTATTAAAAGAACATCTTTGAAATATTTATGGAGTTGTACTTGTATCTGAAGATGGATTACCACATGAAGCTATCTTTGTTGCAAGATAAGATTGTAAATAAGTATCTTACTTTATTACAGTTGGAGTAATCCAGTAGGGAGTGGAAATGCATTTGCAAAAAACCTTGAACAAATTATCACAATTTGAATGTAATCCAGAGAGTTGTGCTTTTTTAATTGTCAAAGGAATTACAACATAAATTATTCTATTCGAAAAACCTCTAAAAAAGTTGTTTCTTCTCTATGTTTATCCTAAGCTTTCATTTCTGAAGTGGATTTTGGATCTGAATCATTAAGATTTTTGGGAGGTGATGTATACGGAACATGGAGGCTCTATAATTTAAAAGAAAAATTAAGTTAAATATAATAATCCATAGATGACTTTTAGATATTTTTGAGCATAAATGATACCTTACATTTGCGATAATAATGTATCAGGCCCAGGAGCTAAAATTGATGACGAATTGATAGATGTATCTTGAGAATGGAGATTGGGCGCAATTAATAAAGTGATCATTCAAAAAATATGATGGTAGTCATGTTGAAATTAATGAATATTGAAATGTGAAAACCAAAGGAAATTGCAAATAAGAAAAAGTGAAAGAATAAACTTTTGAACCAATCACTAAATGTCCATTGATCATAGATGGAGAAAGATACCCTTCTCAACCAGTGAAAGCAAAGGTATTTACCCAAAATTTTTGAAAGTATTTTGTTATTGAAAAAATACTGTTAATTGAAAACTCATACATTCTTTCCTTTAATTTATTCTAATAAGACTTTTGAGTAGTTTTCAAACATTTCTTTGCTGCAATTTATCACTATTTTTTCTATTAATTATAAACATAAAATTCATACTTATATCTTCTTCGCTAAGTTGTGCCTATGATTGCTCCATCATTCGATTTGTCTATTGTTCTGGCTATTCCTATTTTCTGATTAATTATATAGACTTTTATAAATTATTCAAGTCATCATCTATTTCCCTTAAAACATTATCTTTAATCTATTAATCTTTAACCGAATTTAATAAGTTTGTTAAATCAAGTAATTCTACTTGAATCTGTCTAATATGATGTTTAGCCAAGTTAGTTTATTAAAAGATCTACAATGATAAGGAAATAATTACCTATTATTAGGTTGGATCAACTGATTATTGATGATAGTGCTAATCGTAAGCATAAGAACTATTCAAATTAATAGAATCCTTTGAAATTGGACCTATCATCTATTTGATATGATCTTATGTTTAGGTAGCATTATTAATATATAAACTAGATTCAGTTGGTATAGATTATTTATTTTGTGGTAGTTGATAATCGGCATAAGAATTAATATTGGAATGCAATTAACTGCTATTTATTTAAGTATCCTAATCCATTCTCTTTGTTTCTAACTATGTTGTATCTCTTTAAGTTTGATCAACTTAACTTTCTTGGGTAACCAAATTTTGTTATAAAGCATCATGTTTTCTATTAAGTTATTTCAATTTATCCTATTTGATTTCTTCTCTAGTTCTCTTTCTTTATACTTAACTGTCCACACTTTGACTTCGTGAGGATTATTAGTATTGTGATTTCTCATAAAAGAAATTTAGTTAACTCTGTTCTTCAAGTTGATTAGCTTCTTAAATGGTTTCTTAGTTTTTGTGAATTTAGTATTTATTTTATTGTTTTTCATTGACTTTGTTAAGGTTATTCTAAACAATCTGCAATTGATTTTAAATAGTTTTGATATCATCCTTATCGAATTTTTAATCCTTATAGTTGAATTATGAATTTCCCAAAGGAGATAAAGCATTTTCAATTTATTTAGAGGATTTTGGATCCATATCATTATCCGATTCGAATTTAAACAATTCTACTTGTTCCTCCTCTTACTTCTAACTTTGTTATTGTTATTATTATTATTATTGTTATTTATTATTGTTAAGGAAGCCTCTCAATTCATCTTCAATCCACAAACTATTGATAGTCCATTCTTTTGAACTCTTAAGATCTTATTAAGCGAAGACTTACTTCAACTTCTTTCCGATTAAACCCAATTATTTTTTCTTAAATATTTTATTTAATTTCCAAATGATAATACAACCTTCATGCCCAGCAGTAATGAAATGCTTGTTATCCATAGCAAATCCCATAGAAGTGAGTTGATCATGCTGAAATCTTTAGATTAACTCAAATTTGTTATTATAAATTTTGATGTTTTTATCAGAATATGTAGCAATTTAAAGACAGTTCTGATCATCCTTACTGTAGAGTAGAATTTTCGAATTTGCATCTGTTTCAAAAGACTACTTCAATTTACCAGTAGGAATATCATAGATTGATATTTTTTTCTCCAAACAAATAAATAAATTGTTGAAACTAACATCCATTGAGTATATTTTTGAAATTTACTCTTGATGATATATTTTAAATTTCTATCCATTGAATTCTCTAAAGATAATGGCTTTATCTAATCCACAACTTATGAGTTTATTCTTGCTGAATTTAACACAAGTAACTGAGCTAGTATGTTCTTCTAAAGAACCTATTTTTTGGAATTGATCATCATAGACATTTATTATGCGATCTCTGGATCCAGTGGCGAGTAAATCTATGTATTCTGAGAAATCCAGAGTCATAATATCTTGATCATGAGCTTGGATTTGCTTATACAATGTGAATGTTTAAGTAGAGAATATTCTCAGAATTCCGGCTGAATCTCCACATGCAAGATAATTACCATCTTTCGAAACTCTTACACATCTAATTTGAAGTTATGCTTATTGATTGGCTTTGAAGTGTTGATATTAATCACCAATATAGATAATTTTGGAGAGATATTTACAGTAAGCATTTCTCCTCAATCCTAAAGGCTGTTAGTCATAAATATGCCACACTCTTAAAGTTTGATCAGAGGAGGCTGTAACAAAGAATGTGGCTTCGATTGATGATTATTAAGTCATTATTTAAAGATCATTAATGCTGGAACTGTGATTGAGAAATGAACGTTTTACAACAATCTTTTCAAAATTACCAATATCCCATATGAACATTGTTCTATCACTATAAGCAGCAACTAAATGATTCTAATAGATTTGAACTGCCATACAATCGGCAAATTGATCACCTTAGACTTTGAGTTTGGTGACTCCTTTTTCAATATTGTAATTTCCTAGATTGGGAGGTTTTGAGAGTGTTACAATGTGTTGCATGTTCATATTGAATATTCTTATTATGGCATCAGAACAACCTGTAATTAGATAATTTAAATGACTAGTTAATGAATAAGAATTAGCAGCCTTGAGATCCATCCATTTTTCGAATTGTTTTGTTTGCAAAGAAAATACAGTTATTAAAGAATCAAATGTTAATGCAAAAACTTAATATTGAGTAACATGAATATCAATAAAGTTTTTATGCATGAATTGCCCATTCAACAAAAAAGGTTTTGGATCCATCATATTGTCATATGCAATTACACTTCCATCATCTTTAAATTACCAATATTTTAAATGCCCTTATCCAGCACTTATTAAAAGTCTTCCATTATCATTGAATCGAATTGTATTAACAGGTTTCGATAATTTATTCACAGTTAATTTAGTGCCCTGAATCCAATCCCATACAAACAACCCTTTATCAGGTTCAGATCCCAAAGACACTAAATATGGTTTAGCTGGTGATTCAACAATCTAAGTGATTCCAAATTTATGTCCCTTTAATTACTAGCTAACATTTATCTCGCGATCTTCAGTAAGCTTAAATATGTTAACTGCAGGATTCTTAGTAGCTTGCTCTCCAGTAAACACATGCGTACCATCTCTTGATATAAGTATGGCATGTACTTATGCTTTCCCAATCAAATATTTCTCTTATTAATTTTCCTTGTATGAGTAATATACAACTATAGACCCTGCTGCATAAGCCAGATTTTCTTTTATAGAAATTTAATGTTTCTATGTGACAGACATTCCTATAATGTAATTCATTTTGAAATTTTAAATTAAATATATTAGTTATCAATCAACTAAATTATGACAAACAAAAAAGTGATCAATTCATCATCATACAACAAAAACAACTCAAATTCATTCATATATTGATTACTTAATCTAATATAACATTATTTGATGCATAACACACTTTAATATTTTTCATTTTGATATAAAATCCATTCCATGTATAAATAAACATATTTTTATCAATAAGATTCTGTACTTAGCTGGATTTAATTATCTCCTTAGGTTGTATGAAAATTATAATTTTCCTATAAATAATTTAATAATAAAAATGTTATTTTTTATTTCCTATCCATATTAACACATTCTTCTTTTATCACAAAATTAGCTATTGTACATAACTAATTAAGACATTGCTTAAAATTCCCTTAATAACGATTTATTAAAATGTATTTCTATGTTTTCAATAAAAAAATACTACCAATATGAACTTAACTCATTAAACATCCCAGCTACGGGGAATATATAGAGCAGAGCAAAACATGGTTTTTTGACGAAGAAGCGCTAAATTTTGAATAAAAAGGATTTAAAAAATATATACTCAAATTTTCAGAACGGAAGAATTATTTTTTTTCAAATTATTATAAATTAGTACTACTACACACAAATAAAAAGTCAAAAAAATTTCAAATAAATGAGCACGAGTTAGTAAATTCTTTTAATGTAGATTTAATTCTGTTGTATTTTTCCAATATATAATTTTCCAAGTCAGTTCTAATAACTATTTTTTCTGCTTTTAATTTTCTACCCTTAATTTTAATCTCTTTAGGTATGTAATTGAATTCCTTCCAGTTTTCAACAATGTGAACGGTATCTTATTCACTGAATTAAACTGATCTTTTTTATTGATTGACCATAACTATTGAAGTATTTGGCATTTTATCTATTGTTTTTCTGGTTTATTTAAAATTAATTAATATTAAGAATTCTTTTTTCCAAAAATTCTTAAATAGCAAAAAGTTAATAAAATAACACTATTAATTTTAAATATAATATATTAGATATTATATAAAAAGAAATAATCAGAAATTACAAAGTAAGTAGAATTTTAAAGAGTATCAGGAAATCATTTAATGATAAAACTTAAAAATAATGACATTTAATGGTTTATAAATATATTATCGTTTCAAATTATTAACGAAGTTCAATAGAAATATCTCATTGTTATTCTACAAAAAGATCATATAATTTTGTCTCTTAATCACAGAGTTACGAAAAAAAATTGAAAACAACATCCTCTATTTTTTATTCAAAATAATTTTATCCTTAGGATTTTATAAGTATAAAATGAATATAATAATAATATTAATAAAATTTATCAGATCCTTCTTTTCAATAAGCATATTCAACATGAAAAATGAAATTTCAAGAAATCCAACTTTTGTAAAAATATATATCAAACATTAATTATATTGTATATGAATTATCAAGCTGATTTATATTCCTTAAACAAATCGATCAAAGAACCAAAATTAAATCTCACAACCTAATGCAATATTTATTCATCATTTTAATTATGTTTCTATTTCAATTTCAAAATGCATTCCTATGAAAATTACATTTGCTTCTTTATCTTATTCAGTAGTAGAGTCTTCTTCATTGACTACCTTTATTCCAATGATTTACCTATTGTTATTTCTTCTTTTTTGGATCTAATTGCTAAAATTTTACTTAAAACATCTCTCTTATAATGTTCTTCTTCTTTTAATATTACTTCTTGATTTTCTTAGTGTTCTCTATGATATGAGCATACTTATTGCAACTTTCCACAGAGTCATTTGAAATGAATTAATCTGAATCCATATGATTTATATTTGTGCATCGACTACAAATACATTATTTGCATTTGATAGGACAACTCCAATCAGGTCTGAGTAATATCTTAATTGGGTTTATCTAATTAATAAAATAATTTAAATTTGTACCTTAAATTTGAACATCAAACAATCAAAACAAAATCCATGTCTACAATCTGTCGATCGATAATTACTGAAACAATAATAACACATCTTCCCATTCTTATTGCAATAATGACAAAACCCTTATTTTGTAATAGATCCCACTTGATCTTTAATTTATTGTTCAGTTAAGGTCTTTAAGTTTGTTTTCTGCATTTCTATCTACTATTGCATAATTTAATTAGGTTGCTATTTAACTGCTTATTGTTTTTATTATTTGAGTTCCTACTCTTTTGTTTTCGGTTGATTGCATTTGATTCTTTGAGATTGCTATTATTATTATTGCTATTGTTATTATCCAATGTTATATTAATACATGGCTGGATTTTAGGGATTCATATAATAAAATTAAGGAGGTTGCATAGATTAAGGGAATACGTAATTTGGAGGTGGATGAGGATACATATATTGTTAAGGATACATGTAACCCTATTAATTGTACATAAAGTTATTTTAAGGGTGCATTTGATGTATTATTATAATATTTAATATATATTATTAACACTTTGTATTTACAAAATACAAAATCAAAAAAATGAATTAATAAAAAATCAATAAACTTTATCCTTGATCAATTTCTCATGTTATTTAATGAAATTTGTGAACATTTCAGTCTAATCACCTTAATTTCCATCTTCCTTATCATCCACTTCAAAGTCGTCTTATTAAACCTAATTTGATTGAAATCTTCTCAAATCCACAGAGTCATCACTATTATTATCAGAATATTATTCTTCTTCTTCCATTGCCTCTTATTGTGAGGATTCTTCATCCAAACTATCATAATCATCATAATCAGTTCTTTGAGAATCCTCACTATCAAAACTCTCCTCAGCATCGCTTCCATATTATTACTCTGCAATCTGCTTCTCTATTTATTTAGTATCAATTTTCATTGTGATTTAGGATTTTGCTTTTTCTTTCTCCACTTTCTATATTATATAGTAGTCCTCGTCGAACTCATAATTCGCTTTCTCATTAACACTCGTTAAACAATTCTTATTCTATTCTAGTTGTATTATTATCTCATATATTTATTTATATATACTTTTTTTCTATTATTGGATAACAAGGAATCCCTAAAATCTTTTCTAAACTTTGTTACAAATCTGTCTCTTTTAAAGTATATTAAGCTTTTTTCAGCAGTCTCCTTAAATTCTTAGTTTTAGTCAGAATCGATATTTTATAGTGGTATTCTTTGTAACCCCACACTAATTAAAGAGTTGACAATTAATTTTACATTTGTTAATTCTTCTCATTTAAAGAAAGATTACCCACTAGTTCATCTAAATTTAACCTTTTTTGCTTTCGAGAATACAGAAAATTGAGCATTTCTTCCTCATTAGAAAAAACTATTAATAATCAATTTCTTGATGATACATATGTTATCAAAGGCTTAATCATTGTGCCTTCTTTTAATGCTGAAGATTAGTTATGGTTAGTTCTATATCTCCACTTTCTTTTTATTCTTAGCAATGATTTCCTTTCTCTGAATCATACCAAAATTTGACTTTATTTATTAAACTAAATTCATTAAACAATTCTGTTATATAAAATTTAATCTAAAAATGGTCTCAAATTATTTTTCCATAATTCATCGCACTTTTTATGGTTGATTCCTGCTTTCTTGAGTAGACTAAAGTATTTATTCTTGTTAAACTCAAAAAAAATTATTATTATTAATTCATTTTAATAATTATCTCACTGTTGCAAAATCAATAATCTTTATATTGAATTGTATTAAAAATTCATTAAATTAAATTTAATTTATAGGCATTAAGAGTTTGTGGATGGTTTAATATCGTCATCCATTAGTATGTGCCTCAAAGTGAATTCTAGAGTATAATTTGCTGATCCTCACTTATATTGGGTATTTGTTGACAACTCTTGAACAAAATCTATCAAAATTATGTTTGGCTAACAAACTCTTTAGATCTTTGCTAAATGCAGTATTTAAAGCACGTTAGCTCATAGTAAATAAAAGAGTAGGAAGACTTTCTTCTTTTTAATATTTGCAACACTCTTTTCACTTAAACTGATTAAAATTAAAATTTGTGATACTCATTTCTATTTGCTTGAAGTCTTTTGTAATCATTGATATCTGAATGCTGTAAGCCATAATAAATTGCAAAACTCAAAAGTCTTTCATTCAGTTTAGCTAGTTTAAGTTCAGCATTTTGATAGTGTTTTAAGATACTGTTTGTTTTTTAATGGTTTTTATTTTTAAATTATGTTTCTTGTTTATAGTATTCATATTTATATGTAATCCTAAAGATTGATTGAATATCTGTATTTTTTTGATACTATTCTTCAAATGATCTTATAAAAATTAATAATTTTAATTTAATTTCAGCACCACAAAAATGAAGGAACATACAAACATCTCAATAATTTGTATTTAGATAAAAATTTGATCATTTATTATATTTGAGTATAATCTTCTTTAAATTTATTCATTGAAACAAAGAATTTACTAAAAATAGAACGATCATTAAATTTAGTTTGAGAATACTAAGATAGTATCAATAGCTAGGAGTAAAAAGTACACAAGATCTGCAATTAATTAAAAATTGTATAAATTCGAATAACATAAATGAATTCAGAATTACTTACGATGAAATATTCAAGTATTAATACTTTAATAAAAGAAACTAAGAAATTCTAATGTTTCTTTTTATAAACCTTCTTCAAATTCATTACTTGGATGAGCAAATAATCAATAGCCATTCAGATGGGTGGAATCTACTTTTCATTGTCTCACAAATTCTTTAAAATACTTACCTATGCTTTTAAATGTAATTTAGAGTAAAGTAACATCGTATTAGTAATTACAATAATAGTTTTATTGTATTAATAGATAAAATTTAATCTGTTTTCTCCTGTCGAACTGTAATGAAAGTACTGTGAATGAGATAACTATCCTATCATTATAAGTAGATTTTATATATTATATTTACTTAAAATCATAAAAAATTCTGAATTCTTAGCTTTATGATCTTCCTTGTATATGAAGTAGATAATTTTACTATAGAGACCAGCTTAACTTTGTTATTTTTGTAAAATAAAGGTGAGAATTGAGTAGATGACCAATGTATAATGAAATTTAACTATATTTTAAGAATCGGAAATGAACTCATCTAAATTTATTGCTTCATTAATATGCAACATATGCATTTTGTATTATTATAAAAATGTTTTCATATCTTAATTTATGTTTATATTAAAAATAATATTAATAATTCATAATGCCTCATGTATTAGAAGATTTAAGGAGAGTTTTTCCAAAAAAGTCTCTACTACTCCAAACCTATATGTTAGGTTGTTTCTACTTAATACATTAACAATTGAATTGTGATGAAAAGAAGAAAGAGAAACAGACAATGCCAATATGGAGATCAAAATTAATTGAAAATCAGCACTAGCGACATTTGAAATAATTTTAATTGAAAATCTTAATTGATTAGCAAATACCACTCAAACCTCAACTCAAATCATCATATGGCTTGATGGAATTTAGTAATAGATGGTCATTTATATTTTAGGAACACCGTAATTTGTTGGGTTTCCAAACTTGGAGTAGCCAAATTCAACATCATAAGTGGTATTATTTGAGTAATTCTTTAGCATACTTTATAAATTGACTCAAAGCAAATTCAGAATTTCAGTTTGGATGACTTATCAACTATAGAAAGTGAATTTGTCCCAGATTTGAAGACAGATTTACAAATACAGAAATCTGTGGACATGACATAAAGTTGTATTTTTTGATTTGTTTTTTTATTACTTCTCTTATGTAATATAATCTATATATATATAAAGAAATATATATATTTTAAATTGTCTATTCAATCAGTTATTTATTTAAAAATGTCTTAAAAATCAAAAACACTACTGCAACTACTTCAGCAATAATAGCATTTCCATGATGATATCAACACATCTTTGGAGTCTAATTACAGACATAGTTCAGAACATACAGAAAAGAAGTTTGATCTCAAATTACAAAAATCCATACTCGATCTCTATTCATAAATTAAGAGCAACATCCTCAAAACTGAAGATCATGTACAAATCCTATTCCAAATTAGTTGTTATTATGCTAAATAAGAAAGTTAGTGCCTTTGGACAAACCAGAAGATCTCTACACAGATCCAAATAGTTTAATTTGTTATATAGGCTGCATTTTCACAGTCCTAATGCAAGATAAAGTATTTTTTAAATCTTATTAGTTAAATTTAGAATAATAAGTAGAGGAACAAAAAATTAGAGATTAAAGTGATTATGAAGAATAATTGATTAAATTGGAAGCCGAGATTAGATAACACATAAGAGTAATTTACATTCTTAAAATATTAGATTGAATAATAATTGAAGTTGTTTGCAGAAAATACACAATCAAAATTGGAAGATGCTTTGAAAATAAAAGAAGAATAAGAAGAAGAATTATAAGCAATCAAAAGTGATTTTTAAGTCTTATATGAAAAGAACAACGCCTTGAATCAGAAACTAAAATCATAGGAGAAGGAAATCTAAATGATTAAAAATAATAGTACAATAGACACTACAAACCAATCTCTTAAATCTACTTTAAATAATCAAAAGTCTTAATACAAAAAGGAGAACATTGAAAATGAACATCCAAAATAGCAATCTATTACAATAAATTTATAAGTTGATAAGTAGAAGCCTCCTCTTTAAGATTATGTATGATTTATAACAATTCAATAGCAAGACAGAATCTAAACTGATCCATAAGATGATTATTTTAAGCCTAGAAATGATTCTCATAAAAGAATTATTTCAACTCATGTTGCAAATACTCAAAATAACAAATCTACTTATTTAGCTTCAAGAACACAAACAGAATCATGTGAATATTAAGAACGAAAAAGAAAACATAATTCATCTCATTATGAAACTTAAAATGTTTAAAAACACCAGAGAAATAAGACAGCTTAAAATGTATTAAATCTGATAAGTAATAAATATTCATATCTCAGAAGATCAGGAACTAAAGCGTCAATAATCAGTAAAAGCATGTTAAGATAAAGCTTAAAGTAATTAAAATAAAGTTATGAAAAAACCATCAACATCTTAACATGCTGAACCTAATAGGTCCAACAATTCTGTTCATAGTTTTCGTAAATAGCCAACTGAGGTGAGTCAAATTCCTCGACCTTTTTCATGCGCTGAATAAATTGAAGAATCACATCATTCCGTAAATTGTTTAATTATCTTAGTTTTAAAAGGATCTAAGTATGGATATGGGCAATTATTAGAAACAAAATGGAGATTATTAAGATAATTAACAATAAATTAAGAAGCTATTACAATAATATCAATAGAAACATAGTCTAAATGACACTTTAACCAAAAAATTACTTTAAGAATACAAAAAAAGATAAGGATACAACTGTAAGACAATCTATTGATAATTAATTAATTTTTATTCATATTATTTATAGATTAGATTAGAATTGAATTTTTCTTATTATTAAATATCAAAATAACTTAGAACTCTGAAATGTAGATGTTTTATTTTGATTTTGATTTTATTATTCATATAACACTATAAAATATTTAATAAATTCGTATGTTATAAAATTTGATCAACAACTTTTAATAATATGAACTTGAAATTATATATTTATATATGATATCATAATGATTCTAATCTTCTTGCTGTATTTTCTTCTAACCACTTTATAAATGTTTTATCTTGGTATTATCCAAACTTTTCTTATTCCAAAAATTGAGAGGCTGCTGTTGTTGCAGCAGATTAATATTCTTCCAATATTTTGACGTCCGTGCAATCCAATTAAGCTTGACTTTCTATAAAAATCATTTGGTAATCTTACCTGGTAAATCGTATTCTGGAACAATACGTAGATATTTTCCTTAATTTTTCTTCAATTCTAAATCTACAAAATCTTAGTTGCTCTCTCCAAAAGCATCTAAAATCCTTACTACTCCCATTATACCTTCATCAACTTAAAGATGTTACTTCTATTTTGATACCTAATGATATATATAAAACCCTTACCCCAGTCGATATACTGAGAACGAAGAAGTTATCTTTATCTTTATTGAGCATGCCCTTTTTTAAATCATCTAAAACCAAATTTGCAGGATTGTTCTTACCAACACCCCCGTCAATAAATTAATACTCTTTGCCAGCTAACGACTTAATTTAAGCAGCTGGGAAATATGTTGGTGCTGCAGAAGTTGCTCTGCCAACATCTTTAATAAGGAAGTTTTCAGTTAGATCTAATTTAGCTTTTCTTGAACTGAACACTTTGGCCATATTATCTCCCTTATGTTTTTATAGTTTTACTGCAGTCACTATTACATTTGTGTGAGGCAAAGTCTCACTCAATTTGGCAGTTCCAGTATATCTAAAAATCTAACCATTCTTAATAAATACCTTTACAAAACTGATTCAATTCCTTTGGCATCATACTTTGATTTATTAATCAAACTCCAAACACCTCTCTTCTATTGATCAAATATTATCTTGCCATCCTCTGTAAAGAATTTCACAAGTTAATCCTTGTCTGCTAATGGATGAACTCCATCTTAAGTTCCAGTCATGGCCAATGCCAAGATTCCTCCAATAGAAGTACCACCAACACAATCAAAGATTTAATAGGGCTCTTTTTTAATCTCACTACATATATAATTTATAATAGTGGCTGGCATCAATCCTCTGATACCTCCTCCGTCAATTGATAAACCCATTTAACAATAATCTTATACATCTATTCTCAAAGTGTCTTGTTTGTAAAATGGATCATAAAAGTATATATCTTTATTAGATTCCTCCTTAATTTCCATAATGTTCTTTATTTTCGAAAGTCCAAGTTTGTAAAAGGTTCTTTACTTAATATCATTATTACTAATATTCAATTTAAATTTAACCAAAGAAATATTTGATTTAAGTAGTTCAACTAATTATTTCATCTCTTCCTCAGTTATAATAGGTAATGTTATTTCTAAGTTTTTTATACTAGAATAATTGAAAATCTTCAAAAATTCTTCGTCATAATGTGCTTGATGGGATAAAATAATCTCTAAACTATTAAGATGAGTGTTTTTCATAATTTCTTAAATCAAAATTGCTTAGCTTGTTTTTTAATTGTTCTAATAGTACAATGTTGTTAATGATTTACTTTTTCCAATTGATTTTGATAGCTATTACATTCCTTCTTCACTAAAACTATTTTTTCTTAAATCCAAAATTTATAGCATGTAACTTTAAGCGACAAAATCACAAAAAGGTTAAATATCCAAATTCTATTCAAAACAATTTCGTAAGATTGTACTCTTTAAATATAACATATTCTATTCTTTGTTCTACCACTACTTCTCTTCAATTTCAGCAAGAATCTGGAAATTTGCATCTCCTATCAAATTCTCACTAAGATTAATATTATTCAGAGGAATCTTGGCTAAATTTCTTCCATCTTCAAATAACTTATTCAAGCTTTTTTTGGTCAAATGATTTTAACTCAAATCAATTAATTTTAAATTCTCACATTCCCAGAAATACTCTGCTATTTCCAACAAAATTTTATCATCAATGCCTGCATTTCTTAATATTAATTATTGAATATTGACTTATATGATATTATTAACTTAAAATATGTTCTTTAAATTTTCTCTCTCAAGACTATTCCCTGAAAAATCAATCTATTGTATATGGATTTATTTATCATTCCTTTATATTTTTTCAAAGAATTTGCCAATGATATCATTACCTATTACCTTCAGGTTGGTAAAACTAATATTTAAAGTAGTTCTATAATTTTAAATTTATCTAATTAATTAGGCTACTTTATCTATAATATCTTCTTTTGAGCAGGGAATTGTAAGTGATTCTACTTTTAAAAAGAATTCTTTTGCAATTTATTTAACTTTGGAATCCTAATCTTCTATTGTTAAATGGATTGCTTAGATAAAATCACCTAAGAATTAATCTAATATTTTTATCCTTTCCTAGCCTCTATTCTTTAACATCGATTTCAAATCAAGTTGTTTAATTTACTCATTCTAAAACAAGCATGTGAACAAGCACTACAATATCTTTTTCTTATTCTATTCATCAAATTTGTTCTGGAGAAATCCTCTAAATTAGAATTCAAAATCATCACTAATAATCCCATTTTTCAAAAAGAATTAAGGGAATGGAGATTTTATATATTGATCCTAATGTAATATTTTATCATACAAATCACTCAACAATTAAAATATCAACTCTAAATAAATTTTATCGTAATTAAATTCCTTATCTACATCTATTATTAGTTATGGCTAAACAAATCCTTTCAAAGAACCTTAGGATGTATGTTCATCAAATAGAATCCTCACTCCTTAGATTATCCAAAGTTAAACTATCTCTAACTGTAATGATACACAACCTTTAGCTTAAACTCGTGTTAATTTGATTTTGTTTGTGTATACTGTTTAAAGATTCTTGCAGTAATTGACATTTAAATTTTATAGAAATTGTCCACTAATCTCAATCGATTTTACATTTGGTAAATTCTAAGCAATTAATGTTTTTAATCTCTAAAATTAGAGTTGCTTTTAATTTCCAATATTTAAGATATTCGAAATCTATCCAATTTAATGCACATTCTAACATCCACTCAGATTTAAAACATGTAATTCAGTACAATGTTAAGCAATGTCAAATAGAAAATTATCATTTACAGCATCAACGTATGATAAATTAAGAATTTTGATTCTAATTAATTACAAAGATTGAAATAATTGGGGAAATTATTTAGATTACAATTCTTTAAAGTTAACTAGTTCGAAAGGCTTATTAAAATCTTTTGAATAATCAGACAATTACTAGAATGCAATTTGAATTTCATTGTCTTTGAAATTTCTCCATTCAAAACTTTTCATTAACATTTAAAAATGTTATTGTTTCTTTATTACAGCAAGCTTTTTATGGAAATTCTACAAAGTAGTCGTTGACAGCAATCTGGAATATTTGAGAAACATTTTCAATCCTTTATAGGGACCAATCATATTCCTTACATTAAATCCAGATGGATATTTCATATAAGCAAAACTCTCTCTAAAATTTATGAAATCAGACAATATTAAACTATCAGAGTTGGTAGAGAGTTGTGGTAATTCAACAAATTTATTAATTAAATTAAGAGTATGATTTTCTATTAAGATTTAATAAAATTCTCCTAAATTCTTATCGCATAATTTCAATAAGTCCAAGTATGTAATATGAAAGTTGGGTTTTGTGATTAAATTTTAAATTATGGTAGCTCTCCTAACTAACTCAATCATATTCTCCTTATATAATGGTAATAATAATAGTCCAGCTGATTATGATGCAGTAGCTTCAATTTAACTTAATTGTTTGAGCCATTGTTGAATAGTTAATGTAATATTCTAAAAGTTTTGTAAGAGTTAATAATCTATTTTTTCCTTCATAAATTGCATTAAGAAGTAAATATTATGACAACATAGCTTAACACTCTCACCTTCTCTTTCAAAACCATGGGAATTGATGAAGTTATCAAATTGAGGATTGAAATAGAAATTAGTAGAAACTGGTGACAAGTAATTTCCACAAGGGACTAATAACTCTTCATCAGGAGAGGTATTTGTAGATAATAATAAGATACAGAGTACAATTTTATTAGCCAAATTATAATTTCCAATACAATTTCTTAATCTTTACTCATTGTATTCATTGTGTTACAAAAATTGAGCAATTGTTACTTTTGATCTTTTGTTGTTATTGAATTGATTTATTACTTAATAGACTGAATAGATTTATTAATCATTTTGAATTAATTCAACCCTTGAACTAAATTAATCTAACTGTATTAATTGATATAATTAGGAAGCCATAAACTTTTATAAGGGGAAATTAGGTTGAATAAACAATAATTAGTTAATGAATGGATCATTAACTTTTAGAACTGAGTAATTCTTATTATTATTCTTGTTAATCTATGCAATTAAACTCAATTCCAAATAACTAGGAATTTCTCCCTAATTCCCCAATTGGTTATTAACGAATATCTATTTATATTACTCTTCCTTTAAACTCCAAAATCCACGACCCAATATTTTTAGAGTATGATCTCCAAAGTTTTTAACTATTTAATTCCAAAAATGATCCCATCTCAATCTTCCTTCCAATTAGGGATGAATCTTTGCAATCTAATCAAATATTTATTCATGATATTTTGTATCATTCTCTGATAAATTTGAAAAATATGCAGATTATGAAAATAGATTCTAAGTTTCATCCAGAAGGTAATTAAAATATTCAAATCTAATCTTCTATCCTTAATTGTTTTCCAATAATTTTAATAAAAGATAAAATTTCTTATGTTTCAATGCACTTTCCACTAAAGTGATGTGTTTTCCAAATCCTAAGTCTCCCTTAAAACATTTATTCATCAAATACAATATTAAGATATGGGAATTTCTTTCATTTTCTTAAACTTACTCTAAGGATTCAAAAATATTCAAATTTAACTTTGTGTAGTTTTCTTTAAAAAATAATATTGCCAATAGTTCAACAAATAGAGTATTATTAAACTAACATTACGACTAGATAGAATAGTTCGCTTTAAATGCCTACTTCCATAAATCTAATTCAAACCAAGAATCATTAAACCCTTTGACAATTGAATCATATATATGCTCTTATTAACTGACAAATTGTGTGTCTAAATGGAAATTCAGATTTGCCAAAAAGTCCAAAAGTTTAATCCTATTCGTTAAACTAATTTCGTATTGGATATCTATTTTTTAACAGCAATTTATGATAATCCATTTTGGTCCTTGCAGATAATATTGGGACAACAAATTGGGATTTTATGTTTATTTTCCAACTGATTTCTCATGCTACTATTCCAATTGATTTAGATCTTATTTTATCTATCTAATTTAATTATTATATTTAGTGATATGTTTTGCATCTATAATTTTATGAATTAATTCCTCTAAGTTTATTTTACCCAAGTATTCTTAATATTCACTTAATGTTGAAAATCTACTTGTGTCCAATCTTTAAAATTAAAAGAACACCTAATTCATTTTTTCAGTTATTTAAATTAATCGAACACATAATTACTAGGGAAAGATTACTTCTTGAACTGTTATTAAGGTATCCTCTAATTTCTTAATTTTTTAGTATGTCAATTGCATCATATCATAAGTTACTTAAAGTGATTTGTATCTCACCACTTCATTCTTTTCTTCTTACTTGTAATGAAAATCATTCAATTATGTATCTGAAAGGAATTAAAAGAAATTCAATAAATTTTCAAAAATGTTTTATGGTTAAAATTTATCAAATTCAGCTGGTTTATAGGTTTCTTCAAAAATGTATTTTTTATAATACAAGAGTGGGTTTTTAAATTGTTCATACATAGTTAATTGAGGGGATATATCTTTCGAAAAGGAAGCCTATAGATCCCCATAGTATTATGGAATAACACTATCTAGATGATCAGTGCATTGTAAAGCCAAGTAGTGTTTGGCAAACTCAATCTTATCGATGACTAAATCGGATTATACAACTTTTGCAGTAATGAAGAAATAAGAGTACTATTTCCTCAACTCCTTGTTTTTTGATTCATAAGACGAAATTCTAATTACAAATCCAGGAGGAAGTTGTAGTTGGAAGATCAAAGACTTAAGTACATACGAAACCAGATATCTTTGATAATAAAAGATTTCTTCATTGTTTTTTAGTCTTTTGATTTAATACCCTTTAGCCTCCAGCATTGATATTAAGTTCTGATCTCCTTTAATCAGCGATGTAGCTGCTTCTTTAGTAATGGCATGAATGGTTTGCAAAGGGCATTTTAGGAGTGCTTTATCCTCATAGTATGTATTTTCTTAAGCAATATAATTTTTTAATTATGATAGTATCTCATGTAATGGAGATATAGGATGAATAATTTTAGATATATCTTGGAGAAGTTTAATGTCGGCTGTTAAGACTTCTTATACTAGATCCTTTAAATTTTCTATTTATGGTTTTTTCAACTTTCTTAATAATTCTTAGAGTTTGTTGCAAAATATAAGTTCATTTTACTCAATTTAATGATCTCTTTTATCGGCTTACTGTAAATTTGAGATCAAATTTTGAATGATATTAGAATCATTGGGACTCTTTTTGGCTAACTTCTATTGTTCTTCTAAAAGATCGGAATATTAGAATTTAAGTTGGGATAATAAAAATTTAAGCTTAACTCTAAAATTGCTCAGTTTTTGAGGTTAAGCTTGGAGTAGATCATAAAAAGTGTTAGCGAATTGTTCTAATTATTTCATTATAGTTGGTATTCCTTATCTAATAAATTTATAATTGAAATTAATTAAATGCTAAAAGAAAATTAAAGATCAATTTAGTAAATTGAGTTATCGAAAGAAAAAAGAAGAAAGAGAAGAACAAATATAAGAATGAAATGATATAATGTGTATTAAAAGGGAAAATGCAAATAAGAATATAGGAGAATTTGATAATAACATTAAGAGTTAAAATACAAGCAGTTAATCATTAGGATAATATTAAGGTAAGGAAACGATGAGAAATTGATTAATATTTCACTTAAATATTGCAAATTTGAATAATGAAAAAATATGTTATTGATGCTAACCCCTTCTTGATAGTGATAAATTAGTAATAGGAGCTTGAATTTCATTTTAGATATGCTTTTTTGCAGTATTATGTATAAGGAATTTAAGGTTTTGATATCTCACAATTTAGATTCAATATAAGTAAAGCGCTATTTAATTAATTAGAAGTTAAGTTAATATGATTTTAATAAATAAGTCAGATATTATATCTTTACTAATTCTTTCAAGGAGGGTTAAATTAAAAGAGAAGTAGATTGTGAGCAGCTATCAAAATTATTTTAAGATTTCATTGCAGCTGGTATAAGAAATACTTGTTCAGAAGTTGGTACACTTATAATCTATATTCTTCATGGATGTTTACAATTAAAAGTGATGATTACATAATTGAGGAATATTATTCCAACTGAGTAAGGAAGATAAAAGAAACTAATAAATTTGACTCTAAACTAGAATATTAACAGCTTGAACATTCAATATGTATTCTCAACAAGTATATTAATATATTTTTATAACAAATAATTGTGACTCTAAGCAATTGCAATTGATTAAAATTAATTCTTTAATTAATGAATAATAAGGAAGAAATTGTTCTTGGATATTTAGAACAAGCAGATGATATCCTAAATGTAGATGATGAATTGCCTTCCTATGCAAATGGATTGCCTGTAGACGATATTAATTTAATTTTAGTATTTCTTAGAGAATGAAGATAAGTTCGAATCAATTAAATGTTAATAATGCAGTAATCAAATGAAAATGTTGCTTTAAGTATTTTTCTAATCCTACTCTTAAGATATATGCTCCTTTGAATAACAAGCATGCCTCTTTTAGAGAGATCTATGTGTTTCTTTGCTTAAATGAACAATGTTCTAAACACAATAGCAGTGTTAGAGTTTTTAGAATGCAATCGTCATAAAAACCTTAACTTTTATAATCCAAAAATAAAGACTATATACTTTCTCCATAAAACAAATCATTTATAATTGACACTGAGATTATAAGTGCTAAGGAGAACAATAATGAACTCTAAGTAGCTGAAGAACTGTTACCAACTAATTTAGATGATGAGGACAAGGATGTAGATTTGAAGAATGTGAAATTCGATAATGAAAATAAAATCTATGACAATTATTTAAAGAGTACTGAAGAGAAAGAAAATATTGAAGACATAGATGGATTGGAGAATGATTAGCAAAACAATATTGATGGTTGTTTTCTGATTTACTAACAGTATTTATTAGATCTTAATTAGTTTTCTGACCTAATATTAGAATCATGTCGTCAGATATTGTTTTGATTCTCAAAGTAAACCACTCTGGTTTAGTGATAAAAAACAGCCTTAGATTGAGTCCAAATGTCCACATTGCAAAAAGAATAAGATTTTCGAATTCTAAATTAATAATTCAATTCTTACTTACTTCCCTGAATTGTACAATCTAGAATGGGGTTCTTTATACATCTACAGTTGTCCTTCTAGTTGTTCTGTTGGTGGTTAAATACTAGTTGAGGAGACAGTCTATGCTCATTCAGATGAGTAAGAATTTATTAGTCCAAATCTAAAAGTGGATCCAAATACCAAACTAGTCACCATCAAATAGGATACAAATAAATCAAATAAATAAAAACAATAAATTTAATAGCAATAACAATAACAAATTCAGTAAAAGATTGATGAACAAGATGAAGAAGATGATTGGTGATTAAATTCTATGTATTTAATTTAGATATTATATTAATATTTGATCTATAAAATAATCAGGTTTCAAAAATAACTAGCATTTCAGGATCTAATGTTGCTCCTTACAATAACTATAATTTTTTCTCTGCAGTAAAGTCACTTGGAAAATATTAAGTTGATGATTTCTCTAATTCGAGTAATCCCATTTCTTTATATGCCTTAGCAACTAGTTCTGAACAAAAATATGTTCTTTGCTTGTCCTCTGGCTGAGGAGCTTAAGGAACAATTAATGAAACCTTCTATAATAGTTTGCCAGGATTAAGACCGTATTCCTTTCCCAAATTGTTTTTAATAAACTCTCTTAATTTATTTTACACTTCTGGAGTTTACCTCTTGGCATAGTTTAGTCTTCTGATACAAATCTTTTCATATTCATTAACAAACTTCTACTCTGTTAAGTCACCTTAAGGTATAATTATTTTGCTTACTCCACAGGAATGTGCCTACTCCATTTGAGACTGCCTCGAAAACACACAATTATCCATTGTCCCTATAAAGCAAACAGACGTGATCAAATTCACAGAGAGTAACGGCTCTTAAAACCTTTGTCATATTGTCTTTCGATTTGAATAATGCTATATCTCCATCTTAACAATCACTTAATACTTTTGTATTTTTTAATTAGGTGTTCTTCCAAAATCTGGGTATTTGATTTAAAAATCTCAATTATTTTAAACTTCCAATTGAGTCGTTTAATTGGATCTTAATTTGCAAGGCCCATAGATGGGTATTTTCTGGTTGATCAGATTGAAAAACAAATTCTTTTTAAGTGCCTTTAGGGATTATCCTAAAAGATAGCATTTATGATACGTAAATTAAATAGTTTGATTTCTCTCATTTAGAACTCCTTTGAATTCAAATTCTTATAAATCGAAGTCTAGAGCTCCCTCCAGTTCATATTTATTATCTGATTTGTAGTATGAGAAAACTCGATTTTCCAATTCACAATATTTCCATTGAAATCCAATAAAAAAATGAGGACTTTTCTTTTAAAGTCTCCCCTTCATGGGTGTACAATTCTATTTCCTCTTGTAAAAAACGTTAAACCAAAAATCATTAGGATTTTTTTTAATGAGGTTATTTTAAATGAACTCGTTTTCAATTACTTAATTCTGTTAATGACCTTTATCTTATCGAATCTTGGATGAAATTGCAAAACCCTTCTAAAACACGTCACTCCCATAAATACTATTTTGATTCATCAAATAAATAAAATAATGAATAATCACCAAAGAAACAGAACCTTAGGTGATTCTAAATAAATAAAATGCCAAATATCATAATTAATTGCCATAATTTTGACAATCTTAGGATTTTTAATGTAAGATAGAATTACTAAAATAAATCTATTTGGGTATTCATAAGTATAAGATCATGAATTATGAAAGAACAAGCGATGTTCTAAAGAGAATTTCGTATTGTTGTCTTGGAATGAAATGAGCAGTATAAATTAATAAAGAATATTATTGAGGGAATCCTGTATATTATTTATATATATATATTTATTATTAATATACAGATGAGAAAATCAAATAAAGTAGTTTAGAATAGAATTGAGAAAGTGAATTCGGAATTGTTGACTCTGACTTATGGGGCCATCGTTTCTCAAATAATCAAGGATAGTGACACCGTGATTGAGGCTAACGAATAATTGGAGAAGATGGGATTTAATATTGGACAAAGAATCATTGATGAATACCTTTCGAAAGCAGAAATCAAGTAATGCAGAGATAAGATCGATGTTGCAGAGAATATTGGAAAGGGAGCCATGTAAATGTTTCTTGGGGTGACTGCTGAAGTAGAAGTGTTACCTGAGACCGACAAAATATTCACTTTTAACTTGCATTTCACTGAAAATCCTTTGAATGATTTTGTAGAGTTGCCAGAACATTTGCAAGGACTCAATTACTCGAACATGATTGCAGGAGCCATTAGAGGAGCTTTGTCAACTGTATAGTATATCAATTCATATAGATTCATTGGATAGCTACTTGTAGATTCTTGAAGGATCAATTGAAAAATGATGATAAAACTATTTTATAGGTGGAAATGATTAGAGAGAAGTTCAAAGACGATGAATGATTAATATAATATATATTTTAATTTATGTCAACATATAGGGGGACATTTGAACACGACTCATTTTTGGGATGGCTGAACTTATTGAAGATCAGAAGATTACAGTTTCTCTATGATGTTGGTGAAAGACCACCTTATCCAGTAATCATTAGTAAGCCTACTGTTGGAGATGTATATTAATATCATATATTGCAAAGGTATTGAAGAATTTGAACAAGGCAGATTTCGGTCTATTTGCAACTGTGACATTTTTGGGTTTCTTTGCTGCCAGAAAAGCCACTTTGGGATTAACTACTACTGAATTTGTTAGATAGAGAGGATTCTCGATTGCTTGGAATTCAATTATGATGGCTGGTGCTTTGTTTGCTTGCATGAATAGTAACAATAGACTTACTGTACATTCCTATTAATAATGATTTAGGGATTTGTGGACAATGGATTACAATGGAGAAGAAAGGAGCAAAGATTAAACAAATACGATTTCACATCTGAATTCGAAGAAGGCACTATTTGGAAATTCTTCAGATTAAGATGACATTAAATCATATATTCAATGCATATATTTTCATTATTATTTTATTGGTATCAATATTATATTATAATACAATTCATTAAAAATTTTAATTATTGATTTAATGCAATAGCAATAGCAATAATAGTAAGAGATGCTGAAGAATTTGACTAATTAATAAGTTGTGCAATACAATAAAATGAGATAAGACTATGCTGAAATATCCAGAGTCTATATTGATATTGAAGATGAGAAGAAGGAACATACATTAGTTTTGGATGCAATCAAAAATATTGATCCAAAGAGAAGGTGATTCACTCTATCTATTCTAGATGTTGGAGATTGATTGGTGGAGTTCTTGTCGAAAGATAATTGGAAGATGTATTGAAATCATTAAAGGAAAGTTTAGAATTGCTTGAAAAGACTGGATAAAATTACAATACTGCTCTGAAACAGAAGTATGCAGATTATTTTGAGATTATTTTAGAGAAAAAGAAGTACTTGAATTCGAATTAACTCATAATTTGAGACCCTAACAAAATCAACAATAAAAATAACAATAGCAACCTGTAGAATCATCCAAAACATAAGGAGTCTTAACTTGAAACATAATTGTCTTGTATATTCACAATATTAATAATAATATTCAATATTTACAATTCATATTTAAATTCTTATATGGTATTAAAATAGTCTGATTTATAAATTGTTTAATAATAAAATAATTTTAATCATAACTCCTTTATTGCTATAATGATGACAATAAATATTGGCAATTCTTTCCTCCCCATTACTCTTTATATATCAAATCAACCTGTTTTTTATAACAATAGCTCTTATTTGTAGAACTAAATTTTTATTCGCATCATCAATCATCATTTTCTACTTAAGCTGCTCTATCATAATCAAAAAAAGATTCCCTTCTTTTGTTAGTATTAGAGAACTTTCAACTAAATTTGTACCATTCACAATGAGTAGATATACTTATACTTTGATCCCCCTTTTCATACTCTCTCTAACAAGTTTCCAGTTATCTTATAGATTTCTAATATCTTGATTTCTCTAAGTAAATATAAGATCCAAATAAAGAACTATTAATTTACGTTAATTATCACTCTATCCAGGGCTGCATCTCAAAGTAATTATATATCAATATTTATTATCGTTTTTTTAACAATGAATTAACTCATATTTTCGTTATTGATTGTCACAACTCTCTGTGGCTAAGAGTAAGGTAGTTTCCTTTAAGAAAAACAAGATAACAAAATATTCACCATAAAATTAAAGGAAACTCATAAAACTGTATGCTATCCATTTGAAATCATAGGTTACAGCAAAAGAAATGTATGATTTTCTATCAACTAAACAAACATATTTTCGCTAACAGACTCCAATTGATATTTAGGAAATAGAATTTGGTGGGTATGTTCCAAAACCACAATAAAAGGAGTAAAAAAAGGAAACATCTCTAAAATTACACAATTTTAAGAATACTTAATTTACTGGACCCATAACAGTAGGCGATCAAGAATTCTAAGTGATCTTTGATACTGGTTCTGCAAATTTTTGGATAGACTCTGCCAAATGCAAGAATGAAGGATGCAAACAACATACACAATATAAACCAAGTCTCAGATCGAAACATTTGGGATATGCTTTGAATGTCCAATTTGGTACTGGGGATTTAAATGGAGAAATTAATTCTGATGTTGTGAAATTGGGTGAAATAGAGGTTGAGGACTAAAATATTGCAGAAATAATAGAGGAGAATGGTTCAGTTTTTTAAAATGTATGAAAGTTAAATAATTGCAAAGTCAGGATTCGATGGTATAGTGGGATTAGCTTATCCAAGTATGGCAGCCTATAATTTTAATCCATTGTTTGACAATATCATCCAGGAGAAGAAATTGAAATCTAATCAATTCTCATTTTATATGAGTAACTAAGTCAATAGCTATGAATCCTAAATTACCTTTGGAGGTTATGATGTCACAAAACTTGATGGTCCAGTTCATTATCATCCAGTTATTGATAAATACTATTGGATGATAAAGGCTGAGAATATATTAGTGAATGGAAAAGATGAGGGATTCTGTCCTAAGGGTTGTAAATTGGTAGCTGACACTGGTACTTCCCTCATTACAGGTCCTTTTGAGGATTTGATGAAACTATTAGGTATTTCAATAGATCCATATTAGATTTAACCAATATCAATGATGATTGCTCTAACTTAAATTAGTTGCCTAAATTAACATTTAAGATTGATGGAGTTGAATACGATCTAGAATCTAAAGACTACATTATGGAATTAAAGGATGATGGTACAGAAATACCTTTAAACAATGATGTATCAGCATCAGCATTCCTTTAAGGGACTTCAAGACAATGTATTGGAGCCTTTATGCCATTGGACATTCCAGATCCTCAAGGACCTGCTTGGATTTTGGGTGATATTTTCTTAACAAAATATTTAAGTATTTATGATAGGGATACAAATATGGTTGGATTTGGAAAGGCCAAACATTGATTTAATCAATTTATATACAAAATATCATAAACTCAAAATCAATAGTGATTTGGTAGATCACCATATAAAACTGTTTTTATTCTTCTGGAAAATTTAAATTACTTTAATTGATGTTGTAGATAATCTATAAATAATTATTCAATTTTCTTTGAATTTTAGTATGTCTCTTAAGCCAATTTTTTTTACAGCAAATAAATAATCAGATACAAGAGAAGTGCTGAATTAAAGCCTATATTATTATTGTCTTGAGATGATTATATTACAAAATATCATTTTGTTATTTTTTAGTCCTATTTTGACATCATTTTGGTGCGATCTAGTGATGAAGAGTGACATTACATAGATAATAAATCATTTGGAAAGTGGCCATGTGGTTTGAGTATCTGAATTAATTTTAGATGTAAATATGTGCTTATGCGAATGCAATGTTATTAATAATAATTTAAACTTGTTGAAATTCACATATGTGGCTCTAGTCATTGGAATATAAATTAAATGACTTTTTGGTAAATATTATAATTAATATGTCTAAGAATTTAGAATGATTTTTCCTGATTTCTGACAATTTTACATTAAATGTAAAAATTTTAGTGCGCATTATTTTTTAATATAAAAATTGGAAGCAGAATCTTGTAAATTGCAATAAATATATAATCTTTAATGAAAGCAGCTCCACGCATCTATGAAAATCAACCAACAGAGAAAGTTGATAACGCAGACTTCTTTATCTAACAATTTTACATCGAGTGTTTGGCCACATTTTCTTATTACATTGAATCCAAAGGAGAGGCTGCCGTAATTGATCCCTTGAGGGATATTGAATAATATGTGTAATACTTGTATATCTATGGGAAGTGAATTGGCCAAAGAGAGAAATGCTAACATAAAATGGGTGCTTGAGACACACTTCCATGCAGATTTTGTGAGTGGCCACCGAGAATTAGCAGCTATCACTGGAGCAACCATAGTATATGGTCCAACTGCAGTTGCTAACTTCCCTATGAAACAAGCCAAAGATGGGGAATTGTTACCGCTCGGAACAGTCTAGATAAGAGTGGATCACACTCCAGGACACACAATGGAATCCAGTTGTTATGTTTTAGTTTCCAAAGGAAAAGACCATTCAGTCTACACAGGGGATACCTTATTTTTGGGGGAAGTAGGCAGACCTGATTTGGCTGTGAAGAGTGGAGAATTGACAGTTGAGATGTTGGCTGCACATCTCTATGATTCATTAAGAAATAAGGTTATGAAGTTGAATGATGATGTAATCGTCTATCCTGGACATGGTGCAGGTTCATCATGCGGAAAGGCCATTGGAGCAGGAAAGTTTTGCACTATTGGAATTTAAAAATAGAAAAATTATGCTTTGCAACCCATGTCAAAGGAAGACTTCACTAAATAGGTTCTTGAAGGCATGCCAAAGCCCCCTCAATACTTTTTCCACGATGCAAAACTTGTAAATTTATATATCTCATAACATCTAGAATAAAAGTGGACCAGCTGATATCACTCTTTTATTAAATGAAGTTTAAAAGGCACTGACATATGAATAATTCATGGGTTTTGCCAAATCAGGAGCAACCATCCTTGATACAAGACCAAATGTTGCAGAAGGAATAATTGATGGAGCCATCAATGTTACATTTATGTCAGGATTAGTCAACTTTGTAGGAGCTGTCATCAAACCAGATACTAAATTAATAATTATAGCCAACTAAGGTGATGCTTAAGACACAATCCTTTAGATTGTTCAAGAATTGGATATGATAATATTTTAGGATACTTGTAAGGAGGATTTGAAGTTTATAAAAACAATGGGGGACCATTAGCAACTACTGTCAAATTAGTCAGTCTAGTTGAGTTTTGCGATGTCAAAGTCGACCCAGGTATTGTAATATTTAATATCAATAGAAAAACATGCATTTTTAGATGTCAGAGGACCAGGAGAACATAAGGAGACTGGTTTTATCAAAGGAGCTATAAGAGTTCCATTACCTGAAGTGGAAGCTAATCTTGCAAAAATTCCTAAGGATAAAATTGTCCATGTTTACTGTAAAACAGGAGGAAGAGCAAAGATTGCTATGAGTCTTCTCGTTAGAAATGGTTATAAGAATCTTGTGATTACATAAGAAGGAGGCTTCCCTTAAATGAAAGAAAAGTAATTGGTGGAAGTTGAGAATGTTTGATAAGCATATATATTCATATTAAAAGTATTTTAACAAAATTAATAACTTTCATCTTTTAGTTAAATTGGATTCAAAAGGAATTCAATAAAATTAATTTAAAATTATATGAAATTATAAAGGAAAGCTATGAATAGATTTCTATAAGCTTTGCAAAATTAAAATATAGATTATAATTTTTGTACACAAACCAATACTCTCATTATTATTTGCATTCTGGTTTTTCAGCTTTTCCTTTTTTATCCTTATCAGACTTTTTGCTGTCACCACTCTTCTTTCTTTACTATAAAAGTTTCTTTTTGTCATCACCCTCATCATCATCATCTTCTTCGTCCTCGTCATCCTCGCCGTCTTCATCTTCATCAACATCCTCATAATCTTCATCATCTGGATTAATTCCTAAGAAATATTCCAAACTATAAGGAAGGACTTCCTCTGCAATGGTCTTTCCAATTTCATAATCTTCATCAATATTCTATAAATTCTCATAATTATAAATACTCCAGCTTTTCCTTCTTCTTCTCCTTCATCCTTATCTTCTGAATTCTTGAAGAAATTGAAGAAACTCAATTATGTTTCCTTCTTTTTGATGGTTCTTGAGGCTCCAGTCTTCTTATTTTTTTATTTCTAACATATTAACACATAATTACCTTCTCTACTATCTTAACTGTAACATCTTTGCCTTCATTCCATTCTATCACAGTTCCTACTGTACTTGTTGGGAAGTCTTTGCCTTCTTCAATGATGAATTTCTTTGTCAATTCTTTGTTTTTGAAATATTCGTTGTCCTTGAATGTAAATCTAAGGGTGAAGACTTCAGTGTCAGCTGAGGTTTCCAAAACAATTGAGGTTAAGTGTTTAAGGATGTCCTTATCCTTTTCTCCAAAGACGTGAGATAAATTATCGCAATTTGTTAAGACGGTTCCCCAATAGTTATCAATTGGTTCAGCTTTTTAGGCAATTTATTAGGCTTCTTATAATTCAGCTTCGGAAAAGAATTCCTTGAAAAGTTCTTGTTCTTCTGCACTTACAGCTCTTTAGCCATTAATGAGAGATTGCTATTCTGCATAAATTGGAAGGGATTTGATATCATATTGTTTTTAAAGAGCATGGATCTTCTCATCACATTCCTTGTCCAATTTCTCCTTTTATAGATAATGATGTTAGATAGCAATTGCCTTGAGTCTATCCTTAAGAGGAAGCTCTCTAATCTTATTTTCCAAGGTTTGAACGTGTAATTCATGTCCCTCCTTTGCTTCATTTGTAGTTGGTTAAGCTCCGCCTTCCATTAATTTATAAAAAAATGTGGATTTAAATATTTCCTATATTAAGGGGGTATTTAATTTTTGGAAAAAGTTTATCATAACCTAATCATAATTTCCTAATGCTTGAAATCATTAATTTTTATAGAAATGTAATATCAATCTGTTCCCCAAACTGAATATCATGATCAAAAAGCTTCAGTCGATTCATCCTTGCTCGGAGATGCTTAAAAGAATTTCGCCAAAAAGGTCTTCTCTATTGTCGGCTTTTAACTTCTGGCCACTTCAGCAGTAGCATACTCTGCTATGAATTATAATTTTATTGCTGAATTATGTGAATACCTCTATATACCAGCTATTATTGGGTCAATCGTTACAGGATTGTGGATTTACTTAAGCCCATGTAAATTTAAATTTTTATTTATTTCTATCAAGCCTCAGCAAGAAGATTTCCAAAGAATTATATTTTACTCAGTGTCTTTACCCTCAGTGAAGCCATCGCATTAGCCATTACATGTTCTGCAATTGGTGATCCTGAAATCATTTTCCAAGCATTCATAATAACAACCGGTATCGTTATTTCTTTGGCCACGTATGCTATGACAACTAAAAATGATCTCTCATATCACGGAGCTGCTAGTAAATATATTCGATTACAAATTTTAGTTTTCCTACTCTCATTCGGTTGTTTGATGGCTGGTCTCACCTATTTTATCTTCAGAAGCTCTTTTGCATATTAAATTTATTTGATTGGAGGTGCTATAAGTTTAGGATTCTATTTGGTATTAATTCATAATTAACTTAGGTATACGATATCTAATTGATCATCGGAGACAAATAATTAAGATTAACTGTTGATGATTACGTTTTGGGATCCATTATGATTTACACAGATATAATCAAAATTTTTATCAGAGTTGTCAAAATATTAATGAAAGAGAAGAAAGAGAAATGAGCTTTATTCAATCTTCATTAAATTCAATTGCAATATTATTATTGTAATCTCATTTCCATAGCCCATTATTATGTATCTCCCATTATCTATATTCATTATATGTTTAAATAGAAATCCTAGTTATTCATTCTATATTTAAATCTTTCTTCTATAATACAATTTCGATCAACACAAGACAATTAACAAATATAAGACTGAAGATGAGAAATCTATCACAACAAAATTAACTAATTAGATCTCAAATATAAATTCTATAATTTTCTTAATTAAGTTAGAATGAGAACTTTAAACTTATAAATAATGATAGATTTCGGAAAAGAGTTAGAATTCAGTTGATAAGAATTCTAAATTAAATAGTTTTAATTATTATAAATTTTATTTCTTTACCCTCAACTTAATAATCATTTAAGATGAATAAACATAGATGTTGGATTTTCTAAATATGTTTTCCAAACATTATTAAATCTTGCTACAGTTGCTCCATCAATAACCCTATGATCGCAACCGAAACTTAGGTTCATCTAAAATAAATCTTGAATCATTACAATTTTCCTTGGAACAACATTCATCTTAGCATCATATCTTGGCACAGTCATCAATCTACCAATCCCAACTATACACACTTATGGGGCGAGAATAAGAGGACCAGTATAAGTACCACCAATAGTACCGATATTGCTCAAACAAATTGTGCCTCCAGATAATTCATTAAAACTCAACTGTCCCTTTTCTCCTAAAATTCTTAGTCTATACTCCATTAAGAATTCAAAGTTACCTATTCAATTCATCTTGTATTTAACTAATCGACAGATTCTATACATTTTTGATATTAGGCACCACTAAACCTTTAGGAGAGTCCAAAGCCACAGACACATTATGAGATGAATGTTATGTATATTCGAATTATTTTGTTGGATCATATGTTGAATTCAATATAGGATATTTGGTTAATGCCAAAGAAAAGGATTTAATGAGTAGTGTCATGAATGTGATATTCTTTTCTTTTTTCAATTATTCTCTCATTTATGCTAATTCTGTGAGATCAACCTCTTCCTTTAAGTATAAGTGAGGAATAGAGTTGGCTTCAGTCATTGACTTTTGCATTCCCTTTTGAAAATCTGACATTTTGATGACAGTGGAAGCGGATTCGCTTTTAATGTTGATTTTAGTGGATGATTATGGTTGTTCTTTTGGTGATTATGTTTACTTTTCAAGATCTGTCTTTAAAATTCTTCCATCTTAACCACTGCCTTAAATCTTGTTCAAATCTATTCCTTTTTATTTTGCCAAATGACGGACAGCTGGTGTTGCTAATTTATGATTCTACAGATAATTAATCTAAATGTACTGAAGCATTGTTGTTAGTTTATATGGTTTAATGTACTTCTTATTATTTTGTGACTTCTTATTTCACTTAATGATGTTGAGTCTATGGTGTTGCTGATTCTTGATTATCAGATTCAATCTCTATTTCTAAGAAATCTCCACCCACTAAACATGTTTCATCCTCTTAGTGGAACAACTTATGAATCTTCCCTGTGTAATTACTTGGAATTTGAGTGAACATCTTATCTGTTGAAACATCCGCAACAGGATCGAACTATTATCAAAAAAATGACGTACTTCATTCACATGATCTCCTATCTTAACATGCCATTTTTTAATAGTGGCTTCCTTGATCTCTAAAATCATGATAACATTTACTTTCCCCTAAATCAGGCAACTTGAAGATCTTCACTGCACCAAAGTAATATCTACTCAAAAATCGTGAATATATATTCATTATTTTAATAATTAATTATTCTTAACATGATACTCATTATAAGTTAGTTTTACAAATTCTCTTGTGACCTTCCCTTAGATGCAAATGTATGTCTTACTTTTATAATTAAAATTTCATCATTTAGAGGTGGGCACTTTCATAATATTTTTATTGCCATACTTTTCAATATATTTTTTTGACAGTATAACATCAAAGAGAATCAAATTCTTTATTATACCAAAAATTCACAATATTTAAACTATACATATAAATGGTTATTTTATAGCATTGCATTTTTAAATTCATACTTAACTTTAAGTTTAAATCTGCATTATATGATGCAAATACTTCTCTGACTGATGCATAAAGTCACTTTTTAAATATTTTTATTTGGTCTTATAAGTTTATTAATAAAATTTCATTAAAAAATTAACATTTAGTAATTTGCATTACATAAATAATAATAAATTTGAATTCAAATGCTTGATAATTGGTATGTATTTTCCAACCATTTTTTAGTGACTCCATTAGAAAGGGACTTCTCTACACTCCAACTATGGGAGAATAAGTTGATGAGGATATCGCAGCTTCATTTGAACAAAAAAGAGGAATCAATTATTAACATGAATATATGAGACTATATATTGCTAATGTTGTCCTGACTCAATAACTAAAAGAATTGTTATAAGAAAAAGGGGATTTAGTATCCAAGATCAATAGACTTGAAGTATTTTCATCCTAAAATATTAGGAAGCAGAAATATGCAAAACAAATTATAGAAAACTAGATTTTGAGGAACCCAAAAAATCTGAGGGACCCTCAAAAAAATAAATGGGTACTTTATTAATAATTATCATTAGTTCAGAAGGTTCAACTAAATACAATGATGAAAATGCAGTACCAAATCATTAGTATCAAACTAGAAAATTAATTAAGAAGAATTGAGTTATTTAAATTGATATTATTATTCAATTCTGCAAAGAATTCTTCTCTGGATTAAATAATTAAATATATATATTATTTTTTATTTAATTCTAATTCTATTGAAAAAATCATGCAATATTAATTATTTTTATGATATATCTTTATTTATTTTCAATAAGCAGATGTATAATTTAAGCTATATTAATTTTCATAAAAAAATAGATAATTATTTATATTAAAAATAAAAGTAAATTAGATTATACAAAATATATTATTATGATATATCGAATAAATCAAGAAAAGGGATTAGTTTTCTAATTATCCTGCCATTATAAATTATAAGTGTATGGATTATCCTAAACAGCCCTTTTAGAAAGATCATTATCAAAATCACAAAATGGATTTTATGATCCAGGTGGCTGCATTCTATTTAATGGAGTATCAAACTATTAGATTGGCTATGGTTATTATAAACTCACTCGTTGATTTATATATTGTTAACTAGTAAAAGGATTATTATTGCCAAAGTTAGTGGGGCTTACTATTGTACTTTAAGAATAAAATTGTTGTTATGACCTATTTTGAATTTGACTTTATCTCATATCAGTCATCATCTAAAACCCAACATCATCAAAGGATTACTAGAAATTTTGCTAGTTAGTAAAATTATTGCCCATAGATTATCTTTGAGTTGGAGTCATTGGAGCCCCAAATTATTATTATTAATTCACAAAATTACTTGAAAAGTTATTCATCTATGTATTAGTTTATTATGGAAGCATTTAACTATTTTAATATCCATTGGGGTTAATAACTTAACTTTGGCCGAAAGGATTAAATTTGTTATTTATGTCCCATTAAGTATTTTACTAAAGAGGCGCAAATTATGACTATATTTAATTCCCTTTTTCCTTTTCTTTTTCTTTTTCCTTCTCTTTTTCTTTCTCTTTCTCTTTTTCTTATTCCTTTTCTCTTAGTTCCTTTAACTCTTTTTCTTTTTATTATTCTCTTTCTAATAATGTTGCCATCTCTTTTTATTCTTTCAATAAATCAATAATAGGTTCTTGTTCAGGATACTTAAATTTATTAAAAGCCTTTAGATTCTTTTTCAAAATAGATTTCGCATTCATATACAAATCATAATTAATATTAACAAACTAAATAATTAATATTATTATATACTGTGTCTAGACTTGAATTTATGATTTTGAAATAACTTCCCAGTAGTTTGTTCATATTATTTAATATCTCTGAAAGTCTTTATTTATAGTTGGTCTCCGAACTGGAAAGCTTACTTTGATTCTAATAGTATTATCTAATTCAATACTCTTCTAATTTTATCAGATAATTTGAAATCTTCAGGTTGGCCTTTCTGCAAAGCATTCGATTTATTTTTTTCTAATTCTTCTACTTTCATTTTGTAATGATCATAAATTAAACGAGTCTCTTAGAAATTGGCTAATTGTACTTTCAGAGTTTCAATCATTTGAAACCAATCCAAGAAATTTTTATTTATTTCTTAAACTGGTTCATTCTAATTTTATTGGTTTAGATACTTTTGATCTAAATAATTCTGATAAATTTCCAAACATAGATGCTACTTCGATGCCAATTCTTTTGTTTGTGTCTGTTTCTCTTTCAAAAAGCTTAGATGATATAGCACTGATCCTTCCCATATGTCCATGCATTTCTATGAGATTTTTATAAATATCTACATTAGAACAAGGCACTAACATTACTAAAGGATTAATTTAATCCTTTAATATATTAATCTATTTCATTTATCTTTTGTTTCTTTGCTTCCAATGCTGGGTCTACTGTCACTTTGGCTCCCCACCATTCTTTAATCTATAAATTAATTTAAATTTAACTTTTTAGCCTGTTCTTGAAGCAAAACTTGACATTAATAATTTGAATAAATTTATAATTCAATAAAGTTAGAAAATAAATATTTTGGGACGAATAATTTAACAGATTAAGATTGAAGATACATTAGTTCATTAATCTACATTTCTTGTAATTTAAGTAGCGTTTAACTCATTTATTGTGCATAATTCAAAAATTTATTACTGTTAATTGTTATTTATTTATAATACTCTAATTATTTTTGATAAATTGGTAATGCTGTCTAACCAACCTTAAAAATCTATTTCTAATTTATAACCCATTAACTAAATATCGAATCTTAAGTTTGTTAATAAGGATTTGACAGAGAGAGCCATGCGAAAATTTGAAAGACTAAATATGCAAAAATAGTGTCATCTCTGTTATAAGAATATATTATTAAGAATTGATAGTAAATTGGCTAATGTTCGCAGTCTTTTTAGTGAAAAGAAAAGATTTAATTTTTAAATTTAGTAATTCTAATTATCTTAGATTAGAGAATAGAAACTGTTAAAGCCCTTATGTTCTGAGATTTAAGTAGTTTGTTGTATTATTTTAACTCATTTTCATTCTTTTTTGACTTTTTTATTAAGCAATTAAGCCAACGGATTTATTTGTAAACTGTTATGGTGGATCTATTTAACTTACTCACCTAAATGCTTTTTATGTTATGGCCAGAAACCATATTTAATTATGAATTCTTTCTTTTGGTTTTCATATTCCTAGACATATTTTATAGTAATTAACTTGTCTCAACTTTTTATATTCATCGGCAGCTTTCTCTTTTAAGGCCGAATTTGAACCCCATTCGAATTTAATAGTGCTATCTATCTAAGTTCCACTGTACTCTGGATGGGTCATCTCAAGATCCTACCTCAATTGTTTTTGGAAGCTTGGGGACATTATAAATTATTAAACATTATCATAATTGGAGGAGGAGGTTAGGGCACAGGGACTCTTTCAGTATCGCTTAAGTTCACAAAACCATTTTTTTAAAAGTACTTTTGCTTATTCATTTTCTCTTTAACCTTCCATTTTGAGCTGATCAATTTAGTAAGTTCCTCTGTTGTTCGTTTAGGGTATTATTATTAAAGAAGAATGAATTGTTCATCATAAAATTTACGATATGCAGAACTTTACTTGATTGGTTTGGGTTAATCGAGTTGCAATTATTTGAGTCTCTATTTTTACATTTTTAAATAAAATACTAAAATTAAACAACTATTTAATTTGTTCTGAAAATAAAGATTACTAGGTACATATTTATAAGACAGTGAAATGAAAGGGCAGTGTTAACAATGAGAAGATTTTCACAAATAAAATGATTAAATAAACAATGTAAAAGGGAATTCAAAAATAAAGATATGCACTCGAATTGTTGCCATCTTCTTGAGAATGAATAATAATTAGGTAGCAGTGTCATTATTATTTATTATTTATTTAATTAAATTTATCTATATGAGTGAATCAAGTAAATAAGATAATAATACATTTAGACTCCACTCTCTTTTATGCTGGAATTACATTGGCATCTGGATTGATCACAGATTTTCTTATAAATCGATTAAATAAGAAGGAGGTAATAGAAGATCCAAAACCTCTAAGAAGCCTAACACTCAGAAAAAGATCATTTAGTAATATTAGATATTAATATAGTCAACTCAAAACAGGCCCCAGTTCCAGAATCACTCTTAAACTCTGAGAATCCATTGCTTGATGAAATCAAATTCTTAAACAGTGCAACTTGTGATATCGAGAGAGTCAATCATCTTTCACTTGGATTAGATGATGAATTTCCAAATATTAAATCACCATTATTGGGAGAAGGCAATTTGAGATCAGTCTTTGGAGGAGGTGGATTTTTACCAGATGACGCCTTTGTATATTGTGGATCTTATGTAATTAACACAGCTGTATTTGGTCCTGGTAAAAGAATTGAGCAGACAAAGAAATGGTTGAGGGCAGGACCACGTAAATCATTATTTTTCGATCCAAAAACAGTGAAAGTATAAATAGTCTAATGCCTAGGCTGCAATAGTGACATGTGGAGGATTATGTCCAGGATTGAATGTGGTAATTAGAGAATTATTTATGTCCTTACATTACAACTATGGAGTTTAAGATATCTATGGAATAAAGTATGGATACAAAGGATTTTATTCTTATGATTGGATTAAATTTGATGCAAACTATGTTAAAAACATTCATAATTTGGGAGGAACTATTTTAGGTTCATCAAGAGGTGGATTTGATTTAAACAAGATTGTAGAGGCTATTGTTAATCATGGAATTAATCAAGTGTTCTGTTTAGGAGGAGATGGTACTCATGGAGGAGTGTTGGAATTGTTTAAGGAATTAAGAAAGAGAAAGCTTAAGATATCAATTGTGGGTATTCCTAAAACTATAGATAATGACATTGCTATAATAGATGAATCTTTTGGTTTTGAGACAGCTGTTGAAGTAAATATTATAAATACATAACAAGGAAGCAATAAATGCAATTAGATCAGCATATGTTGAAGCCAATTGTGCAGAAAATGGTGTTGGATTGGTCAGACTAATGGGTAGAAATGCTGGATTCATTGCTATGTCTGCTTGCAACAAATGCTTCTAGAGATGCTCATGTTTGTTTGATCCCAGAATTCAGATTTGAATTGTATGGAGAGAGAGGTCTTTTGGAGTACTGTTACTAGAGACTCAAGAAGAAGGGCACTTTGGTTCTTGTCATTGCTGAAGGAGCAGGAGATGCTATGTTGGATTATAAAGTTAATGTGGTTGAGACTGATGCATCAGGTAACAAAAAATCTTAGGATGTTGGTGTAATTGTGAAAGATGAACTTACTAAATATTGCAAAAACAAAGCAATGAGTATCACTCTTAAGCATATCGATCCTACTTACATGATCAGAACAGTCCCTGCTAATCCTCATGATAAGATTATGTGCACTTAATTGGCTCAAAACGCTGTTCATGGTGCTATGGCTGGTTTTTCAGGGTTCACTGTTGGTCATGTCAATAACAGATTAGCTTACATTCCCATTGAAGAGTTACTCTCAGGAAAATATTCCAATAGAGTTGTTGCTGACAGCAGAGAGTGGTAGAGACTGTTAGCCAGTACTGGTTAGCCATCATTCTTGAATAATGAGGAATAGATGATCTAATAAAAATAATAATAAATTTGAGAATATTAATAAAGCATATCTATTAAAAACACAATTTATAACATTCTTTATGAATAATATTCGCGAATCAAATGAACTATAATTTATTAAGAGAAAATCACCCTATCTATTACAGGAAGCACCGCAAAAACTCGTCAAAATATCAACCATGTCTTAAATTTAATTTAAAGAATTTCTTGAATCTTTATCACTCAACTTTACCCAATTAACTCAGAATCTACAACAAATGCTCACTCTATATAATGTTCAAATATTTCTTGAAAATGAAAACGATTAACTCCTTACAAACTCTGATGATGACTCATTTACTAAATCTTAATAAAGACTGGTTGATTAAAACTATCTGTAAACTTGGAGTCAATCATCAATTTCTGGCCTGAAATTTCACAAGTCTTAAACAAACCTCTCAAAGAGGTCAAAGCCTATTGGATTAGTCTGCAAGATAACTGGACCAACGAATAAGACAACAGGGTTGATTTAATTTCGAAATTAATAGCTAAATTGGCTAGAAATAGCTTTGAGGCTTGACAAGAACAAAACAAAATTGTAAACACAGATGGAACAACATAATAGACCCTAGTTTATCAAAAGCCCCATTCACTATTTAGGATGACATCTTACTACTCTAAAAAGCTATTTAATTAAACTTCGATTGGAAGAAAATATAAAAGATTATATAACCAAAAAGAAGTCAAGCAGATCTTATTTCAAGATTTATCAAATTATAATCTGAATATAACAATATCGACAATCTTATCTAAAGAGTTCAATTTGCAATTGCTCAATTACCTAAATATGATAAAAATTCTATGCGGATTCTGCCCCAATAATCCAGTATCATTGAAAAGTCGATGGTAGAATATGAAACACTTTCCATCCTAGATCTTAATTTATTTGATGCTATGTCGCTACAATTCTGTCTTGTTAAGCACAATTAGATATATTTTGTTACTCTTGAATACATGCAATAGTTGGTTAATTTGAAGTTAAATTAAAGAAAACTATTGCAATTTATAAAATGATGATTATTACATAAAATTAATAAATAACAACATTATTAATACTCATATCCAAAGGACACTCTTGAGTTCATATTCCTTAATTGTATATCTAGGCTAATCGCTATTTAATTCTAAAACCTATAATTTGAACTTGTAAATCTTCTCAATTAAACCAATAAGAATAGATTAGTTCTTGGGTTAAAAAACTTTCTATAATATATGAAGGTTTTATCATTAATTTTTTATAAAGAAATGAAAATAGCTTCAATTTTGATCAAATAAATATTATTATTAATTATATTTATTTTGATATTTCTTATAATTATTTTCATTTAATTCATTTTATTAATAATTCTTAAGCTGGAAAGTAATGATTCAGGTTCCAGCTTTATTTCAAATTTGTGCTCTATTTAGTATTTATATTAATCTCAATCTTTAAGTAAATTAATTACAGTTTAAAATACATTTAGTATATTATTTTGTAAAAATACTTTTAGTATATTTTAGTGATTAAAGATGTTATAAAAATATAAAAATTATTCATCATAGTTAGATACAGTGAGTATCCTAAACTTTAAAAAACAAGTTGGGCATTCCTGTGACCTCATTAAAATCTTCATTTATCATTCCTAAAACATGTTATTTACTATTAAATACCAAAAATAAAAGGAGGTTTCATTATATAGCCTTAGGCATTTTAGATGTCAACCATCTTTGGTCTATAAGCAGTACTAAACCTCCCTAATCCAATTACATTTTCTGAAAACTTAACCTTACTATTAACAATGAATTAGGGAATATAAAGATTTTAATCAATTGGCACCTAAGCTCCACATTAATTAAGAATGGACTAAATCTTTTGCAATGAGATTTCATCATTATCTATAACATATTTCATAAATTTACATTCAAACACAAAAATGCTTGTACTGCTTTAATCAGTCGATATTAAATAAACCTTTATGCTTCCTGAATCAGACATGAAAACCTTTGCATTATCAGCATTTTAAGCAACATGAAATCCATTATAGATATGCCTTTGATGCTGAGCTAATTTACACTTTGCCCATCTATAACATTCTTTACAAAAACTGCTAATCACTTTATTTGATGAAAGAGAAACTTCAGAAATGAACGGATTAAGTTAATCGAAACCTTCAAAATATTGTTTAGTGTATGCATGAAACTCATCACTAGTTTGTTCTTGTAATTTAATTCCCTTAAATCCAAATTCCTAATGTAAGAATATTATAATACTGAGCTTATAAGATTTTCTTTGTGCTAATGAATGATTTCATCATCTAAATCTACTTTAGTATTCAGAGTTGTCAGACAGTACAATGAAGTAAATGCATCAGTGCTTAATATTGTATTATTATCGCAAGTAAGGTAAAGATGTTATAAAAATATGGGATCAAACTATTTCGGCTGATCTAAATCAGAAGGTCTTCTAATGGCTAAAATAGCTTAATATTTTACCCATTACTGTGAATCTTGTTTCAGAATTAACACTTTGTACCACTTTCCACTTGAATCCTAATTCTTTCAATTTAGTTGTAATTTCCTTATTGGCTTAGAATGAATCATTCTGATTGTAATGGTACAAAGACATTCTAATCTCTAAGCAAGGGTCGATTTCCCAAATGAATTGTAGAATAACTTTAAGTAATTTTTGAAATTACAATGGATCTGCTGTCGAAAAGTGACTTAATATCAATTTTCTCTCTTAAAGTGACTAATCTAAATAGCACTATCCCAAAGCCAACATCTAATCCTTAAAATATATTCCTAAACAAAAACTATCATCTTATTAATCATATTGATTTTGCATTAATTAAATTTCTCCTCTCCATGATTTTTTGAAATCTTCATTGATGTTATTTAAATGATCAATAACATTTTGATCACTTAGTTGACACTTCTTTACTTTAAATGTGTCATCATCTTCTGTAAATAAATTTTGTTGTTCAACTGTAGGACCAGCCGCATGAATTGAAGAAGATTGCTTTTAATCAGATTGAGGAGGACTCTATTATGCTTATTACTTATGATTAGAATCATGTGGTGTAACTTTGACTGAGTTTTATTTCTAAGGAGTGGCACTTCCTTATTTATTTATTTATCTTAATGGGATATTTTTAGGTACTGAATTTTGTTGCTGATTACTGATTTCATTTTGATCGTGATGCTTATATATGATTCGCTATATTACTACATCAATTTACTTTTTGATTTTAACTTTGTTCTTATCTCTTAGGAGGTCTTATGCGTCCTGGTTGAATTGCTTTTTCTGGACTCATTTGAATTTTGTCCTTTGAGTTTGCTTGATTGTGAATAGATCTATCATCTTTGCAAATTGAGTTAACTTCGTCTTGTATCATAATTTCACAATTTTTAATTCTTTTCAAGAGAGGCTTAGAAATGAACTAGACAATCTTGTTGGGATCTTCAGCTGATTTGGTTATAGCAACAAAGAAAGGATCTGGTTTGATTGAAAATTGATAATAGTTTGATAGAATTGAATTGGTTATGTATTGAATGTCCTTTCTCATCTAGAAATGAATGTAATGTAATTCTTACCTTGATCAAATAGTTTTCTCTTAGGTATAGATAGGGAAGTGAAATGCTCTCATGTGAATGGATGTTAACCAGGAATTTCATTAGGTATTGTCTCCAACCAAGGATTTGTTCTACTACGTTGATTGAGAGGATCCTGAGATGTGTTATTAATTCTGCACTCTTTTGAAGGAGTTGCTCATCTCCAGGGTTGTCTTAAATTTAGTGGATGTGATTAATCAAGAAGGCTAAGCACTTTTCCCTGGCTTCGACAGCTTGCATACATAGCTTATTTATTGAGTGTGCAATACTTAGATATGAGATTTCTTTTGCTACATTTCTTCTATTTCAAATTGAATTGCTTAATTATTTTTTGGTAGTGTTTGCAGACACATCAAAAACAACTATCTAAATAACATGTCAATTGATTTTACCTATGAAACTCTGGGATATTGTAATAATCTTGAATTTCAATTAACTTTGATGTGTTGTGGATCTACTTTGGCTTCTATTTTTCCACGGATTCATTTTTATTTTAATTTTAAACATAAAATCTATTATTCCAATTTTCTTCCTAAGTGGATCATCAAATAGTGAATACTTTCTTCTTTAACTAATTCATAACAATTAGATGTCGAGATTTCGTATTGACTACTTGTTCTTGTTTGGATTTGCGCTGTTCCAAAAATTATTGTTCAAACATAAAATATATATATAATAATTATATATTAATATTTTATAACTGTTTAATTAATTGCTCTTATCGTGCTCTCCAGTTGGGGGGGATGTTTCAACACTCTAATAGTTGAGATCGAAAATTATCCTTTATTTTAATATCATTATAATTATTTCTTATAGCCATTTAAAATGATTTATGAACTAAGATTTTGTGCGTATAATTAATTTAAATAATTAAAATGAAGGCAATGTGTCCATTACTCAGACGAGATAGCTTTAGTGAGGAGGAGCAGCTATAATAACACAGTGAGTGTGATTAAGTTGAATTTTAGCTAACCAATAACTGGTGTTAAGCTGAGGCTGACACCGACCCCAATATTATAGATTAAAAAAGCCCCTCAATTAAAAAGAAAAGACAAGGCCGATACAAGAATGTTCCCTACACCTTTGGTCGACACTTCAGAAATTGGATTGTGGCTGAGGTCGAATCCATTCGCTGTCCAGTTGTTTAAAAATTCATTTCAAAACGTAAGACTAATCCTAGGTATCATGACAGTTTTAAGGACTTTAATGAACTATTCCAACACTCAGGTATTGGTAGATAACTAGGTTAAATCTTTTTTGGACAAAAGAAATGGGTATAATACTTACTGGGCAATGAAAGAGTAGATGGATTCTAAATATATTTTGAAGTTGAAAGATCATACTACGAAGCCGCCATTAAGGGAACTAAAATCACTGAACAAAAGGTGAGAAATCTTTGATAAACTTTTATTATTAATTTTTTGGTTGTACATTCTTTAATGTATTATATAATTTAATAATCCTATATCTTATATCTTTAATCAGATTAAGTGATTAAATCAATCATAATTTTATTATATAAAAATATCAATCTCAAATTCGCAGCATATCTAAAGATTTAGATGAGAATTTAGAATGTAAAAAAAATAAGTAAATATATTATTGGGTTAAGTAAAATCATTATAAATATGGGGTTTTTCTAGAACTTAGTACTTAGGAATATGGTTCTGATCTAGCACTTATCGTAGTAACTCTTATTGATTATTTAGTTTCTGAGCTTTCATTATTTTAATTCTTGAGTGTTTGCAATGGTAATCTCTTGCAACTATGTCCCGATGGCTACTTCGAATCATTAACATGAAAGTATTCAGTTTGTTGGGAATGCGAAGACACAAATTTACTCTTCTGATGTTCCCCTTGTATATTTTCTATCTCCAACACTGAAGGATTGTTCCTAAATGTTTAAAGCTAATCGACTTCTAATGGGTGTAACTGTAACTAGTAATCATTATCCTAGTATTTGTTGACAACATCATACAATAACTTTTTAGCTTCTATGGTTTATTAATCACTTAGATATAAATAATAATGGCTTACTTTTAGATTTTCTCGATTTCTTTCTGGATATCCAATTCTACTTCCAAAAAGGTTTGGTCCTTTTCATCCTTCTCTTGGATAGATTAGGGTATCTATGAAATACTATTCTAAGTCCAAGTGTTGGAGACCTCAAATTAACATTATTGCAAATAAGGTATAGGCACTCTTTGCTGGATTGTAGTGGATTGTAGGGCTTAGAATGTTTATTCGGCCAATATTTTATAGGCTTCGATATCTCCATTTTATTTCTTTTTTATTTCCACACACTTTCCATTTTGAAATATTCCTTAAATCATCTTCATTTCACCCTATTACATAAATATCAAATTTACACTAATGAAAAAACAACCTAAACCATCGTATTTATTCTCTTTGAAACCCCCAGTATAAATATCTCCATTCATCCAAATCTAACCGATGTTTGTTAGACTTTAATCATGAAAAATTCCTATCCTTTTTTCAGTTGTAAACATATTCTCTATACCCAATCCCAACTGTTTTCCTCTTTTCATTCTCCCAAGGAATGTCTCTGTGATTCCTATTGAAGTACATTGATTCCTATCCAAGATTTCCTCTAAATCCAATAACCTATTTTAGAATTCATCTACTTTTGAATACTCATATAATACCTAACAAAACATCAACAGATTCTAAATTTGTATCGATTTGAATCAAGTCTCCTCTGCGATATTGAGAAACTGTTTATCCCTTCAAACATTTTCCATTCAATTATCCATATTCAAATCTATAAAATTCACTCTAACTAGAACAATAGGGTGGAATAGGATACGTATAATTAACACATAAACCATGAAATTTGTTATTCTTGAATTAAGCTCTTATGATATTGTCATTGATCAATATAATCCCCTCTCCATGAATCATATCCTTGTACCATTCACCAATATAAATAGATCCTGTAGGCCACCAAAATATTCCTATTCCTTCCTTAATCCCATTTTGCAAGGTTCCCTAATAAATTCCATTTCGATATGCAATCATTTAATTAATATTGCTGTTAAATTTTTTATTATAAATTTTAAAATCAACCTGATCCACAAATCCATCCATACCTGATAATCAATATTCATCAAGCCTAAATTATGTAATAAACTATAATGTTTACTCCACATTCTAATGACAAACCTTCAATCGGTCGTTTTTGGCAATATAAATTTATGTGTAAACATTATAATAAATTAACATCATAACAGAAAATCATGGGTAATGGTTAATAAGTAGATGAGTACAATTTTAAGATTGAATTTGGTGAATATCTTAAAGAGATTTATTATCTATCATATTTATTTATTACTACATTAATATATTGTATTTAATTAATTATTAAAATTTTAACTTAATTAGTTATATATATAT